AGAACTCATGTACTAAATATATATTAATATTTTCTAAAATCGTTCCTGTGTTTCTAAGAACTTTCGATTTCGCTTTGCGATTTCCATTCGTACAACACCATGAACCTAGTTATTTATTCGCCTGTTTAGCAATTTTCATGATAACACGATGTGTTCTACATTGCTTTTGCGAATGCACTAATTTATTTTCTTCAGCGAATGCCACTGCTCATTAGTACTCAAATTTTTATCAAATTCCACATCATGACCACTTCAGTATAGAGGTGACGATCGACAACGGGTCCATAGTCATCCACAAAAGCCGGTCTTCCACCAAGCTTAGAACTCGTAGACAGCTCAGGTTCTGGATCATGTCCACATCCACTATTTCCAGACGCCATCACGCCATCAAGCTGTGATCGCGAGTAATCAGTGTCAAATATAGCCAAGTTTCCAAAAAATCCAAATAAAATAAACGTAGAAGCACAATCCCGTAAACTTGAAAGTAACGGATTGATTCTGTCAGGGTAATTTCTGTCAAAATCTACATTCTAAATGGCGGTTTGCGTTTCGTTACACATGTTCCGAAATACACACTGCTTGAAATATTATAATAATCAAGAGAAAAGTATAAAATGTACGTTTCGTTTAACGAATTTCAATTTAATACATAAAATTATATTTTTTTTCATACTTAGACGCAACTGCGACTATCAAAATAACTTGGAGGGGTTCCAATCAAGGTCCCCCGAGACCCTTACATTATCAGTATCATCAAAATCAGGCGACGTATTTCTAAAGCCATACCCTTTGTTTCGGAAAAGCGAACTAGGCTGGAGCAATTCGAGTAAGTTTAATTATTTCTTGAACTCTGAGGAAGGTTTTTATTGGAAAAATTCACGGAAAAGCCTAATAAACAGCCTATATGGCAGCATAACATTTCCATATATAAGTAGGTTAGTAGTAAATCATATTAAGGCGAAACGAAATTCGCGGGGACAGGGATTATCAATAATAATACAGTGGCGCCACAAACCTATTTTTTTTAAACAGAAAATGGCAGAATCGCACCTGAAGTTAGATGTGCGGAAAATGTCTATTTAACAATCAAAATACTGTCTAGGGAAGGGGGCAAGGAGATCCGCTCCTTTGCTGATCTTTTGATTCTTCTTTAATCATTTTTATTTATTAGAAAAAGTAATAACTGTCAATTGTCTTGAATAATTTAAAGTAGTTTTAGAGAGCAACTATCATCCTTGAGGACGTAGATTTGATCTCTGTGCATAATTGGAGTTTCTATATATTTTTATATAACATTCTTATATTCAGGCAATCGCAGGAGGCTCATTTGATGTTAAGTGACCATGACTTAACATATGTATATATTTTATATATAGCTAGTAAAATCTATGTTAAATATATATATTTTCACAGATTAGTAAAAAAGCTTTTTTGTTAAAAGAGCGAGCTTAATTTGACAATTTCTGAATAGGATTGTTTGAACATAGCTCAGACTTCCACTTCCTTGACACAAGGCGTGTTTAAAGGTCTCCTCATCTCCTGTGATTAAATTTGTGAATGACGCAGATCTATATGGAGAAATAGAGCAGGCCTAGTGGCTTCAGGGTGCGGCTATAAACGAACCCCAGCACCAATAAAGATTCTCTGAAACACCATATGAAGACCCTAAAAGTCAACGGCATGTGTCACAGAAGCATGATCAGCTACTTGCGAGCACAAATTTTTCGATGTTTAATTCATTTATGCCAAATTCCATCCTTATCACCGTATCACAACGCGTTCCACAACTGAGCGTTGAAAGACAGTTTATGAGTACCTCTACTATGTGGAACCAGCCCACTGAAGTACTTTTGAACCAATTCGACTTAGGGTCCTTCCAAGAGCGTACTAATTCTTAAAATTCCGGCAATGCACTTGCGGGCCCTCTGGCAATGTAAATGTCTACAGGCGGCGGTATCACATAACATGGTCCTTCAAAAATAGAGCGTACCATTCCCTGAATGGTCGGCAACGTACCCGCTAGCCCCATGTACAGGTGTCCACGGCGGTTATCACTTTATTCAAAGTGACCAGCCTGTCGCTTCTCTCCTTTGACTCCTCTAACCTAATCTAAACTTTGGTGGTAGATCCACATTTGGCCGTATAATCCGTGTAAGAGCGACAGCACAGGTATTATTCAGTATGCCTAAATCTCCAGCCGAGTACAAAAGGAACTGGCAACGCGCCATGAATCACTTTTTAATGTACTTGAAATTTGGCAAAGCCTTGGACAGAATTTGAAATTACATACCGAATGAACCACTTCACACCCATAGTCGGTGTAGAAATTGGCTTAATTTATGTTGTTGGTGACGTCTAACATAGATTTTCTAAGGAAATATAATAGTCTAGGTACTTAACAATAAAAAATATAGAGTTACTTATTTTTATTAAATAGAGTTGTAAACGAGACTAAGGGACGCCCAAAAAGGGCAGTCATCGTAACCCATGGAAACCCATTTTTTGTGGGTGCGTTGCCGGCCTTTGAGGGAGGAGTATACTCTTATTTTGAATAGTTACAATGTTGCCTTAAATATTATATTACTATTAAAAGGCACACGCATTGCAATGGCTTGGACAACCCAGCTTTCCACTTACCACCAGCATGTTGTTTCGGCTCTTCCGCGACTTACCAGAGATACAGCTCGCTTGCGCTTTGAAATTAGGTGATCAGCCTTTTGTAATTATATATTTTTTTAATAATAAAAAACAATCATATCGTTAAATAACCTAATAGTGTCCTTAGACTCATTAGGCAAGTTTTCCTCACGCTGTTTACCTTCGTACAAGCGAATTTTTAATGCGAACATAGACAGTCCATGGGATGAGAGTCTCATGCTGAAGCCACTAGGCCAACACTGCACTGCTACTGATAATATACCAAGCAGCTCTTGTGAACTCGGCACAAACAAATTGTTCTACCTCGGTATAAATCTTATAAGGCAGAGAAAAAAAAGAAACCCGACTGTCATAATCATTGATCTAAATTAATAATCCAGAATTAGAAATTGCTTCTATCTTGCGTCACCAATTTTATTTTTGAAGTTTTTCCAACGATTTGTGACACAATTTCGGGACGCGTTATTGTAAATTTATTTTTATTATATACCTATCTTAGCTAGTGGAAGTGCTTTGATTATGCTGTTTCATCATCGGATAGAATATCACATTCTAAAACTGTCTACTGAAGTATTTATAGACCAGGGAACTATAGAGTGTCCATGGGCGGCCGTGTCACTTAACATCAGATGAGCCTCCTGCCTGTTAGCCCCCTGTTCGAGGCAGAATACGAAATTCCAGTCCACCTCCACGTCCCTTCCACACTATGTGAAACCAGGCGACTTAAGTATCTCCTAATCAATTCGACCTAGGGTCCTTCAAAGAGCGAACCTGTTCTTGAAAGGCCGGCACTTGCGAGCCCTCTGGCAATGTCCATGAGCGGTATCACTCAAGATCAATGAGGCTTCTGCCCTTTTGCCCCCTGTTCTATAAAAAGAAACAAGAAGCGGTTTTGGACTAGTGCTTTAATCCTTGAGGTCCAGCCCTGGGCCTTTAGACTTTGTAAGCGCATACGTATGAAGGAAAACATCGTGACGAAGCTCGTTAAACCCAGGTGTGTCAGGCACTGATGACCTTTTTGCCTATTAGGAAACTGATACAGAAAACTGAGGCCCAGACCTATCAGGATGTAGCGCCATTATTACTGAAAAATAAAGCAAGTTTATGAGCAAGTTTAGTTTAGTAATGAATAAACTAAACGAACAAATGTCGTTTCGCCTTAAAATGATTTTACTTAGCCTACCTTTTTACCAACATATTGAACATTGCTATGCTACCCTATAGAGAGTGTCTGCTTTTCTTGAATAAAAACCAAGTTTTCTCTCCATAAAAACCTTCCTCAGAGTTCAAGGAATAAATAAATACTCCAGCCGTCTTCTGTTTTTCTGTATTACATTTCTTCTTTATAATATTAGTATAGATCTAGTTTAAAAGCCTAGCATTACCAATTAGTTCCAACACACAAATAATATATAGTATGTACATTGTACAATATTCTTAACCTACATTGTAATAAAAATATAGGATAATTAGAATATTAAAACAAATTAAAATAGTTTGGTCCCTATGCTTTACTTTTTTACTCGTCGAGCGAGAAGCACCAGCTCTGGGGTCACGTACGCGCCAACTTATATCTTTAATTAGCGCCTTGCATTCATTCACTAACTTTTTTTCGGAGGAGCTAGAAAAAAAGCTAGCAAGTTAAATAATACATAGTTTATTTGCAATGAAAGTGCTACATTCAGATTGATGAATTTAAATAAAAATTATCACCCACGACGTAAAATATTTGGTGAAACAAAGATACATTAGCACTCTTTATTCGTTTTTAAACTGTCGCATTAACTTTTATGATTATTTGGTAGAATTAAAATCCAACCTAAAACTATTTATGCTATCAATTTCAGGTAAGTAAAATTAGGTAAAATAATTTCCGGATAATAAAGACATGTCCGTGTTTTTATAATAAAATGTTTTGCAAAAATTCTGGAAAAATTTACAATTTTTCAAGGAAGTCAAAAACGAAAAACGTTAAACGGTTTACGACTTTGCCCCGGTGCGAGCGATATAATATATTTTACTATGTTAGGAACTAATGAAAGATAGAAAAAATAGTTATCACAACAAACCAATTTGAAATTTAACCATAACAAAACGAAAGCGAAAATTTAATTAAAAAAAAAAACGAAATTTAATCCGTTTTCGGTGGAATATAAAAGAAAGTAATAGAGTGTTTGTTAGTGTCTACGGTATTAATTATTAAACTGATCCGTAGATATGAACAAAGTAGCCATAAATCAAATGCTCTCTAACTGATATTCTATCTAAAGTGGATAGATTTATTTGCAGGTTAATTAATCTGTTATTTGTGTGATGGTTTTCTGAATCGTGAAACCAACGGGATGAAAATGCGCTGGATTTTTCCTGTACCGGGTGAGTTTTTTTAAAGCCTCTATTTATATATATCTCTTGCGTGCCTCTATTTATACAGGTGTTAGGTGATACCGCCCATGGACATTACTAGAATGCACGAAAGTTGGTACGCTTTTTTTTATAGAACAGGGGTCATACATACTGGCAGGACGCTCACCTGATGTTAAGTGATACCGCCCATGGACACTTTTAATGCCAGAGAGCTCGCGAGTGCGTTGCGGGCCTTTTGCGAATTGGTACGCTCTTTTCTTTATGGACCCTACGTCGAATTGGTTCGGACATACTTCAGTGGGCAGCTGGTTCCACATCATGACTTTAATTCGAATTGAGGCTGGTTACACATAGTGGTGGCACCCAAAAACTTCTTTTAGAAGCTCGAGGTGGAATTTGCTGCTCACTGCCTGAAATAATTGATGACTGATGTAATTTCTTCAATATCGTCTCTAGTGTGTGTTCACACTCAGTTCACGCTCAATACTTTTACTGAAAGTTTAGAAGCGGCAAGAGCTGGGCTGTAAATGTGTAATAATGAGCAATTTTCTTTTCTTTTACAGTCCTCCTTATGTCATGGTTTGGAGTGAACGACGTGAAGGCAAACTCATGTATTCGAACTGGTAATGTAAATTTATATGTCTGATCATCGGTATATATATCGTTAGAGGCAAATATCAGATACGAATGCGCGATTTAAATGTATTTTGAGCAGTGTGGATTAAAAGAGAAGACGGGGATGCAAACGGAACGGCTTAGGTATTGCCATGAATGGATGAATGAGGAGCAGGCAACCGTGGATGGTGAGGTCTTGGACCAAATCCAGGAGGTACTTGAGTATGGTGAATGTAATGAAAGTGAGATAGGTATGCCAGGACCGTTGCAAGTCGAGATACATTATCTCTGCCCACCCCTTCGGGAGAAAGTCGTAAAGGTATAGATTAAATAATAGTAGTAAAAAGAGTTTGTTTAAAAGCGTTGATGTTGAAGCGTTATTAATGGAGACTATACAGGATGTGAAATAAATCAACGTCATTCGTATTTTTTTTTATCACTGGAATCCTGGCTAAATGCGTCATATTTTTATGTCACCTGCTTGCAAAGTACTTTTTTTCAACTCGGTCGTAGTAACACAGGGTGTATAAAAACATTTAGTTGATTAATTTAAAAAAATACGTAATTTTTATTAATTTTGTGGTTAAATACACATTTGAACTGTTAACATTATGAAAGATAGATGATACAATACATCTTTATTTATTCACCCATGGATATTACGAGAATGCATGCTGGTCGGATTTTAAAATTTAGTCCGCTTGAAGGACCCTAAGTCGAATACTTCAGTGGGCTGGTTCCACGTAGTGGTACCCAACAACTGCCGTTAAAAGCTCAGTAGTGGAAGGGATGTCGAGGTACGGGTTCTACTAACCCCCCTTTTAGGGATATTAGTACTGTAGTTTATATAGCAATATCTTTGACAAGTCAAAGTCCACAACAGTATTTGTCAAGTTTATATAGTATATAGTAAATATTGCTCAAACTTCTTTTTTTGGACGGGAACGACGTTTGGCCACAATCCCAGCAGATGTTGAGGTGTGACCTATTGGAGGGCACACCTTTTTGTTAATTAGCAGATTTTCTAGTCTACCCTCTCGTAACTTAATATTTGTGTGTATGTCTATATTTAGGGGACCTTTTACTGTTAATATTGTATTATTTATCGAAAACTGCCTCGTTGGTGCGTACTGATATGCCTCTAGTGATGTAAAATTATCGATATTTTATGTGTTTGTTCACGTGTTTCACGGGAATGCGTGTGACGTAAGGAATGGGTATATGCATGCATATGTGTATAGTAACACAGATTGGTATTTTAACACCTGGTCCATTCTGCTGGTAACTGAGATTATATCGAGAGCTAAGCCCTTGGATATATATAATTATAACTTTACTTTTGATAAAGAAGAAACATTTTAATGGTTATTTTAATTATTAATAGACTTCTGAGGAAGGTTTACTATAACATCATAATATTAAATTTTATTAATTATAACGAAACAAAAATTTCAGTTACAATCAGAGTTTTCTAAATTTCCTCTTGAAAATTCATTATTTAGATTTGTTTCTTCCTAAGTGAGTACGTTTTATCAAACCAAATTATAAACTGACTTAACGGCAATAATTTCGCGGAAAATGGCGTTAATTTGTATTTTTGGCGTACGTTACGTACGCGAAAATACTCCTATCCAATTTTGGCGAAAAGACTCGTATCCAGGTATCTTATCTCGTCAAAGATTGCTGAAATTGAAACGTCGTCATAATACATTTGTAATGGTTAATTTTAAACAAATAATGTCAGGAGCAACAAATCGATCGAAATATTAAGAAGCTTCAGATTGCAACTGAAGATTTCTGCAGTAAGATAGTGAAATGCGTCACTCACTGCAACAAGAGCGTATGAGAGGCGACGGTCCCCCACTCGCCTATAAATATATATATAGTATTCACAATTTCTTAACCTACGTAATAAAATTAATTAAAAGAAAATTAAAACGAACTTAAAAAGTTTGGTCCCTATTTGTTATTTTCCGCCAGCTCTGCTGTAAGCTAATTAGGATATTAATAATAAAGAGGATTGGGGAGTACAGGCTTAATATGCAAGCTGACCTGGAGAGTGATGCAGCTACGGTGGGACTAAAAATATATATGGGGACACCCAGGAAATGAGTACTGGAAGGGATGAATCATAATGCTCTTATACTCGCCTCGGAGTCCATTAAGCGAGCGTCTACTTCTGAAGTGTCGTGTCTGAGTCCAGTGGAATGATGAGGATACTATCGAAAAATCTCACACGAGGGGTGAATTGAAATTTTCGTGAAGAGTGTTTTGCTATTTGGGTGCGAATCGTGGAGACCCACAAAACTGACCATGAATCCAGGTCATGGTTACCCAGTCATACAGATCCTGGGAATCTACTGGGAAGATTTCTTATATATACTACCAGTTTTGGGAAACGCCGAATTACCACCAGATATTACGTCGCCCAACCATATCTAACAGGCACTTTGGCCTCCCCAAGGAGAAAGGAAACGTGGCCCTAAACAATCCTGGCGATGCTCGGATGTGGCAGAGACATGTGGTCCGAAGTTAAGTGCTGAAGAAAGAACGAGATGGTGAAGCATTGTGGATGCCCTCTACGCCTAGGGGATATATGAAAGCCAACAATAGAAAGGTGAACTTTGTGAGGTTATATCTGGACCTAGTGAAGATAGTTTAAAAATTCTCTTACCAAAAGGAAGCTGTATTAACCCGAATTAAAATACTGTCCTAGTAGTCGGATTTGCAAAGTAAGTGAAAAAATCCGATACTAAGTCTTATTACATTGAGAGTTACATTGAATTACGACACAGGTGTTTCTCTTCCACAACTCTGATACACTGATGGATGTTTAGTCTAGTAACACGAGGTTTAATCACCAACATTATTTCTTTCTTCACCTTTCAGTGCCTCTCCATAACTGGAGGTTGGCCGTCAGTCTCTTGAATCGTGTCTTGTCTTGTGCCAGATGCAGTAACTCTTCCGCAGTCGCAATACCGGATTCCCCAAGAATTTAGCTATTATTTCCTTCAATCACGCCGTTTACCCTGGATTTTACCTATTATAATAAATCGAAGGAGGTGGTAGCGGTCATGACACAACACGTGGCCCTTTCAGTCACGCTAGCCATTAGTGTCGAGGTCTTAGGACAGTTTTGTACCATCAAAAGAGTAATCAGTGTTATTTAAATATTTACCGCTTTATGCTAAACATAGCGTATCGTGATACAAAAACGAGCGCATTTCTCGAAATGAGGTCAGTCTTCAAAGGCCTTTGCCGTAAACATGCATTTTTATTTAAAACCTTTATCGGTCATACTAAATGCTAGAATAGTGAATTGTGTGACAAAACCTTGAATTTAGAAATGGGCTTGGTGTTCTAATTCTTGAAATTAAAAACGTAGCGACTACGATGGCTGAATATAAGCAAATCTGTAACACGTAAATTTTAGTCAATCGTTCTGTAATGATGTGAGCTGGAAACAAGTCCTTTCGCCGCGGTCCAATTTTACCATTCCATAAGACGTACTCACAAAAATGTTGTTACCTGTTCCCAACTAACGGTAGCATGGATTTTCAGCATTATGGACTATAACACTCACTCCCCTAATACAAGCTGAATGTGATAGATGTAAGTATACATTTACTATGCTTATTCGTATCTGTAGTAAAAAGTTGTGTGTGTGACGTGCTGTCAAGTATTAGTGTAATGGCGGCGTATCCCGCATTACAATTCAGAAACGTCAAATCACTTGCTATCGGGGAACAAAGTCGATTCCATAGTTTTAATGATTTCTCATTTTAGGCTTCCTTGGGTGATGATAATTGTATCATTTTTTTAAACAAGTTTTATAAAAACACAAAGATATAATTCTACTAAATAATCATACAAGTAAATGCGACATATTAAATATTAGGTCCTTACATATGAAATTGGCGTTTTGTATGGGAGGAACAAAAAGTCGAATATTTTTAAATATAATATATTTAATTAATCAAAGTATGAACCATTGTTTTCTATGTACTTTTGCCATCTCATAGGTAGTTCATTGATCCCTTTACTAAAAAAACCAGTCGGACGGGAATCAATAAAATCTGTGAAGGCGATTTGGACTGCCCCATCAGAGTTAAATTTTTTCCCTTGCAAGAAGTTGTCCAAATTTCGAAAAAAAAAGGTAATCTGTTGGAGCAAGGTCCGGGGAGTACGGAGGATGTCTTAGACATTCCAATTGAAGCTCTTCTAATTTGGTAGCCTCTCAGTCTGTTGTGCAGTGTGTGGTCTAGCGTTGTCGTGAAGTAGCAGTGGCGTGGAGCGATTGACCAGCCTAGGTTGTTTAGCCGCTAGCTTTTCCATCATGGTTTGCAATTGCTGAAAATAGACATCAGCCGTAATAGTCTGGCCAGATTTGAGAAACCTGCAATGAACAATACCGGCACTAGTCCACCAAACGCTTACAAGTAACTTTTTTCGGGTTAATTTTCGCTTGGGGCAGGATTTGGCTGGCTGGCCAGGATCCAACCATTGCACTGAGCGCTTACGATTATCGTAAAGAATCCATTTTTCATCACAGGTAATGATTCGGTTTAAAATACCTTCATTATTGTGCCGGTTCAGTAATGTAACGCAGCAGTCGACGCGCGTTTGCCGGTTTGCTTCAGTGAATTCGTGAGGTTCTAAAACCTATCTTTCAAGCTTTTTAATCTTCCAAATTTGCTTCAAGTGAATTAAAACAGTTTTATCACTAACACCGCAGCCTGCAGCTAACTCGGACGTGGTTTGCGATGGATCCGCTTCCACAATAGCCTTCAATACTTCATTATCAACTTGGGTCTCAGGCCGTCCACGGGGCTTGTTCTGCAGGTCGAAATTTCCAGAACGAAAACGTTGGAACCAAAAACGAACTGTGTTTTCTTTTGCAACATGACCGCCATAAACATCATTCACCCTTCGAGTCGTTTCCGCAGCACTAGTGCCACGGCGGAACTCGTACTCGTAAATAATGCGATACTTTAAGTTTTCCATTTTGTAAAATGAGTGACGCAAACAGAAAAAAACAAATGAATGACGGTCATCGAAGCACAAATACATGAGTAAATAGCTGTACAAATTTGAATTTGGAATTCCTTACCAAAGAGGAGAACATCGTGATTAAAGTGGCCAGTACGAAATACGCCAATTGCAATTCATATGTAAGGACCTAATATAAATAGAGAGTGGTAACAATACATATATCTCTGTTTTACCAATGTCATAATATTTCTGCGAGTGGTAATAAACTATTACGTTCTAGACATTCGTCAAAATTACCGTTGTAATGTGCGGTTACTGTGTCGTCCGTAATTATGTTTAAACAGTGAAACACTTTTTTTTTATTTATTTTTTTAACTATTTACACTAAATACATAACAATGGTTAAATCGTCGAATAGGAAAAAATAGCTTTCATTTTAAATATATATTTGTATATGTAATGTACTTAGTATCCGAGTATAGCATTACTGTCTTTTATTTTTCCTGAAAAAAACGCTTTTGCTTGCTTTTACGACTATTCCCCGGGGCAAGCGAAATGTCGAAGATGAATTGGTTTCTGAATTTAACCCTATCCCCTTGGAAAATGCCTTTATTAGTTCTGAACACATCTCAATTGACAAACGTCCAAAATCGTACTAATTAAAATATAATTTGACAGATACATCGCCATTTTGTTTGACGATATGAAGTTGTCTTAAATGCTGTTGTGAGTTGAGATGCGTTTATACCATATTATGTTTATATATTGCCATTTTAATTAATTTGCAAAGCTCCATTGAAAACAGTAGTGTGTGAAACGTCCGCCGAACGACGCTCCGAAGACCGCCAAGTTTTGAAAAATGACAGCTGTCAATTCGTTACTGTTTTTTACCTCTGACAAAATTATTCATGACTTAATTTTGAACCTTCTGTTTCTATTAGTTAATTCATAAACTATAGACCAACTTTTTATATGTTGTATGTTAGAGAATGGTTATAGATGGAAAGGTGTTTCATTACTAGCATATCTATAAAATAGTATTTAAATAATAACCAGTGGTGCTACAACCTTTTTAGGTCTGGGCCTCAGATTCTCCTGTATCTGTTTCATGATCATTTTTCTTATAGGCAAGTAGGTGATCAACCTGCTGTGCTTGACACACACCGACTTTTTGAGTTTAAGGCACGATTCCTCACGATGTTTTCCTTCGTACGAGCGAGTGTTAATACGTATTAAAAGTCCATTGTTGCACAGCCGGGGTTCTACGACCTCAGGGATGAGAGACACGCTGAAGCCAATAGGCCAAGTTCTGCGTTTATAGCGCTATCCTCAAGTGGGTCACTCGTTCTAAGTGAAATAAGGTGGAGACAAAAAGTTTTTACTCTTTAGAGCTCAGTTTTAGTCAATGCCATCTAAAACTTGTAAATAACCGTAAAAAGAGATCCATGTAATACAAAGTCGGTTAATTCAGTCCCTACTTGAGGGAGTTTCTGTCTTAAGTTATAATGTAAATAGCTAACCTAATACGAGTAACATCTACACTTTGGAAACAGCTTTTATTTCTGCTGCCGAACAAATTACTTAAGGTAATTCTTTGCTCAAATTAATAATGAATTATTATTTTTTTGCACAATCAACCATAAACAATAATTAAAATTAAAACAAATTAAAAAAGTTTTGTCCCTGTGGCAGTTTATCTTTAACGCTGGTAGCATTTCCTCACTGTATTGCGATACTTATTCGTTGAGCGAGAAAAGGATAAGCTCAGGGGTCAATTTAAATTTTTAATGAGCGCCTGTGAACTTGAATCCCAATTCCCACGGCCCAAGAGACTCTTCTCCAAAGGGAACAAAATCGATTTTAGAGGAAAGACTCTTATATTCTTCGCCTGCTCTGTGGCTGCCCCAGCTTTTTTGCATGTCCGAAGGAGGTGAGACGGGGTAAACATGTCCACAAAAGAAGTAATTTAATTATGTTTTTATTGATTACTTTTGGATAATCTCATAAGCCTATACCTACCCTATGTGTTTAACATAATTTCTACCTTCTCACCCTTGATAATGTCACCACCCCACGAGAAAGCTTCCAGACTTATCTATCTTCTATCGAAGACTCTTCTAAGTTTTATATGATTTTCATTACAGAACTTTTATTTTAATGGCGCACCAAAGACAATATCTCTTGTAGATATTATATTATTATATTGAGGCCAGGGGGCCAGGCCTTTTGTATTATGTGTGGGCTAATAACTTGATAGAGATAGCAGGAAAGGAAAGCCTGTGTCCATATCCACAGATGACCAACGTATTACTATCTGCTAACATTTAGTTATTACTATTGTATTATTATGTTTGGTAACTGTTTACTTTAGCCCAGGATTGAATGAATCGATCCTGGTACACTGTTGCACACCAAAGCCAATTAAACTGTTCTCATTATTATTCTACTCTTACCAATAGAAATATTAATTCATAAAATTAATGTACTAAACATTAAAGCAGGTAATTTTTTTGTTTACAAATAAATGTAATTACATTTTTATCGTGTTTCGTGAGCTTTTTAATGCTTTTAAGCTTTGCGTGTTAAGACAAATCGATTTCAGTTCACGAAGCACTTGCCTGTTTTAGATTTTATGGTAATTAACTTATAAACTATTAAACAGTTAGAGCAGTGTTGACCTGGCTTCAGCGCTCTTATTCCAGAGGTCGTAGATGCCCGGCTCCAAAGGACTTGTGACATTTAACACTCGTAGCAAAACATACAGGCATTAGACCCACGTGCCTCAGAAGGCTAATATCGTAAATTACATTGACAACATGAGACAATTAGTATCTGGGCACGGCGGTGCGCTCGCCAAGTCGAACAAAAAAGCAGTTCAGGCAATTTTCGACCCCCTATTGTTGTGGATAAAAACAGGAGATTAAAATTGTATAAACACGGTTTATTTGAAATTTGATTGAATTTGACCCAGTAGTTTAAGAATTATAATCAAAGTTTCTTATACTTACAACTCTCAAACCTCTAAGGCACTTCTAGCAGACAAAGAAGCTTCAAGAATATAATTAGTGTTTAATATTGATATGGTCAAAATGTCCTTCAGTTAGTTACGTAATAACTCCAGAAGTAGGCACTGAATTAACCAACTTGGTATTATATGGATTCACTTACGCTAGAAGAATGCGTTGAGAGACTTATTTCAAGATACAAAAACTTCAAACAATTAGTCATTTTATCATTAATTATTAATTAAATCCAACATTTGAAGGGCGTTAGAATATGAAATCCTAGAAGGGCATTTGAATTTAAGGATATACAAAAACTTCGTCAAATAACAGATTAAAATTAATAATTATTAGTAATGCAAGGGGTAGCCTTGCGATCATCAAGCGATCTCCTCCAGGCAATCCATAGTAAGGTAAACAAAATAAAAATAAAGTGCAAAATTAACAAAAACATGGTTGTGTGGAACGTCGGTTTACGGACGATACTTTAACTTGACACCGTCATAACAAAACATAAATGAAATGTTGCATACTTTTATGAATAAAATTGAATCATTTTTATTGAATTATTACTATTTTGTATGGATACAAAGAGGAGATACTAGGAGTGAGTCCTGTGACGCATAGGCCAATCGAGTGGAAGATAAATAGATGCTGTGCAAGCGTACAATGAGCATAACGGGACAATGAGTGATGCTTTTTCGTGCGGGCAGCCGGCAATTTATTAGACGTTGTTAAAGCTAATCTTAAGATTCACGAATCACAATTTAAAGCAATATAAAACGGGAATGAAAAAGAGCAGAAGATTTTGAATTTAATTTAAATAATGTTAATAGTCCAATCATTGCATCATGCTTGGTTAAAGGGTGGTTCAAAGTCGAAACTTAACGCGAACTTCCGTCTGTCAAAAAATTAGTTAACACGTGAGTCTAAGTCTCGACTGAGCTGACCCTAAGAGCTTACTTAGTTCTTTTCATAACTTTAGACATAATATTTCTCCTAAGGTAAGTTAAAACTGAACTAATATTCAGTACAATGTTACCAGCCTCGCTACTCTGTCACAGCGATAATGATTGCGATCACAACTTCAGTGTTGAGTGGACATCGTACAGAGTACCATCGCTGAATTCTCTACAATTGGTTCATAATCATTATATTTATATTTAGAGTCCCCTATTTTCCTATAGCAGAAATGTATATGAATTAAATAACATTAAGACAACCCTTCCTAAATTTAGTTTAAGATTCAGTCCGTCCAATGATAATTAATAATTTAGTCTTAGATTGAGACCGTCAAACAATAGTCCCCCTAAATTCAGTCTAAGATTGCGGCCGTCTCACAATTGGCCCCCTACATTTAGTTACCTATAGGTTTAGTTGGTTCAATATTCATTCCCTAAATGTAGTCCAAGATTGATATACAAAATTTACTTTTAAATTGAGTTTGTCAAATAATTTCCCCCTAAATTCGAAGATTGAGTCTCTGTCAATAAATTTCCGTCCTACTTTTAGTCTTAATTATATTCATACAATATAAACTTGATTTCAGCACGCACGATATACTGTTATGAGTGCGACAGCTGGACAGATCCCAGATGCAAGGATCCATTCAACTACACGGCGTTGCCTCGAGATCAGCCGCCATTGCAGACTTGCAATGGATGCTGTGTCAAAATGGTTCGGTATTCTAAAAGCCGTAAGTATATTTTAACGTAATTAATAAAATATTTATTTCAAATACACAAATATACAGTGTTTACAGTATTTTTAACCTACATATTAATAATAATATAGGATAAATAGGAAACTAAAACAAATTTAAATATGGTCCCTGTGGCAGTATACCTTTAATGCTGGCAGCATTTTCTCGCTGTATTTCGATACTAATTAGTTGGACGAAAGTTTTTTTTTATAGTCTAGAGATTAATAATTTTTAAATCCATACTGTTAAAAGTTACATATGAAATGGATGGTAGTTTTGTTATTATACACTTAGTGTACGTTAGTTATTGTAATTTCCATAGACCCCTTTTAGGTAAAGGCCTCCTGAACTTTCCATTTGGATTTGTTCTTAGCTTCCTCCATCCATTTCTCCCCAGAATTAACTATGTCGATCAGCCCACCGCAAAATGTGTTTAGGCTGTGATAAAAAGTGACAAATTAGGTAAAACATCAGGTAGTGTAGTAGGTTAGGTAGTCTTGCTAAGTTATCAAGGAAGCTCCTGAACCAAAGCTCGCTAACCCAAGGACCCTGGTTGTCTGCTTTGAGCAGTAAGACCGCCCATTTTTGTCTTATTTCTCCTCTTTTGTGACATCGTATTGAGACTGTTATTATTACAATTGGACTGGAGAATTATATTTTATTTTTCAGCGTACGAGGTGGTCCGCCGAACATGCACGTCGCATTTACAGATTAACCTCTTCATGGTGGACCACGTTTGCATGATGGAAAGTACAGGCAATGGTCACATGTGTTTCTGTGAGGAGGATATGTGCAACGGCGCAGCAACTGTCTCTAACATTTTAGCATTCGCACTGGTCATAATAGCATGTGCATGTAGGTGAAGTAGCTAGGATCGGTCGACTCGAAGGCAATAAGAAATTTAGAGAGGAAATTTAAATTTAGGCTGTTAAATCTAACCAGTCTTTTAACTGAAGTACTCCAGAGTATTGTGACAAAAGAGTTCTTTAGTTAATATAGATTTTGATTGTCGAAATTTATGTTTGTTGTGAATATTTCCAGAGTAAGCTAATTTAGGAGTGTGATTAAATTTAATGGAAGTGTAAAAATGTGTTTGAATTTCGTTTAGCAATTTTGAAATTTAAACTTAGGGTTATGCGACATTTCGAATTAGGTACGAATGTCATTGTATAAGTGATGTGTGAGTCACGATAAATAAGGTGATTTATCGAGTCGATCGACGCTGCAACACTAGTTTTAATATTAATTTTCGTCCAATTGTAGATGTAGAACGTGAAATTTCACGGAAACGCATTTTCCCTAAGGACTAGGCTTTGCTTCATTTCTCAGAAACAATCGCTTGCATTCAAACACTTCGATTCATTCACATTGATAAGTCAAGTGGTCATTTGTCATCTGTCAAATTTAAATTTTGACATATTTAATGTATCCGTCAAGTGATTAGTTGCCAGCTATCAAATTTACAGTTTGACATAGATTTAACGTTTCCAAGTGATCAGTTGTCATCTGTGAAATTTACACTTTGACAAATATAAGGCATCGGTCAAGTGATCAGCTTTACTTTACATAGCCATTTTTTATTGTCAACTGAATAGATGCTCTTGGATTTTAATCTTATTTTATCTCATATTAATTTTTAACACTTGTATATATTTACTTTACAATACAACCTATGACAGAGTGTTAATAGAAAGATAAATAACTATTTGACAGTTATGTTTACAGTATACATACATACAGTACAAGTATACTGTACTTGATTTACGAAATACTAATCTAAGCGCGCGTAATTTGGCAAATCCTAAGTGAGTTTTAGGCCATTTACAACTCTACGCAAAATCTAGACACTAAACAAATGACATTTGAACACAGCGTGACAGAAAGTGTACACGTGAAAGACGTCAGAAATGAACCTCAAAATTTTATGTCTCTTTGACAATTTACTTTTATCTGTAAATAGACCATTCTCGTTTGCATTAGGGTAACAACACATGTCGTGAAAACAATTTCTGACGTGGGAAGTGTCAATTGTCAAAGTCATTGGCGTTGCATTTTCATAATTTTGATCGATGGAGCTAAAAGACATATTTTGTGAAATCAGACACACTGACACTTTACCACTTTTCTGTTTTTAAATGTCAATCAAGTCTCTTATTGCTATTATCTCTATTAACTTCTTATCTATCTCTTTTTGTCTAGAAGTAAATTGAAAACTACATATTTAATCAGGCTTAGTGGACTTATATCCAAGAATCGCTTTGAGTGTTTCGTTTAACAAAGTTGGCAAATATAGATTATAGATATAATTTGTCTATTCCAAAGACAATTAATATACGTAGATAGAATGTAAATAGAAGGGGGAATGCTGACGTTGCCTCGCCACCGCTTTACAATACGATTTATTTAATACAGTAATTCCCTTTTCAACGATAATACGTTGTTATGCAAATGTCATTTGACATGTCATAGTTGACATAAAATAGAAACTATTCTCTTGATATATGCTTCGAATAGCTATCGCTATGTCCTTCCTTAGCCGTGTCTGCATAAATATTAAGTTATTGTTAAATTCAAAATGGTCTTAGCTACCGAGTGGCCCTACTGAATTGGTCGTAACTACTGAGTTTTCCCCTTCGTTCCTAGTGAGTGTTTAAGCAATACTTCCTTAGCTACTATTATCTAGCTAATTGAGGCATATACGAATAGAAAACGATAAAATACATTAGTTTAGTGATGGAATAATCGCTTAAATTTATCTAGACCAAAAGATTTGCTCATAGACACACTTTAGATAGAAATTTTGAAATGGACTAGCGTGAACTGCCGATATGTAGGTGAATTTATGTACTTATATTCGATAGTTAAAATTATAAATCAGATTCGAATTGTGTAAGAACACTTTGTTTATTATCAATATTTGTATACGTACTAACCTATGGATCTCAAACTTGGGCGCTCACTAAAGCGTAGCATACGGTGTGTCAAAGATGAATGGAACGATGTATGATAGGGAATAAAAAAAAAAGAATACATTATTGAGACCTAAGGTAGCAGATGTTACAATAAAAATAAATAAACATGTTGGGGTTGCACATGGCGAGAGGAACAGCAAAGTGGAGTTAGAAAGTACTAAACTGGTGCCCAAGGTACATAAACGAAAAATATGGAGACAATTTACATTTAGGTGGATAGACCAAGGAAACGGCTGATACATGGCAGAGAGTGGCACTATGCAGACAGAGGCGGGATTTGGAGGAGGCCTTAGCCAAAAAAGGGCACACAGATACCTAAAAGAAGGAATAAATTTAAATGCGTTTAAAAGTATCTGAATTAAAAGGCTATTATTATTACGAAGTAAGCAGAATGTAGTGGGTTATGCTAAAAGTTAACGTCTCAATCTATTGTTGTTATGAAAATAAGCGTGACCTAGGTCCGATAATAATCTAAAAGTACATTGAAATCACTTAACTGAATATGTTTTACATTGCCGAAGCGTGAGAAATAAACCAATTATTATAGGATATACTTATGTAAGGGAAGCCTGACTATTGGTATTACCACCTACATACTAAGCGGATAAGGCTGTATTAAAATTCTTGAAAGAAACTTTGTCTGCGATTGAAGGCCTTCTGAATCTATTGGAGCGTCTGAGGGATCGAATAATAAACGGTTGAAGCATACAATAAGTTGGTATCAAAGTTTTCGTCAACATTCGTATCTTACATTAGACTGTTCTAATCATTTCTACCTTGATAATGAAAACCTTAGGTAAGAAACATTAGGTAGTTGAGAGTTTGAGTTATACACGTGAATATCCAGCTCACGCTCGCGATCCCATGAGAGCTACAGATTAGTCTTAGTAGAGATTATCCGTTTTAAATTTTACAACAAATAAAAAATAAAGTAAAAATAAAAAGCTTAAAGCTTATTGCTGTTTAGCTTACATGTTAAATATGAAGTAGATGTACCTAAAGTAATATTTATTCTACTTATTATTTATCGGCAAATGGCTATTTATTTATTTACAGCTTGCAGCTTTCGACAAAGGCCTCCTCTAAATTTTTCGAATCGTGATATCTCTATAGGTTCGAATGCACATTGGGCCCGGTACTTTTTTATAAAGTCCTCCCATCTTCCTATCTGCCTGCCCCTCTTTCGTTGCCCACTTCGTGGTTACCACTCCGTCACAACATTTAACGTTTAATTATCCTAGGGCGGAATGACACGACAGGGATAGGGATTTGGGAGGCCAAGACTTATTTTCGGCTTTAATAGTTTAGGAAATTAATATTATTATTAAGTCTTAATTGCTGACACCCAGTATAATATACATAACCACTTGTTTACATTACATAATCTAACAATCTAATATATCAGATTTTGCCGGTTTTGGTGATCAGCGTGTTCTGGACACATAGGCCTCTTCCAGCTGCTTCGATTATTTTCTTATGCTCTTCTTGTCCAAGTTGTGCTTTTTTCATCTCGTGGTTGCCATTCTGTAATAATTTTTGTCCATTTCAACCTGCTATCTCTCGTCATGCGCCCGGATAGACATAGGGCAATAGTGAGTTGATATTCCTACACAATTCGAAAGATTTAGTTTTGAAGCAAATACAAACTTAACACCAGTACTAGTAGTACCACGGTGCAATAATTTTCGCTTAATATATATATATCTATTGATCGCTAGTTAGGTTACACATAAGTTAGGAAAATAAACACCAATTAATCAGTAAATTCTATTGTAAATTTAGTCATAAAATAGTTCCATTTTAATCTGTCCTCTACTTTGTCTCTCGCTCGCATTTACACACTACACTACTCCTAAAGTTACTTTTGACAAAACTTCGCGTTACTTCGTTCATCTCAAAAACTGATACGAAGTTGTCAGAAGCAACTAGTACAAGTTACAACAATACAATGAATGGATGGAAAATTTGAGCAAAGAGTATTTGGAACCAAATAATGAATATAGCGAGAGTTATATTATATACTAATATAATATCTGATTCTGACAGTTTTTATATAATCTGTTTAGTTTACTACCCTCTAACGAAACAATCTTTTAATGGCGGACGGAACATGTTGTCTCGCTCTGTCCATACTAGCACAGCGTACCAAAAGCAATAATGTTCTGTCAATTTTAACATTGAAAATAAATTGTATGTCAAGGATTTGGTGCCAGAAAATCAGCCGCCATTCTGATATCGTTTCGTAATTTGCTACGAATAATAAATTGTTCTGCTCCAAACTGTTCAAATCCATTGATTGTTACAATTTTTGATTAAATACAGCATATCTTGGGGAGTAGTGCGGTGCATATTAGAAAAGGACGCTAACATAAATTTAACAGTTGCTCATAGATTATAGTATTGTTATACGATGTTATTTTTCTGTTATTTTAACGGATTTAAAAACTTCCGCTACACTCGCGTAGTTGTTCTTTGTTGACAAATATGTGACAAATCGACTCAAAAATCTAAAGACGCAGGTCAACCAGGGCCTGTTGATACACTGCTCAAGTGTGGTCGTAACCAATTGAATGCCGCTCCATCGGCTCTTCGTCGAGTTAACATTTAACAACTCCGCGTTTTGTGGTGATAAGAAATTCCTAACAGATGCAATATTAGTGTATATTATTAATAGATAAATTCTTCTATAATTTAATCCGAAGGGTCTTGGTTTGCATGTTTATTTGAAGCATGGACCTGCACTGTAGTGGGGTGGACACATATCAAACCATTAAAATTGTATGCACCAAATAACTTTACCAATATTTTTGTAAAGACTTCGGAATATATTTTTAGTTTGACAAGTGAATTCTGATCGCAGTTTGCTCAACAGGTATGTCAAGAGATCTTGTCTTGATTATTTGATTGGTGCTACAGTACATCCATTCATATCACCGTAGCGTTAGATTTTCTCTATTTAGATTTTAACATATCTTAAGGGCTATGTAATGACAGAGTCAGCAGTTCTTATTACTCCTATTTGTAAGTGCTGAGTTTGTACAAAGATTGCCCAAGAGCACTGTCGGCATGAGCGGAATGCGTTGATCAAAACTAATCTTTTATGACATTAAATTATGACAGCTATATAATATTTTGCAAAAGTTCGATAACTTATCTGTAGTTGTCATTTATAACTTCAAAATCTAATATTTACTAACATTGATTTAATGTCATGATCAACAGAAAATAGCATTAAAGTAGCAGATAAGCTTTCACTAATAATTTCACTGTTACTTTTAACTGCACTGTTATTTCGCTTGAAAAGACAGTAAAGAGATGGGAACTGCTATCGGCTATTTTTCTCTGTTCTGGTCACATGGTTAAGTGTGAAGAATTTGTATGTTGTATAATATAATGTATCAAACTTTATGTATGGGGTAATTAGTTAGGCCTTCAGAATATAAAAAATAGCATAAAATAAAATGCAAGCTATGAAGAAAATGGTTACTGAATAGATTTTTTTAATGGAGGAAGATGAAAATAGCCGATCAGATTTCCAAAGAAATAATGTGACCTGTTTGTTATTTTTCTTGTGTAATCATGGTCTACCTGTCAACGTTTTTGACAACTGACAGACGACGCCATCTTGCTAAATCATTTCGTTCTGAAATAGCTCTTATTACTATGTAATAAAGACAATCTTTTAGCGCCAAGGATTATTTGATATTTCGGAACTGTCAACTGTCAAACATGTTTGTATGTCAATGTGTCTAGGAAAAATAGCTCTAACTAAATTTTACGTTCAAAATGCATAAAATATTTACAATTATTATTAGTTTTATAGTTTGTAAAACAAAATTAGACACCGTTTTAAATTAAATTTGAACGGGACTATTTTAGTTTTACGATCACTATTTAAAACTAATTTTATCGTTCTAACTTCGATTTTAGTGTCAATATTTTTTTATTCAAACTATTATTAATAAGTTTTCTTGTCTTTACCAATAATTTATTCAACGCTGCAAATGAAAACAAAATGGCGCTCCAGCTCTCCGTAAATTAATTAATTACATTAACAATAATTATTTTTATTAACTTACCTATTTAAGACAGTATTACAATTGTTTAAATAAAAAACTACTATAGTTGTGATACGCTCACGATATTCTTTTATACTAATATTATTAAGTAAATTTAAGGTAGAAGCGCCATTTTAGATTTGTTTCTTTGTAGGCGGAGCTTCAGAGACAAATTGAAATCTGACAGTTGACAGTGTTAGCTCGCCTCTGAAGCTGTCAAACGATGTGTTAATATTTAAGTGTTTGTGATTAGAAATGTAACTAAGCAATAATTTTATTATGTGTAAATGACTTTCAACGCTTGTTTTAAATTAAGGATTTTTGTTCATAAAACAATTTATTTACATTTTCAAGTAAGTTACGGCATAGTTCAAGGGCAAGTGTGGTTTTGCATGTAAATAGGAAGAATCCTATAAGAAATTCGCCTATTTGGTTCATAATTAAGTTTTATGTTACATTGGTCGCTCTATTTGATAAAATTGTATTTCTTTTTGAACTCTGCAAGAGGACCGACAAATTATTTGCTTGTGGGAATTTTATTAAAAACATCGCTCTTGGATTGCTATAACACGATTGTAAAATTAATATTATTTATTAATAACAATAAAAATAACTCCGCTGTGAGGGCGCAATGTGACAAGTACTTTGACAATTAACTTTATCAGCCATTGACTATTTTAACTTGGAATCTTTCGTGACAGTTAGACTGATCTATGGTTGATTTCTTTGATGACGTCAGCGCAAAATATGCCTATAGTATTTCAAAAACGTGTGTGTATTGACATACTTAACGCTAAGCTTCAAATAAATATTACGTCTAGACAATAGTCTAAGGAGTATAGACTATAAGGCTGTGTGACATCAATTAATCAGCGTAGACTGTCATCTATGTCAATGTTAATTTTAAGTTTGCGCAATGTGCGAAGTCTGTCAGTGCGCCATAAAATTTTCAAGTTTATCGGTGTGAAATTTGTTTTGACAATTGTCTAAGTTGTACATAGGAGCCTGTCAGACAAAGTCTACCAGGGGCCTTAGTCAAGATGCCTTAACAGTAGTGTATGTTGAAAGTCAGAAACGAAATTTGTATGAAAACTTTTCGACACGAACTGTCATTTCCATACAAATTTAGTTTTCGACTTTCTACATACACTACTGTTAAGCCATCTTGGCTAGACCCCCAGCTTTATTAATTTTAAATCACCTTTTAATCATATCAATAAAGGTATTAAGCGCAAGGGAAACGCTTGATAAACGTCATGCATTTTATGAATAGATGTTGTAGTACTTATGCAAATTTCCATTTATTACACTAAAGCGGGAATAGTTACTCTATACGTATTTGATTTAATGGACGGAAAAATTATATAATTAAAGCTATTAAAGCTGGGGTAAGTCCAAAGTATAAACTATAGAAACTATATAATATTATATTATTCCGTATATTTTGCATTCACGCTATTTGACATTTCTCAAGCGTTATAGTTCGAAATATATGTACTCTGTGACGTATTAGTTCATAGCCATTAGCTACAATGTACCAGCATATTACAGAATAAAGCTATTTTGCTGACAATAATGTGTTGTTTTTTTAAACTTTCTGTGAAATGTCATGGAATTTGAGGTTGCAACAATGTAACCTCTTTTAAGAGTCCGCGCCGCCAGTCCAAGGTTCATAAGGTTAAAATTTGCGTTCTCCAGTATAGCGAGGGTGATTAATAAGAACTCTCTCATGTATTTATATTATGTAGTGTAATAAATCAGGAATACAGAATTTACAATAGTTATGGTCCATGGTTTGCCTGACATATTATTCAGTCACAATTATATGCACATTATTTTGTAATATGTGTTCATCCATATTGATTACGTGGTTTTAAGGCAAACTTTAGTCCAACTTACAAGCAATTGAGCTTTTCTTAGCTCAGAAATAAAATAACTTCTTGTGTAACCTAGATTAAGTCATGGGTTGTAAAAATATCCCCAGATATATGATATGATCCTTAGTTTACACTTTACAGTTACACCAATAACGGACAATATCTGATATAATGAAGACAAAAATATTAAACTCGTAATAGTACACAAGTCGTGTTATTCCATGCAAGTTGCAATTTCATTGACATAAACATAAATATGATTATGAACTACACGGAGAAAAATATTATACAAAAAATGATTATCTTTTTTTAAAATTACACTGAAATTTGAAATTCAATTTAAATCACTTCTGATTATAATTCAGACGCACATATAAAATTCGCACTTGTATAATGAAAACACGTGTTTTTAATGTAGAAACTCAAAGCATGTGGATAAATATTATAAATATAAATACATAGTGAACAGAGGCGGCGTGCGTGCCAACATGCGCCACTAACTTCATTCTGTAAATTTTGTGTCACGGTGCGCGCGCATCGTAAAATTTCACTTTCATAAATTTTTCATAACGCGCCTAAAGAAGTATAACTTCAAAAAAATTTGCTACGTAACAAAAGTCAGGATTACGCAGCTATTTGTTATGATAACAAAACTATGATAAATGGTTCTCGTTCTTATATAGTTTAATAATTGTGATGAGTATACCAATTGTTTAGAAACTGCTGTTATTTTTGGAATCCAATGATGTTAAATATCTTGCTTACTAGAGATTCGTATGCGTGGGTATTTATTGATTTCATGGATTACATTATTTAGAAGCTCAGAAAATTTACTGAACTAGTTTAGAATAAATGTTATTAGTTTAGAAATTTTACTGAACAGGTTAAGAATGACTGTAATCAGTTCTTAATTTTTCATAAGATATGAATTTTATAAAAACAAAGAATAATTTTGTAGTCTTTTAATTCTAAAATATTTTCGTCCACCGGTTTTTGTCCGTGTAGGGTATCGAAATGCAGAGGTCAGAAGGGGCGGCAAATGTGTTAATCCGCCGTTGGTCAGATCGAATAAGTTTCTGACATAAAGCGTTAATCTTAACTACGAATGTCTATAAATATTTAGTTTTGTGATTTTAAGTTATAGTTTATTTACAATATATCCATTTATTATAAAATTCTGGAATGTTTCACAAACAATAGTTTCATATGGCAAGGTTTTCGCTTCCCAAACACCGTCAGGAATTATTTATTTATACTTCATTGCCATAATACACATAATTATACATAATATAGGAAAAAACCAAAAAGTAAGAAGGTTACATAAGTTATTAGGCAACGGGCTGATTGCTGAGAACCGTATAAAAATCCCTCATTTATAAGGACGTATCATTCATGTCTGTTGAATTTTCTCCATTTCTTGTTGGAAGATTTCTGAAAAAAAAAAACACTAAAAGTCTGTAAGTTGTCTACATAAATTTATTTAATGTTTTAGATAAACTCAAAATTTGGAACTGACTAACACCATTGTTGTATTAATATAAGAGTTGTTCGAAAATAATGCCAGCTGAGTTTTATTCATTAAAAAAAGCATGTGCTTAATTAATATTATTTCATTATTTTCGAGGCAGAAAACGAAATTTAAATTTCGAAACAAATTAATTTCGTTTTGTAAAAGTATCATTCTTCGTCTGCCTAAGAATATTTTTTTTTATTTTGAAGCCAATGAATTTCGTTTTTAAAACTATTAGGCGTTTGCGTTAATAGCTTTTTTATTATGAAACATTTTTTTAACGTACCCAGCGTATTTAAAAGCACATACGAAATAGATAAACAAAATATGCATTCAATTCAACAAAAACACACCTTTAAATTAACTTTGGCACCATAGATAACTCTAATAATATCAAAACACATTTCACTCACTCAAATCATCAGCGGCCGGGCATTTCTTCAAATGTTTTTTAATTATTTGATCATACAAATCAACTTGAGCGCTCAATTCCAGATTCGCGTCTTTTAGTCTCTGGATTTCGGACTGCATTTCAATATATTCCCGTTGCTTCCTCTGTTTCACACGATCTCTGACAAAACAATAGATTTCTTTAGACTATTAAAACAACAATTACGCTACATTCTTAGGCCTGGGTGTAAGATTTCTAAATCTATTTCATGATCATGTCTTAATAGGCAAGTAGGTGATCAGCTTTCTGGTTTCCTCACGAAGTTTTCTTTCACCGTATGAGCGAGATGCGCACATAGACAGAAAGTCGATTGGTGTAGCCGAGGTTTGAACATACGACTTTTGGGGTAAAACACACGCTAAAGCCACTGCTCTGTCGTTAAATATTCAACTCCTAAAAAATAATATTATAAAATGAAACTAAGTTATTTAAGCAATTGAATAAAACCAGCAAAAAGATTGCATTACTTTGAATTCTTGTCAAATTTATTATGACCTAAAAATTAATGTTTTAAGCCTCTAGAAGTTTTAAACTACTTTAGTATTTTAACTATTTTGTTTCAAAATCAAAAATTACTCAGGCAAAGCCTAGACGTTTTAAAATACTAAAACTATTTTTTATACTTTTAAATTCTTAAAAAAAATGCATTTTAGGAACCCAAAATCAACCCACCTATATCGTTTGGAAGCTGCAGATGAAGACATCCTCTTCTCTTGCAAGACATCCACAGGCTTTTTCACTTCACTAACACTATTCACTCTCGGTATTGGCATTAATGTTCTTGGTTTTATTGTTACTGGTATTAAAGTGCCGCACGGTATCAAGGGTACAGGTTTAATTTTATTTTGAATCACATTTCTCAACTTTTCCTTCGCATTTTCTTGAACGGACTTCATTTTCACACGCTTTCCACTTGGCAACTTGACAATCACTTCTAAATCATTTTCAATTTCGTTCTCCGCTGTTAAGCTATCAACTACAAAATCCAAAGATTGTTGACTCATTATTGGTGGGACTTTGTGCCCGCCGAGGCAGTCTTTTTTTCCATTAAGGCCGTCTTTTATCCCGTCAAAGCCGTCTTTTATCCCGTCAAGGCCGTCTTTTTTTCGGTCAACCCCGTCTTTTCTACAATTTTTGTCGGTTTGTTTATCGTTCTTCTCGATGTTGACGATGCCGTCTTTTCGTATTTCCTGTATTTTTATAACGTTGTTTCTGTATGAGACTGTGTTGTGGTCTTTCTTGTCAGATTTCGTTTCGTCTTTCACAAGTCGACTTATTGTTGTGACCTCGTTTGTTAGCTTTGATATTGTCGTCGTTTCGTATTCTTTGACAGCTCCCGATTCGTCACTTGACGATCTGAAATATTAATAAAGAATATAAAAAAAACAGTTTCGGTATTTGCAGCAGCGAAGGAAAAGAAATGTAGACCGAGGGGCAAGTGGAATGCGGCGTAAAAATATGGTAACACCACTCACCGATAGTCCTCCGACTCTTCACCTGTCCCCGTTGGAGAAGAGTAAATAAGTGTAAGCACAAGAAGCGTAACTTCGCGTCGGCGGTTGTACGTGTATTACCTCCTACTACACTTGGGTATGGCAAGAGAGACCGAGTGGTGCTTAGGGAATAGGTGCAATAAAGACAGAAAATGAGAACGGCTTTCTGTGTCTGACAAACGACGTTTTGGGTCTAAGGCATGCGGTGTCCTGAAGTTTTCAGACGTCGGCATGCAAATTCCTTTCATTTAAATTAGTTTTCCCACAAGCGCAGATGAGGAGCACGCTTCTACTAAAAACTCATCAAAGAACCTTCAGCTTGGAGCTCCTCGCACGCTAGTCAAAGAAGAAATAATGTAATAAATGAAATACCTGCTTATTGTGATATTTCTCTGGTTATTAGCCGTGTACATGGTACAGTCAGCATCCAAGGGAAACGTCAGGTGTGGAGTATGAAGAACGTCTTCTGTAGATGATTCGAGGGTTGTATGCCTGAAAAGGAAATCAGAGTGATAAGTATTAGGAGCAGCAGAACAGTAAAACGGCCCCACACATGTCCACTTACTTGGCTTCCATGGCCCTCTTGAATCCTTCATCAAACGGATTAACAGTAACATTTTGCAAATCTTGAAATAGACCAACTTCTTCACAATTTCTTATAAATCGAGTGGGTGTTGGTGTCTGGTCAGCTGAAATTAAATTGGGACTAAATTAGCAATATATTTATATATATATATATATTTATTTACAGATATATTTAATAACGACTTAAATTTATCTAAGCTAGATCTAGTCTTTTTTAGAACATACCAACATATGGAATATTTTGCTATGCTACCCCATAGAGACGGTTTGCGGAATAGAAACTCATTTGAAAGTCTTGCCAAGTTACTTTAAAATTTTCTCTCTATAAAAACCTTCCTTAGAGTTTAAAATAGGAGGGCAACCGGCGGCCTTATTGCTTTTGACCAATCCCTTCCAGGCAACCACTGAGTTTTTTTTAAATTAGATAAGGTGAGCGCAAGAAGTGCAAAAATACATAAGACAAATATAGTTATTTAAAAAACTAATGGAACAAAGCAAAGCAATTAAAACATATGTAAACAGTGAAAAGTCCCCAACAATTCGAAAATATAATGAGCGGATTCAATTAAGTCTAAATTTCATCAACATAGAAAAAACATTTACATACCAGCAAATGCCGCCTTCTGCTCCATACCCAACTGTAAAACCATATCATGTTTTCGTGTGTGTACATGAAGATGATCTTCATTTGTGAATGTCATCCTACAATCCGGTATTGTACATGCAAATGGTTTTTCTGGCTCCATCTGTAACATGTATTTTAAAGAATACATTTCTGTCAAAATGGACAAGAACTATAATTTAATTCCTTATTAAACATATAAAAATTCCTTTTTTTTTTATAGAACGGGGGGCAAACCGGCAGGAGGCTCACCTGATGTTAAGTGATACCGCCGCCCATGGACACTCTCAATGCCAGAGGGCTCGCGAGTGCGTTGCCGGCCTTTTAAGAATTGGTACGCTCTTTTCTTGAAGGACCCTAAGTCGAATTGGTTCGGAAATACTTCAGTGGGCAGCTGATTCCACATAGTGGTGGTGCGCGGCAAAAACTGCCTTGAAAAACGGTCAGTTGTGGAACGGCGGACGTCGAGGTGATACGGGTGGAATTTCGTATTCTGTCTCGACGTCCGATGATGAAATTCAGCTGCAGGTATTAATCCGAACAACTCCTCTGAACACTCTCCATGGTAAATGTGGTAGAAGATGCAGAGTGACCCCTCATATCTACGCAACGCCAAAGGATCAAGCCGCTCGGAGAGGGATTGGTCGTCGACGATTCGAACCGCTCTGCGTTGTATACGGTCAAGTGGAAGGAGCTGGTACTGGGGAGCCCCCGCCCAGAGGTGAGAGCAGTACTCCATGAGGGGCCGAATTTGCGCTTTATATAGTTGCATGCGGTGGCCCGGAGTGAAGTACCGCCTCGCCTTGCTGAGCACACCAAGCTTTTTTGGAGGCTAATTTAGCCTTTCTCTCCAAGTGACCGCGAAACTGAACGTCGTTCGATATGTCAACGCCAAGTATTCCAATGCTGGCTGTGGCTTTAAGAAGAGTGTTTTCGAAAAGAGGAGTAGCGACAAAGGGTGTTTTTTTTAGCGGAAAACGCGCAAACTTGTGTCTTCTTGGGGTTAAATTGGACTAGGTATTGTCTGCCCCAGTCTGAGACTCCACGTAGTAGTTTCGACTTCAGACACAAGTTTGTTCCAGTACTCATCAACAACTGCCCCAACAAATTAATCAAATTTCAACATACATGTTACATACTTGATATGCAAAAAAAGCAACTTATTGAGGTTGGATACAAAAAAACTAATATATGCAATACAGATAAATCAAAAAAGTTTAATGCTATGGGACATAAATAGCTAGATCCACTTTTGGTATAAACCTCTCCTACAGAGCAGACTACTATACACAATACTACACAATATTTTTTTTTTTTTTTATTTATTTATTTACACTTTGTTGCATATACATTAATATAGTACAATTGACATAATTAAATAAAAAGGAGAGCAACTGGCGGTCTTATCGCTTTCGAGTGATCTCCTCCAGGCAACCACTGTGAGAGAAGAGAAAAAAAAAAGTATTAAATTACATAAGGTAGGCAAGAAGTGCAAAAATACATGTATTACTTATAGTTGTTCAGAAAAGAAACTAAACAGGAACAAAAAGCAAACTAAACTAATAAAGGATACATGAGAAAAAAAATAATAATAAAAATAAAAAGTGCACATGAATCATTATAATTTCATTTCAGAATTTAATTTAAGATCAATCTTACAGAAGAAATTTAAAGGAAGATACGAGAAGGAACTAAGCGAATAGGGACTGGAAGTGAATTCCATAGCTTAACTGCAGAGACCTTAATGACCTTACTATCTTAAACGAAGTGTCACTAAACAGGTCAACTGGATTCAAATCCACAACCTCAACTACATTACAACTGTGGGAATGAGTATCAATGCAGAAATCTGCTTTTACTAAAAACTAATCAGAAGTCAGCCTATGTTTTAATCTATTATTGTTATGTCGATCTTAAATTTATTTTTGGTAACAATTTAGAAGTATGTCGCCTGATTTGGGGGGAGGGGTAGAGTTATCATATAACGGTTTGAATTTGACAGTATAATTTCTGTCAAAATCTACATTCATAATAGCTGTTTGCGTTTTGTTTCACATATTTTGAAATACACGCTGCTTGAAATATTATAATAATTAAGAGAAAAGAATAAATTGTATGTTTTGTTTAACAAATTTCAATACAATACACAAAATTATATTTCATTTTTATTTATACTTAGACGCAACTCTGGCAGCTAAAATTACTTGGAGGGGTTCCAATTATATCATCAAATTCAGGCAACGTATATCTAAATTGAACCCAATTTTTTTAAATAAGAATTGATTTTTAACTATGCTTTACTATGAGGGAGTTGGTGGATCCTAGTCCTTTTAACAACAACTTAAGTACAGTAAGCAAAAATAATAAACATAAAACATTTGGTTGTTTATTGTTGCTGACATGTTTTGAAAATGGTTTATATTCCTTGTGAAGAGGCTGTAGGTGTATACGGGAGTTTTAAAGTACGTACAGATGTTGTGGTTCTTAGAGATACTAATGTAGACTACATTGCAACTTAACAATAATTTGAAATACCGTAGTCTACTTAATATTAGTAATTTTAAAAGAATAAATAAAAAACTTACAGTTAGAGAATTCCTTAGCTAATATTTCGTCGATTGTTTGTTTATTGTAATTTATCTCATTCTTACTCTAATTTAAATAATTTATCTACATACTTGGAATAGAATTATTATTATTTATTTACGCAATTTTTGTTTTATCCTCGAATTCAGTGTTTATTTCAATTTATGCTTTTTGTAATGACATCATTGTCATCGTCAACTTACATGCGATATGTCAGGTGTCAACTTATTTGTACTTCAACTTTCAAGTCAAAGATGCGTTCAAATTTTATAAAATTATTTGAAAACGTATAAGTTTATTTTCATATTATATCATTTGTAGCATTATGTTTGACGAATGTTTTGGTTTACCTTTAGAAAAATTCAATTTAATTGTTCATTGTAACTTTTAATCATGAAATAAATTAAATAAACATTAAACAAATTTATTATCAACAAACCACAAATAGATAATGAATAATGCATTGATTGTTATTAAGACATATTAATGTGAAGCTTAGGATTAGAAATGCCTTTGACGCTACTTGTAAAGTATGATGTATATTTTTCAGGGGAATATCCGTGAATTTTGATCTGATGTGGGGCATAGGCGCGTTCCTGTAGGAATCCACGGTCAAAAAGGGGGTGGGTGGTAGATCTCTTCTTTCTTGGTGAATCTTGCATTGGTTGAGATGGATATGGGTCTACGTAACGGCGTCCATTAATATCGCTGCCATCCGCTGTCGGGAATATCGTTGGCTAAATTAAAATAGTCAGGTTAACGGTTTTTAATATATTATATAAAAATTGATAGAAAGAGAGCAATGTGTTTCGTAGATCGTATTCTCTTTTACACGTCTCATAAAAAGAAGCTGTAAGGTAAAAGCAAACATATTTGCTATGTTTTTTTTTGGATTATTTTTTACTTAAACTAATTTTAATATGTTTTTGGTAGTTCTTAACATTTAATTACAAAACGTGACTTGGATTTCGTACTTAAAAGAAAAATTATATTTTTCATCGGCTAAATTTGTATAACAAAAATTACTTGGCTTGCCTGCGCCTCTGTTGTTAAACATGCCGGGAGCTGGTTGACTCTGGGGTTCACCACCTGGGTTCTGCTGTACTGGTCCCATGCCGACTACCGCTGCGTTTGGTTCATTTTGTTGGCCCTTCCATGGCCTAAAATATATTTATAAATATAATTTACACAAAACTACAGGTTAAGTGCTGAATACTTATTGAATAATTACTGTGCAGCAATAAAAAAATGTTATAATATAACACAAGAAGAAGAATGTCATATTCTAGAAGGTCAGTCAAACTTCAGCTGTCAAACCATAATTTTCTGTATAGATTTTGACATTGGACAGCAACACACCACGAGATTGTGACTTCGAGAATTAATATGTGGAGTTGACTTAAAAATAAAAATAAATTGTTTTTGTTTTGTATTTGTCAATTTGCCATATTATCCATTATTACAATGCTAAGATTCGTTTTATCCGTTTTAAACTGTGGTAAATCAATTTTCGTATCTTGTCTATAAATTGTTGCTTTAATAATAGAAAGCGTTATATTTCACAAAGTTAATGTGATTACTATTATAAAAAAATCACAGTTTTTTTGCATTATACATACTTGTCAGGGAAAAGTTCACCAGGTTGTCCACGTGTCTGCACAATTCGTTCACCATTGAGTTCCACAACGCAACGTAAGCGAGCACAGCATGTTGGAAATTCTGTCACGGATTTTTTTTACATCAATTAGGTAATAAAGTCCATGTCAGTTGTGGAAAATACAGATCAAAAATAAAAGAGCTTTCGTAAAAATTTTTTAATTGACTAAATGAGAGGGTGAAAAACAAATATATAAAAAACTACACCAAATTAGAGGAATAAGGAGGAGCAGCAGACACTGTTTTACTAAGAAATCTTTGGTTAATTATTATTATGTGTGTATGAGACTGAAAATAAAAAAAAACATACCAACGTTCTCGTCTTCAATATATTCGTGACATTCGAGGGCATTTTCAGGTATCTTTGGCTTGCGGCAACTAAAATTGAGTTGTTTCTTTTAAAATATCCAATTACGGTAAGCATCAAATAATTGTACATTAATAATTATACAAATAAAAATCCTAAATTTTTTGGTACTATTATTTTTTACATTTACTGTAATTATTTACGCACCTAAAACTAGGCCATAGATTAGTAGACATAGAGACAAGCGTGACCCGCTAGTGGCATAAGATCTAACTTGGTATTTTTCAATTTGTTTGACGTTAACATCTATCTCAAAGTTTTTTAGCTCCTGATTTTTCTTACCCGACAGCAGCAATAAAATATTTCCCGTCTCGTATTTCACATCGGTATCTGTGGCAGGTGTAATGATCTGACCATTCCTGCCACGGCTGGTATCCCTTCCTTGAGTATTTATCGACGCAAGCTTGATCTGAAATCATATTATTATAATATGTTCTATGTTTTGTTATATGAAGAATAATATGTAATAAGAGCTTTGTAGAGGTCTTTCAATAATCTGTGGAAGTTGACATGACAACTTGGAATTGGTTATAATTATTTAATTTATTTTTAATTAACACTTATTTTGAATGACTAAATGACTTAAAGATGTTATTCTTTTTGAAAAGCAGAGTAAGCAAAGGTATATTTTAAATAAATACATATTACTGTATTTATTTGTTAAAGGAGATGAATTTTGTAAAAACAAATATTTATTTCTGTTTCACCTGTTTCATTCATTTAGCAGAGTTGTGTTCTCTTACCCGAAACAAATATTATTTTAAGGGAAAACGACCTTTGACTGGCTAATACAGTAATATTTAATTCAATGATAAAGACAAGAATGCTGTGATTTGACGATATTAATATTCTTTTCATTACAACGGAATATTATGAAATGAATATTAAATTCATCATTCAATGTTACATAGATTAATAACTGGTAATAAAAAACACTCATATACATAATATTTTCAAATGAATAGGCATGTATTTTTAAAACAACTAAAATTAATAGGTACTTACAGCTCACGTCATCTGCCAAAATTAAATTTATTCCCAACGCCATTAAGAAAATGAACATTTTGCAATCCATTATTTTCTAAAAAATATTTAATTTTTACACGAATGTTCGAACCAAAACCTCACACTGATTAAAAATTCACGAATCGGCCCCTCAAATACTCTTCCGCGAAATGTTTATTTTGTAAACTTTAGCGAGTTGACACTTGTTTTTCCAAGAAAATATTAAATATTTCCACTTTACAGCGGATTTCCCATACATTCAAGCACATTTGTCATATTACTATAGATTATTTAATTATGATTTCTTTCAATTTAAGATTATTAAATAAAAGGTGTTTTAGAAAATACGCGGGAAATACGCTAATAGTAGTAGAGGTGAAACATTAGTCAAAAAGGTTTTAACGTTTGATAAAAATGCTATATCTTATAAATATTAGTTTCGGCACTTAAATAAATAAGATTTTCGAGGTAGAGAAAGTGGCTATTTACATTGTAAGAACAAAATGCTATAAAATAATGCTTGTGATATGCCAATTTATTTGCTAGGAATAACCAACCAGCTAGTAATCCTGACAAGAATTCAATAGATAGCACTTGATCAAATGAAGAAATCAACAGTAATTATCAATGCTTTTAAATAAGATTCCAAGAAATAGTCTATTGTTCAAAATTTCAAGAAATACATTAAACGTTTTTTCTGTTTTGTCTGGTACTAATTATCTGATTGTACGTAAATGACGTTTATTTCCGTTAATAGAAACATATTAATTTATCGTACGAAATTTAGATATTATGCGTTTTTACATAATTTTAGGTTGGTACCATTGATATACAAAAAACCCAAGATGCTCACTCAACGTCCAAAAAACGTCCTCAAAAAATGAGTGCAACTTTCTAAATTGTGCGCTCATTTCAAATAGTCTCGCGTCGCTCGCGTCTGGGAGCAGTCGTTAAAAATGTCAAACAAAGTGTTCTGTGAGAAATTGTAAAAATATTACGTCAAGAAGGCTAAAAAAGGATGGGATATCGTATTTTCGGTAAGTAAAAAACTTTATTGATTAGTTTTTGTTGTTTTTATGGCTGATTATAACAAGCAATGTCTGATTTTTATTTATTTTTTCTAAAAACTTCATTCAACGCACAAACTTCTATACGGCCAACTTCAATGGCTGCTTGTTCAGTGTTAGAACAACGCATTACAGTCTTCTTTTTATTTTAGTCGCATTATAAAAATGAACCTGTTCTAATAAGTGGAGTCGATTTTTTTTATAAATAAATATATGTACTTTAAAAGTGCTTTAAAAGTGATTTGATTTTTGCTAAATAAATACCATTCATCATTATCGTTTTGAACCAAATATTTGAATAAACAATTTTAACAGTTATTATTTGTTTTTGAAGTTATACTTCTTTAGGCGCGTTATGAAAAATGTATAAGAGTGAAATTTTACGATGCGCGCGCACCGTGACACAAAATTATCAGTATGGGCGCCGAGCGTGCGCGAGCGAGATGGGAATAAGACAATCTAAAAGTAAAAAGAAATAGAATATATATAATATGCGTGACGTTAGCAGCTATGCCAAGAATTTTGAATGACCATAATGACATTTGTAGTACCATTTAAACAAATAAAAGAGTTTTAATTATTTTTTCAAAGAAGTTTAGCAATGCTTTTTCACAAAGACCTTTTGTTACTTATTAGTTAAAAGGTTATGAAACATACCTAGTTATTAAATATTGTTAAATTATTAACGCTAAATATTTATTATTAATTATTTAATATTCAAAAACAATAAAAAAAGCCAAAGAAGTATAACTTCTTACGCGCGTACATAAGTACACGCACCATTTTTTTTTTTGATATACCCATAGGCTACCCAAAAACATATTTATAGACAAATAAAAGTATATTTATGTGTTTAAAACACAATTTAACAAACTCTTAAAATACTAAATAGTTATGTATAATGAAAAAAAAGTCATGTTCGACTCCACTCAATACCTTGTCCTACCGACCACGGTCGGTCGTAAAATTTTATTGCTTTAAGTACACTGCGTTGTAATAACAACTTTAAACAATTCGCGTAAGGTTGATTTTGCAATAATATATGCTTGTAACTTATAGAAAGAGACAGAAATAGTGTTTCGGGACACTTTCGAGCGTTACTTTTATTCGAGACTGTGCATCTTGGGTTTTTTGTATATCAATGGTTGGTACTTAAATAATGTAACTTTTTAAATTTCATCCTCAACATTAATTATTTTCTAACAATAAAAATACTGTGCATTTAGTAGTCACACTTGATAACGATATAATATTATCTCTTTAATAAGTTTAATAATTTGTTAGAAGTTATAAATGATAAATGATAAATGATTTATTTCTGTAAGTAGGTTTTTACAAACACTTTTACACGTCAAACATTTTTTTTTTTAAAACTAGATGAGATCGACGTTTCCTATCTGACTACTCTGAGAAGAAACGCCGAAACAAACTCAGAGGTCACAGTCTCTTTTAAAGTCCAGACATAACTAACAAGATTATGTGAAGACCATGTAGATTGTTGTCTGAAATGGTCTTTTGAGGAAAGAACCACACAGATTGAGTGGACCTGTCAAGTCCAAAGACAAGACATTTGGGTAGGCCGCGAAAATTACTCAAACTGTCAGACTATGACTAAAACTGAGAAAAGGATTCAATAAATAAAAAACAATGATCCACGTAGTCTTCACATTCACAATAATACAAAATTGTATAAATAATACTTTACAAAGTAAATATTCATTTAATTGTACATAGAGTATGTAAAAAGGTATTTAAATCAACATTAATTGTGCAAATTTATTGGAGCAGCTCAATCCCAAGCCACAGTAATCCCAATTGACAGTATAAAAGGCTTTCTGACAAAGTTTCCGCTTTATACTATTTTTGAATTTATTAAGGCTTAGTTCTTGAATGTGGCTAGGTAGTTTATTATAAATACGTATACATTGGCATCTAAACGAACCACTTATTTTTTTAAGCCTGGTTGTAGGGACAACAAATTTGTGTTTGTTTCTAGAATTTACGTTATGGACGTCACTGAATTTTTTAAACAAATTGATATTTTTATGAGCATACAAAAGATTTTCATAGATATACTGAGAAGGCACAGTCATTATATTAATTTCTTTAAATTTATCTCTGAGGGAGTGTCTGGGACTTAATTTGTAAATTGAACGAATAGCCCTTTTTTGTAAAACAAAAATTGTCTGAATATCGGCGGCATTTCCCCACAACAGAATACCGTACGACATCACACTATGAAAATAACTAAAGTAAACTAAACGGGCTGTCTCTAAACAAGTTAAATCACGAATTTTCCTAACGGCGTATGCTGCAGCGCTAAGCTTTTTCGACAATTTATCTATATGGGGGCCCCATTGAAGTTTGGCATCCAAAGTTATGCCCAAGAACACTGTGGTATCTTCAGGAATCAACTCTTCGCCCTTTATGAGAACACTAGTTTTTACTTGTCTAACATGAGGTATAGTAAACTTAATACACTTAGTTTTTTTCTCGTTAAGAAGTAGGTTATTAACATTAAACCAGTTAGCTACTTTTGCGAGGGCGCTATTTATATTGTCAGTAACCAGCTGCTGACGTTTGAGTTTAAATAAAAGTGAAGTGTCATCTGCAAACAACACTATATCAAGATTATCCTTTATGAGGTAAGGCAAGTCATTAATATAAATAAGAAACAAAAACGGGCCCAGAATAGAGCCCTGGGGGACACCCATTGTTACTATGGATCCGGGTGATCTTTTCCCGTTAACATCAACTCTTTGAATCCTATCACTTAAGTAAGAAGTGAGGAGATCCAGAGAGGCGTTCCGGATTCCGTAGTGATGCAGTTTCCTGATTAATGTTTCATGAAGAACGCAGTCGAATGCCTTGGACAAATCACAAAAGATGCCCAAAACATCGCATTTATCCTCCCATGCATTATAAACATGGCCTAAAAGTTCAACACCGGCATCAGTGGTCGAACGACCCCTTGTAAAACCAAACTGTTTGTTATGTAATAATTTATGTTTATTAAAAAATCTTTGCAGTTGATCTAAAATAACCCTTTCAAAAATTTTACTAAAGGTAGGTAGCACTGAAATAGGTCTATAATTAGTAGGGTCAGATGCACTACCCGATTTAAATAACGGTATTATTCTACTATATTTCATAAGATCAGGAAACTCACCACGGTCAATACAGTTGTTAAAAATAACAGCTAGAGTAGGTGCTACAATGTTTATAATTGATTTAGCAACGTCCACAGAATTACCCCACAGATCAGCAGTCTTTTTTAATATTTAACGTGTGAACGGTTTTAATTATGTCTCTACAAGTAACATATTGGAAATTAAACTCAGACTCACAAACTGGAACGTTTTCTTTAAGTAAAGACTCTGCAGCAGTGGGTGATGACCTTAGAGATTTAGTAGTTGACGCGGGAAACTCTGCGAAGAACTTTTCAAAGGCCGCGGCGACTTGGGAATCTGATTTAATTATATCGTCATCAATAGCAAGGCTGTAGTCACTACTTCGGTTGCTCGACCTTCCTGTTTCGCTATTAATGATATTCCATGTCATTTTAATTACATTACTACTATTCTTAATTTTTGTACTCAAGTAACGTGACTTGGCCATACAACAAACTTTTTTTAAATAATTTAGAATAATTCTTAACATATAAATTAAATTCAGCAGTGTTAATACACGTCCGTTCATCATACAACTCATAAAGTCGTTTTCTACTTTTATGTATACCAAAGGTGGCCCAGTCACTGAAGCAGGTGTTATTATTAACCGAGAATGCCTTTGGAATGAAAGTGTTATCAAATTGTGTGCAATACATATTAAAGAGTGAGTTTTTATAAATAATTTGTTAGAAGTTATATTAAAGTTATGAAAGTATACAAATAACATGAACAATAAAATAAAATGTTATCCAATTTGTCAATTGTCAAAATTCAATTTTCTTAAAAATGATTGTCATTTTCAGTCTGTAATGTAACTACTAAGTTGTTACACTTACTTGTCAATTGTGTTGATTTTTGCAGAGAAGGAGCGTCGGTTGAGATGAAAATTTTATTAATTCAGTATTTCTTTAAATATCAATAAATAATTTAAAAGTCTACAATAATCAAAGTAAAAAAACTAGTGTAGTGTAAAAGTGTCTAGAGCGTGTGCATTTTTAATGTGTAAATTACCTAAACACTGCAGGTACCGATGAAGTGAGTTTTTATAAATCAATTTTGTTTATCGTAATTTCATGGATTTTTTGCAGTTTATTTGCTATATATTTAGCCGTTTGGAATGCTTTTGTTTTTGTCTGTATTTACACTTTATACGGAATATAAAGTGCTTTTGTATTAAAATATTTAAACGTGTTATGACCAAACCACCCTCACTTATTATAAATATGAAAATTGCATTCAATGCCATTTCGTTTAAATATCAAGGTCGCATTATTCACTCAGAATTACAAACATGAACATTATACATGAAAACAATATTGCGCGTGTTAATATGTTTAATATAAGTAGGCGTATTCGATATAGCAGAGTATCCAGTTTATTTATTTAACGGTCATTTAAAAATATTTTTTCTTTTAAATTGTTTTCAAGGCTTGAGGCAAACATATTTCTAATCTCTTAACACCATTAAAACATATTTAAAAATATGTCTGTGTATAAAATACTTTTTGCCTTCCAACTTAGGTGTCTGCCTTCTAGACTCAGACCTGACTCCTGATATCCCGGCAGAAGATTGTCTTTCTATCAAAAACTCCTATATATGAAAAGCCAATTCATGTTTGACATATAAGTAATTATACTTTGCTTAAAATCTTCGATTATAAACATACTCTTCAGTCTTGATCACAATTAGCAGGATTTAAGAGAGTTCTTAAATCGTACACTTAGGTACTTATGGCATGGGTTTTCACTTTCATTTTTGAACTTGTTGCTTAAATAAGTAGCATAGCAAGAAGGATACATATTTTACATACATATGTGTGAGTCACTGAGTATGATATGATATGTACGATACAAATAATATAAGAATTGACTTTGACTAATAATATAAAATGTAAAATTCCTTAAGACAAATTTGCGCGCCATTGTGTGTGGCAGAATATGCGAACTTACGATTGTACCACCTTACACATTTTCGTACCATGTTCTTGCAATAAATAAATTATTATTATTAATACATATGTATGTAATATACAGCTCCCCCATAACAAATGAAGCATTCGACAACTTCCATGACCGTTTACACACTTTTCATAATTTATGTTTTCTGATCTTAAAAACTAAAAATACATTCAAACCTATCAAAAATAGATTCTTTACTAAAGCGCACAAAAAATGTTGTACATATAAGAAAAATAGTGTTATACCTAAAATATTGTTTAAATAAGCACAATAAAAAACAAAATAAATCTGAATAATTATATGCATTTATTATTTATATTTTTATTATTATTTACATTAATAAATACTCATCTATTTATAAAAAAATGTATGCATTAATGTCATCAGCTTGCAGAATATATAAATTGCGCAAAAAACAAAAGCCTGCCTGTAATGTAATTAAAATAAATACATGAGACATGACATTTTACTCAGAAATAGAAGCAATTAATATTGATAACAAATCATATGAATCCACATGAAATATGCAACTTATTTTATGACTATTTTACCTCACTGCCTACTAAAAATAAAACAAACAATTTGCCAGGAGCCAAAATCCCTCTAAATCATAAAAGTATTCTTCTTTACTAAATAACACAGATATATTAAAAATTATTAAATCATTGAAAAATATAAAATCTACAGGATATGATAATTTGGATACCAAAACAATGAAATCACACGCATTATACCTACTTGATTCACTAACATATATGTATAATTAATCTATAGATAGTAGAAGGGATCTTTCCTTAAAAACTAAAAATATCAATCATCAAACCATAAAAAAGGAGCAAAAACCCAAATGACTAATTATAGGCCAATAACTTTAATTCCCATACTATCTAAAATTTTCGAAAAAGCAATCTATAGTAAAATAGACAGTTGATATTTAAAAAAAATAAAAATTTCAGAAAAATATGTTCTACCAACCTTACATGCTTATCCCTAGTCAAACAAATTCCTGAATGCTTTAATGATAAAATGCTTATAGGTTGCATCTTTCTAGATCTACGGCCAAAATTAATTATGTATCCTCAATCTATGATTACAACCAATCTTGGACTGATTCATATCTAAAGACCGATCTCCAATCTGCATGCCAATAAACATTTCTGCTATCCGATTGTTTATTTGACAAAAGATTGACAGCAATCTTTTGCGTGATCCTATCCTCTCGACCGCGTTTCGTTCAATGCAATATATTGTGTTCAAGCATACCAAAAGTGTGCTGTTTTTGGAACGAAATAAAATAAGTAAGACTTAGGGTCTGTTTCACAATGTATGGATAAAGTAGCAAATAGCTATGCAACGTTTTTGTTTGTTTTTTTGTTACGAACAAATAAAGTTACAAAATTCTATAGAAAAACATAGAACCTTAACCTTTTTGTTGGTCATTTAATATTACTTGTAACGAAACGGGCTGTCATTTTCATATGGTATTTTTGTTTGTTAGGTTATTGAGTATTTTATTATATATTTTAGTTAGGCGCCTTCGGCTTGACCTTTCAAATATACATTTTCTCTGAGTAGTTTGTGTATGTTGTTTTTGTGATTCGAGGTTGGTTCTTTAACTTAAAAAAATGTCTACGCAAAAACGTGAAAGAAGCGTCAATTTCAGCCGGGAAGAAGTTGACCTTCTAACTTCGCTTGTTGCTGACCATAAAAATATATTAGAAAATAAAAGAGTGACTCAGTCACCTGGCAGGAGAAAGAGCAGTGCTAGAAGACGCTGGAGGCGCTGTTTAATAGTACAAGTGGGGTAAACTTTCGCAGTGCTAAAGCTTAAAGAGGGCTACAAGAAAAAAGTCTGCCTTGATACATGCTGAAACATATCGTACAGGAGGTGGCCCTAGTGCTGCTACTCCTCTTACCCCTATCGAGGAAAAAGTCAAAGACATGATATTGTTGTCTGTCGAAGGAATTGAAAGTCAATTGAAAGGAAGAGCTTCTAAATAAGAGAAAGCAATGGGCATTTGAAGAGGAAGCAAGAGAGTATAAAAGAGAATTATGGGCCATAGAAAAAAATATATTGTTAAATAAATTAGAAAAATAATAGATTTTGTGCCTGGAGCAAGGATGTATTGTATTAAAAATTTGTATTTTTATTTGAATAAAAGTATTGAATTTTTATTTAATTTATCTCAAAAATGTTGTAATTTATAAAATATTATAGTAATAAAGCAAAATAATCACTTATAAGATTACTTCGCCCACTTGCATTTCCCACGTTGTCAATTGCGCTTTGATCAATATCATTAGCTGGTTCATCATCATTAATTCTTGTCTTTTTATGTCTTCGCACAGAAGTACGTTGTCTTCTTCCAGCTTCAGAATTACTATCCCAATCGGATAATTGCATTTAAACTTCCAAATCACTATCACTAGAACTGGAAGATGACGAAGATGAATAAATTTTCCCAATGAATATTAAGTTAGGTCGCAATCCCAAACCCAAATCATATGAGTTTCACCGATAGCAATCCGAGATTGATTTGGCCAATCGAAGCAACTGTCAAAATGGACAGATAGGTTGTTGGCATGAGTAAACATTCATTTTCATGCAGAGGGCAATCTTCAATCTCTTATCCGCCCTCTGAACGATTGGTTGAATTATTAGATTGGTATCTCAGTCCATGGATTTAATATTGGCATGCTTTTCTTTAGAAATGGATTGAATTGTCAGTCTATGACAGCTAAAATTGGATTGAGATTGCATATTGGTTTTGGCCGCTAGATGACAAAGGCTTTTGACTTTGTATGTCATTAAAAAAAAATTGAATGCTACAAAATAAGAGGTAATGCATTGAAGATAGAAGGCAGTATGTGGAAATAACAAAGATTTGTAAAAATCTATAGATCCAATACACCTCAAGGCAGTATTTTGGCCACACTACTTTTTCTAACATAATAAATGATGAATGAATGAATACACCAGAACTGTATACTATTTGCTGATGACACTACACTTATAATAAAAAGTAAAAACGAACAAGATTTAAAAACAACTTAATTAAATCTCTAGACGACGCCATCAACTGGATCAATTCAAATAATCTACAAATAAACATGACCAAAACTAACACTATCCATTTTACTCAGACATATAACTCAAAAACACAAATAGACACAATATAAAGTCAATAAACTAGACATAATGAACGAGTGTGTATTTTTAGGTATAATGCTAGATAAATTTTGTAGTTGGAAAGCACATGTTGAAAAATTACAGAACAAAATAGACAGCTTCGTTTTTGTGTTAAAACGACTAAAGGAAACTGTAAACCATGATACGATATTACCTGCTTATCATGCATATACTTAGATATGGAATTATAGTTTGGGGAAATTCAGTCGAAGTAAATAGGGTATTTAAGGCTCAAAAGAAATCTATTAGAGCAATTTGTGGAGCAAACTGTCTTGACAGTTGCGTACCATTATTTAATAAGCTCAAAAATATGTCTCTTCCCTGTATTTATATTTTAGAAATGTCCTTATTCGTGCACAGAAACATACATATTTTTAAATCGAATGTAGAAGTCTAAGTAATAAGACACATGGGGAGAAATTGGTTGTGTGTCAGTGCACAGTGCCAAAAATCAATCTAGAACTGTTTAGAAAAACACCTTTTGTATGTCAATTAAGGTTTACAATAATTTACCAAAAGAATTAAAAGATCTTCCGACTAGAGTCTTTAAAAATCGAAGTGGTGGAAAAAATGTATTATTCAATAAATTAGTATTTGCGTGAGACACTGTAGTTGATATAATATGTACGATTCAAATAATATAAGAATTGACCAATTCATATGACTAATAATATAAAATTCCTTTAAAGACAAATTTGCGCGCCATTTGCACGACCTTCGACATTTTTGTACCATATTCTTGCATTATTATTATTAAGTTATAGTGGCAAACTAAAATTATATCATTTAGTTAGTTCCCAACGTTAAAAATAAGACAAACTAACAAAACTAAAAAAAAGGGATAAGACTGCCAGTTGCCCTCCTTTTCATTTAATTATGTTCAATTTTTTATTATGTTAATGCAATAAAGTGTTGATAAATAAACAAAATAAACTCCATGGTGAAGTTGCCCTTGGGGCTTAATTATATCTATGTTTAATTTTTTTTCTTTATAGGCAAATTGTGGCTTGAGGCAATCCAAGCCATTATTTTGGGTCTAAGTCATGCCCGTGTCCTTAATTTCCTCCTTTATAGTGCAAAATAATAATTTTGCACATTGAAAGAAAGTTTATTGGTGCATCCCCAGGTATTCGCATAATGTGATTTTAAAATTTTCAGTGATCAAAGGGAAGACTCCGATGAAAAGATGGATACAGCATCATCAAAATACAGTACACCAAACTCTAATTCTTCAGAATTTGAAGACTCCACAATGAATAGTTTAACAACAAAAATGTTAGAAACATCCATAAATAAAAACCAATGCACTTTAACATTAACAACTAATCATCCCCTAATGGGTCTTGCGAGTCCAGATGAGAAAAAGGATGAGAAATATGATGATAGTCTATCAAGCATAGAGGCAGATAAAAATGGTTATAGCCTATATTCACCGCAAAAAAATAGTTCAAAAAGTAATTTGTATGTGTCAGAATATGTGACTGCTGAGTTCAATGGTTTAAAGCCGAGCAGGAAAATTAAACCAGACATAGCAATGTCACCGGGGATTCCAGACAATGTTATTTCCAGGTTTGAGAGTAGGGTTGGAAAACGGAGTACACCGAAAATGGAACAGGAACGTTTTTCAGAGGTATTGGCATTACAATTGTTTGTTATAAAAATTGTGAAATGTACAGATATAGAATTATACAATAATTCATATACAAAGTAGATGCTGACAAAGCCTGTTATTATGATGAATAGTTCAATAACTAAAGCAAATTTTGTGTTCATTATGCGAATCAATAGAAATAAGATATTCTTTTTTGAGTCAGTACTATTATTTTAAAAAGAATTTACTTAATACATTTTTATTAATTAATTATTTTTAAAATCTTATTTTAGTCTTTCTTAATGTCAGATGGAATTTAGGGATATAGTATTTTCATTATTAAAGTGTATTTGTTATGAACACAATTATCTCTTTATATTATTAGTATAACATCCTGTACACAATCAAATCAAAACGACAATTTGTACTTGAAAGATTATTTATTATAATTTGATATTTGCATTAAATGCGCCATCTTTTTTTCACTTGTCTTTTTTAAAAGATAACTATATATATATATATATATATATATATACGTTTTCCAAAACGGACCCCCCCCTCCCAAAATTCGTTACGTAATACTTGAACGCTCCCTTAACCACTAGCTGGCGTATCACCTAACTTCGGCTTGGAGATGATTTGTGTGACAGCCGTTCATAATAAATATTTCCCATTTTAAGAAGATTAATTATAAAAGACATGAATCCCTCATCTGACCGTTTGTGTCCCCAGAAATGTGGCAGATGCATTGCTGCTTTCATCTCTGACCTCCAACTAGTTGAATGGCGTCAGAATGGCCCATGTTTTGTGGTACCTGGACGGTCCGTTGTGTTGGGCTGCCTCCCCTTGGACTCTTTCCCACAATTTTGCCCTGATATAGATGTTATAATTAATTTCAGGCAACGGAATGGTGTGATTCACCCTCAAATGTTCGGCCTAATTTTGATTTACCAATGGAAATGTCGAGCGGAATCAATCAAGTTCAGAATGTGAGTATAGGGTTTTGGCGAAATTGCAATTATTGACAAGTAGGCATCTGTCTGACAATAGACACAGTACCAGGTGGACAGTGTAATCCATTGGTAGCAGTGTTTTGAATTGATCAGGGTTCAGGGTCTTGGTTGAGATCTCCTAACTGCTGTACCCTGTCAATAATACACTATTATTACTGGTAATACTTGCCCAAGATTATAGATTTGGTGATCAGCCTTCTGAGGGTGTAAAATAGCCATAGGACGTCAACTTATGCACAGCCAGGGTTGTATGACCTAAGAAGAGTTGCATGCTGAATACACTAGGTCAATATTTAAGGGTTGGAACCAATTAGTTTTACTTAATTTAATCTTTATTTAAAGGGTCACAATTCAGAAATATGGAGTTATGACAAGTCATATGTTGCTCTAATGGATGTGTATTCGGGGTCTGTAGCCCTTAGACCGGAGGTCTTTAACCCACCACCACCGAAGCGAAAAATACAAATTGTGAGTATGTGAGAGATTTTCAACAGATTTTGAGAAATTATAAATGTTTAGTGGGTCAGAAGATTTGATTTTTTCAAATCCAAGTTACTTTATTTGATTTTAATCAGGGAATTGTCAAAGTTTTGTCGGAATTAGTTAATGTTTTTTAGTTATTAATAAAACAATTATAATTACAATAATTTATATTAATTGAGTACAGAACACCAATGACCATTGAATTCATCTTTAAATGTCATTGTCAGTTTTTAACGCAAAAAATAGTTTAAAATAAAACAAAATATGACAATAGTTAATACACATATACACATAGCTGAAAAATATCAATTTGTATATGTTTGAGTCACTAATATATTGTCAAACAGCCTATTTGAATTGATTTCAGCCGCCTTTGGACGACACGTGTAGTATAGGAAGTGATTGCTCCATAGAATCCGAACCAGAAAAGGATATCGTAGACCCACCAAGCGAAGATGAGACACAGCGGTAAGGAGTACTAAAAAAAATATTTTTAAGATTTTTATATAAGATAACTTCAGTCCTTCTGTAATATTGGTCGGAACTTTTTCAGGTAAAGGCTATTTTTTCGCTTTCTATTTTATGTATTCTTCTTTCCATTGCTTTATTATATAAAGATATATAAACATACAAAAATGTTTTTTAACCATAAAAAATTTAAGGTTAATTCGACAGATTAGCGCTGATTCATAAATAAATAAATATTTCAACTAAATGGGACTTGGCACCGATTAACAACCCAATTATATTGTCAAGGATGACCATGTGTAATCGTAATTTTCACAGTGTTTTAATAATTCAAATATGTAAATTGAATAAAATATAATTTGGAATCGATTTAGAACCCAATGACCCTTTTATTGCTGGAAGCCTTCTACGGTGCACTTCACTAGACATTTGCGAACTGTAGAATAGACTATTGGTCTCCCCTATGAGATACGACCTCCAATTTAAAAGGAGCAAACTACCTTAAAAGCCACTAAAATGGGTGTCCATGGAGTGCCCTTTATAATAAATTTATTATAAAACTTGGCATTGATTTTGATTTCAACTCTTCTCACATTTTGGACATGCTTTCAGATCCAAGTCCACAGCAACCGCTAGTGAGTGTAGTGATCAAATACCAGAGTATTCGGCGAGTGAAGAATATCGGGATGAGAGGTCGTGGCTCCATGTGCAGCATAGTGGGGTTAATGCTAATTGTGATATGAAGGTGAGTGGGGTATGGGGCAAGGCGACAAGTTCGTTAAATATTTTGAATGTAGAGCGTTATGTAGGGCTGAGATATAAAGGTATTAAGGTAGTGAGGGATATTGTGGTTTTAAGGATGTGGGGGCGAGGGACAAAAATTCTTACAGAAAATTGAATCTTATTCAAATTGAAAATAAGAGTTGTATTAAGGGCACTACAATTAATTGTAGGATAATATAACGGTAGTTGGGGCCCATGTTATTGTGGTATGGTGTGGGCTTTTGGGGTATAGGACCGGGGCAAAAAACATAACTTACTTAAACTGCAATGAGTATGATAAAAACCATGTGGACATAGATAAATTGTTAAATATTTTTTTTTAGGTTATCGAACCGTTTAAACGCGTTATATCACATGGGGGTTATAGCGCCGACGGCGCAGCGATAATTGTGTTCAGCGCGTGCTATTTACCAGATAATGCAAGACCGGATTATAGATATGTTATGGATAATTTATTTTTGTAAGTACCCTCCATTTTTTTAAATCGAAAAGACACGTGAAAGCTGTATATATTAAATTGACACAAAAATAATTTCATTTTAATCGAGATGTTTTCAAAAGTGGGTTGTTGGTTCTCAAAACATTATAAAATTTTCATTGATTTTGAGTGTTACCCTACAATTGATATTTATTTACTCCTTCGTCTTTTTCTGCCTCATTGTGTTTACGCTGTGATGGCAAGCGAGAAATGAGTGCTTCAATTAAATCGGTGCAAACGTATGATGCTATTGTTAGTTAGCTGGTAAAATTAAATAATATAACAATTATATTCTGCACAAAGTAGACAATAATAAAAAAAAAGTACCAAATTTTTTAATTGCGACATAGGAACGTCCGCAGAGCATGACGGCTCAACCGTGAATGACTCGCTTAGTGCTTATACGTTCGTCCGATCTACATTTTTGAAATTTTAAAAATGATTTTTTATACAGACCGTCAACCTGTAGTCTGGACTGTGTCTAAGCGCAGAAAATTTATATATTACATCCAAAAATTTGTAATTCCACTTGGAATGCGCCATATATTTCTTTTACACAGTTTTAGGAAGAACATCACAATTTTTTTTAAATTTTCTGTGGTTACCCACGACCTGGCCTATCATCTAACTGCAGGTGGATGATAACTTTTGATACACCCTGTATAAGGAACTATAAAGGCATTGATTCAGGTACGTGATATGGAGTCTGGAACGCCTGGTCACCGATGAATACATACTGGTATACCTCCACGGAAGTGCGGGCAAACGCCGGATGCCGACATTCGCCTGGCTGCACGAGTGTTACAAACTGATTGACAGGCGGTAAATGTTCTCTTGTTTATTATTTGATTGTGTTTTAGTATTTCTATTATTTTCGTTCTACCTTTTCTTTTTGTTTCCTTCCTTTATTAATTCTCTGTTTTGTTTCTTTCTACATTTTTCCTATTTCCTTCCTTGTTTCTTTCTAGCTCTTTTGTTTTTCTTTTTCATTCGTTTCCTTCCATCTTTTATTCTTTTTCTTCTAATTTTTTCTTTGTCTTTGGAGGCACTACCACTATGTGGATCCAGCCTATCTTAGTATTTACGAACCGATTCGACTTAGGTTTCTTAGGACCATATAAGGCCGGCAATTGAATTCTGGTATTGTCCATGGTCGGTGGTATCACATAAAATCAGATGAACATCCTGCCCGTTTGTCCACTGTTCTATATAATATAATATATATTATTTTTCCAGTTTACGAAAAAATCTGAAACATCTTTATCTCGTGCATCCAACGTTTTGGTTGAAATCATTCGTCGTTATAACTAAGCCGTTCGTTAGGTAAGTACCTATAAACATTATTGACCAATGTTTTAAAATTTTAACGATTTTAGATTTTCTATATAGTTTTACTCACAATTTAAAAATTTCACAATTGAACAATTTACATTCATTATGTCCACTATATTTCCTATATTGTACAGTACTTTCTTAAATACTTATTGCGGTAAAAATGATTAATTGAATCCGTTCTTTAATTTCAGCTCAAAGTTCTTTCGCAAGTTGAACTATGTAAAAACTCTGGACGAGCTGTTCAGAAAAGTGCCCGTCGAGCCCAACGCAATACCCGAGAGCGTCAAACACTTTGACATACATCGCAGATAGATGTGAAATGTCTAGTTTTGTCACGAGATGGCGCTTAAATGAATTTGTGTGTCTATATAGCTTAAACATGTTTCTGTCTCAAGATGGCATGAAAATTTGTGTTGTAGTCATTTTTTAATAGTTTGCGTTAGAACGCTTATAACTGTCGCTCCTGATCTCGTTACTTTTGGACACAGTTACTAAAAGGCGTCGGCATAAATCTTACCACCTCATCATTAGATTTTAACCGATTTAAAAAAGGAGATTATCAAACCTGTATTTATTTGTAATCAGTTATATTCCAATTTAGAACGGTTTAAGTCTCATTGAAATACGTGCAGTAGTTTTTGAGATATCAACACGTCTTTATAAATTTTTCTTTACATCTAATTCCGGTTTTGCATAAAAATTGTTTTTAGTTTCGTTACGCCTTATAAAAAAGTTATCAAGTATTAAACGAAAAATGTGCGTAGCGTCAAAATATGAGTTATGAAGGTACATAAAACAAACATTTTCGGGTCAAGACCATATTTAAAGATCTATTTTTAAACAAATATTTTTACGCCTCTTCTAGAGTATTTTTAATATTGTTGCCATATCAAATTTATTTTTATTAATGTTAAACCACCGCCGTGAGTTGTCAGTAGTTAGTTTAGTGATGAGTGTACGTTAGAAGCGGATTGGTGGAGTCTGTAGCGGAGGCGTTGAGTCAGTAGGGTTAAGTGGTTGACTGACTAAACCACTTCGCTACTGACAGCGGAGTGGTTAAGTCAGTAGTGGTGAGGCCAGTAGTTCACGCGGTAAGTAGTTGATAGCAGTGGTTCACTCAGTATTTCGGTGAGTGGTTAGATCCACTTGACGCAGTGGTTTTGTCGTGGAGATTCGCTGTTGATGCATTCCGTTTGCTATTTTTGTATTTTTTTTACAGTTTTGATAATTTTAAGCAAGCGAATTTTTTAATGTCTAAATATAAGTCAACAATCTTATGTACTCAGCAATAACTAAGTGTAGTTTTCACATATATAATGTTATATGTATATATGCCCCCTAATACGAAGGTGCAACTGTCGTTTTTAACGAACATATATACATATAGCATTAGAATTTTTACTGCCACCGACGCACATAATGTACGATATACACAAGTTATATATAATTTTGTAATATATGAAAAATAGTTGTTTTAATTGAATTACTTTGCCCAAAATATTTTTGCTTACGAATAAAGGGGGGTTAATACAGAAATGTCCTTACAAAGGATAAGGACCTTTAACCAGGAAGTGCTGAAGACTTAATTGCGACCAAAACTGAGAGTTTGAAGGCAGTTTTTGGGCCCTAATGTGGAACCAGCCCACTGAAGTATCACCGAACCGATTCGACCTAGGGTCCTTCAAAGAGAATATCAACTCGTAGCGAGCCCTCTGGCATTGAGAGTGTCCATGGGCGGTGTCACTTAAGATTAGATCAGCCTCCTGCTCGTTGCAATTATAAAAAAATGATAATTAAATGGCCTTCAAAAAGGTTATCTACGAGAAAGGTTGTCAACGCACTCGCGAGCCCTATGATATTTAGTGTCCATGGGTAGCGGTATCACTTAACATCAGATGTGCTTCCTACCCGTTTCCCCCCTGTTCTATAAAAAAAATATAAAACGGCATCAAAAAAGAAGGTTATCTATGACAATGGTCGGTCGCAAAATCGCAAGACCTTTGGCATTGAAAGTGTCCATTCACTTATCAGATGAACCTTGTGCCCGTTTGGCCAACGTTTAAATACTTAATACGTTTATCGATTGTATCTTCTTTTTTCAAAATCTGTGCTAGGCAAGTGTACAGTGGCCTCGGAAGTATTTTTCATCAAACGAATTAAGGTAGCGACAAAATAGAGAAGAATGTGTTAAGAGGGAAGATAAAACAAGCAACTTGAGGGCAAGGCCATATAGTGTTTGATATGCCAACACATTAATATAACGTCAACACGGCGTTAAGTTAACGATCTGTTTTTAACAAATAATTTTACGTGTATTATAGAGTATTTGTCATGTTGTATTTTTTTTTAGCCACAATTAGTATTTAATTTGCCTGTTCGATCAAGACGAAGAGAACGATGTCCTGCAGGACAGTTCGGTCGATGATTCGTCAGACAACGATGATGATAGCGATACCATCGACAACGAATAACTTTTGCGATCTTTTTATTTCTATATTTCGATTTTGTATAGCGTGCATTTTGTTACGAATAAAACGAGAAAAATATATCGAGAAAGATTCTGTGCATTTCTAGAATAACCTTTACCTTTACTGCGTCAGCTGACGGTCTTTCCACCGCTACATAAGCAGCTGATTGTTGTTTTCGTACTCTATATTTTTTGTAGAATCACGGAGTTAAATTTCATTCGGCGTATTATAACTTTATTTTACGTTTTTTTCACAAGTGCATGCGGGCAGCTGATGCATAATCCCCCCTTCACGATGCAGCTGACGATTTTTTTTTTGCTCAGTATGACATCAACTATTTACGGAAAAAGTTTCAGGCAGCGTACTATTACTTAATTTTTTATTTTTTTTTACTTCTTTCGCAACCTCCCAATTCCAAACCCACCGCAGGTGCGCCAGCTGACGCTTGGTTCAGTTATAAGTATTTCGAGATAAATAGTGAAAGAAGGAAAATAGTCGGCGTAAAATCACTGCCTAAAATGCAACGCTACCTCCCAACAACCACCGCCGTGAGTTCTCAGTAGTCAGGTTAAAAGCGGATTGGAGTGGTTAATTGGTGTTTTATCTCAGTATTTGAAAAAATACATTTTTCGAGTGAATTTTTTTTCAAGATCTGTGCTAGGCAAATATATTATCATAGTCAGTATTTTTCATATATTACAAAAATAGCACAATGCTTAGATGTACCTATTTTCGTATGACTGTTTGTATAGTGAAGGGTGCTTTGTTTATAGATAAGTACTTAATAAAAGAAAATTTTCTTTCCGAAATTTGTCTAGTAAAATTGAGACCACCACTATGAAGCAGCTGCCGACTGAAGTATTTCCGACACAAGTCCACATAGGCATATCTCTACCGTTCTACGCCCTTGATTTGAGAACTGGCAGTAAATGTAAAATTAGAAGCATTCAATATGTATTTATTTATTGACGTTCATAAGTGTATACCTAGTGTTACCTAAATGAATAAATAATTTTGACTTTGAACATCAAGTGAGCCTCCTGCCCGTTTGCCTCCTTGCTTCTCCATAAAAAAGCATCTATGTCTAAATGCGAACGGAATTGGTCTTTTTTCTCTACTTTATAAATTGCAATAAATAATGTTGAATGTAATGTTTTCTTTACCCTTATAAGTGTAACTACTAGAACTATTGGCGTTTGTCGAGAAGTTTATTTTAGAGTCGGAGAGGATTACTACAAGAATAAAATATCAAAGATGCAGTTTTCGTTTTAAATATTTGTCGTTACAAACTTAACTTAAACGTTAGGTCTGGGACTCAGATTTCTGTATCTATTTCATGATCATTTGTCAGTCTAATAAGCAAGTAGGTGATCAGCCTCCAGTGCTTGACACACGCCGTAGTGTGGGGTCTCAGGGCTTGGCCACAGTTTCTGGCGGTGTGGAGCGTGGCGTGGCGAGAGGGGCTGCGAGAGGCGCGGTTTGCGGTGGTATGTCACAGCTGGACCAGTTGCGACCGTGTTATTTTATATGAGCTCAATGCGCGATAAAAACAAAATTATTTGTTTTGGTCACGCGATGCTAAATGCGTCCACCACTGCCGCTGCGCGCGCCGCTCTGAGCTGTGGCCGCCTCGATACTCCCGAGTGCATTTGTTTCACTCGCACGCCGCGCAGACCGCCGCCGCCGCACGGCTTCCCCAGGTCGCACCGCAATGCGCGTCGCCGATAGCTGTGGCATACTTCATACAATTTGCTCAATTTGGCATACTTCATACAATTTGCCGCTCGTCGCTTTGCGCGCCGCAAACCGCGCCGCAGGAGACTGTGGCCAAGGCGTAAGGCAAGCCGGTTTCCTTACGAATTTTCCTTCGTACGGGCGAATGTAATGCGCACTTAGAAACTCCATTGGTGCACAGCCGGGGTTCTAGGACCTCAGGGAACCCCAGATACAAGACGGAGGACTAAGTATGAATGGAGCTTCCATATTATCTTTACCTTCGACCCAAGGTCTACTTTCCTGTCTTTGCCGCAGTTATAAAGTAAATAAAAAGGCGATAAAATTATATAATTACTAAAATAAACATTTCTTAAAGAACAAACGCACTACGAAAGCAAGGGTAAAACGTATTAGGTGCGTAATTGCGATGAAGGGCGTCGTCGCGCCAGCAGTAAATGCATCAACAGCCCGTACTCCGCGGCCGCTGCACGCGCGAGCCTGATGCTGGTCTCTGTCTGCTCCTGTTGCGCCTCTAATCCTCGCGCGCGCTTCACACAGTCTTGCAATGACGCCCTTAGCTGTGAATGATCTAACAATAAAATTGGCATCGCGCGGATTTTTAACTATCTCTCTCTCAAGATCTGGGTTGCTATGAGAAGTTATTGTGTAAAGGCTCAGTACCCATTTAAAATTATACATCTTTATGGTCATGGGATTTCCAAACTCTCTTGAAACGGATTGAGCGAATTTTTAACTTTTTGTTTATTATTTATAGATAGGAGCCTCAGGCAGACCAGTGACCTAGCCACGGGAAGTGTCAAATTTGCCCTTAAAAAGGGACTTTAGGTATTTGCTTAAAAGGCAACTACTCGAGAAATATTCTCATATTTAAGCTGCTTTTTGCTTATTAAATAAATAAATTTGGCGTTAAAAGAAAATTACTTTCGCCTTGCTTGCTTGTTACTCAACTGGCTTAGTCAAATCCTCGGAATATTGTGGCCTGAGAGACTCTTATATAAGCAACTATCGGAACAATGAGGGGCTAATTGCTACTGTCATTGCACTATCGACATCTTTAGGTATATGTTCCCAGAGTGCACAGTAGCGATATTGTGTATCTTATGTATTTATTGTATATTTTTCGACATTTTCGTTTTGGATTAGTACTGTATTTTTTGTGACTAAATAAATAAATCAGTCTAAAGATTACCTTTAATATTCGTCTTTCCATTATCTTCCTTTGTATCCAAGCGCAGAGGTAGGTCGTGGTCGCCCACACGATAAGAACCAACGTTAAAAATATATCGAGGGGCGGAAAATCAAGGAAAAACCAAGTATTTGTGCCCGGTACGAAGATCGTGTTTTGCGGCAGCGCCGTTGGTGGCAATTTCGGTGTGAGGTCTGGGACAAAGAACTCCACCGGCAGCAGCAGCAAGGCGATCAGCACTGTCGCCGCTACGCTACTGGTGCAGGAGCATCCAGGTAAAGGCATGTGTCACGATGATTTCAAAAATTATCGTAGGTTAACGACATTGCGATCAAAACAAATTTTGAAGCTATCAGTGACGATGACATTTGATTTTTCTAAAGTTAAAAAAGGAGAATTTACTAGACATTTTAATTGTTTATAGCAACAACTATTATCTGTGTATTACGCTAACGAAGTTGTTCTCTATGTCAAAATGTAATTGTGACTCATCATCACCATTGGGTGATGGAGCTAAGCATTTCGCTCTCTTATGGCCGTATAGTGAAACTTCAGGCTTCTAATTTTATCTCACAACGAAGTTATAAGGTCGAAAAGGGCCTGAACTGCTTCCAGTCTAGAAAAAAAATGGACCGATGCTTTAATATAAAAATACAATAAACTTAACAATGACCTTCAAATATATCATCTCACAAAATACAATTGTAAAAAAGTAGTAACTGAATATCTCAAATCGCTTAGTTACCAAACCACAGAAAATCTATTACGACGCCTAATTTAATAAATGGAACGTTTTTCTCGCCCACACTAGTAACAATTTAGCTCACTCACAAATGCACATACGCACGCACACATAAACTAGACTTTTTTCTATTTTTTTTTATAATTTATTTATTGTTCGTTTTTAAAAGTTGTATTTGCAATACTTTTTGCCACTATGTCCACGAGGGACTGGTGACTTGTAATAACAGGTTTTCCCAGCCTTTTTCAAGCAACAGTCTCTCACAATAATAGATAGCATTAAGTTTATTGTCAAAAAAGAAAGATGGTGTAATACCTGTGTCATAAACTCGTACAATGCAATATTAGATTAGATCAAATTAATTATAAATGTTTACTAACCGCACTTTGTACCTAACACTAAAATTGTAGACTAATTAAACTGTTCGTGGAAAAAAATTAACCGAGCAGGCATTGGAAATTACATTCAATTTGATCCAGTACTTTAAGAATTATTATTATTATTATTAGAATTGCGCTATAGAGGCGCACCAAACCATTGCCGTGACAGCACGCGCGCAGCTCGCAAACGGCTCGCGAGCTGCACATTCGCCAGATGTGGACGCACCCTAAGACACTTCTAGCAGACAGAATCTTCATTTTGAATACAATTTAGTCGTTAGGTTATTAACGTAACGTAACGTAACTTAAGACAGAAGCTTCCTCAAATAACCGACTTGGTACCTATTACATGCAGTGGCGTAACTTAACCTCTTGGGGCCCATAGGCCTCCTCTCTTAGGCGAGAGGGAATGGTATCTAGATCCCACGCTAGCCCAATATCCCCTAGCTAGCGTATTGGAGACTTCACATTCATCCGTAGAACATAATATCTCTTGGACAGGGGCCCTCATGGCTCGGGGGCCCGTGGCATTTTGCCAGCCCGGCCACCCTATTGTTACGCTATTGATTACATGGATCTTTGTGAGGCTTGTTTTTTTACATGTTATGTTTTTGATGGCATACATCTTTTCTCTTTATAATACCATTTTAATTACTTGTTTTCGCCCTAACTGTTTGAAGATTTGTTATGTATGTTAAGCCACAAATTTTTATTTACAGAAAGGCTCATTCCAACTAAGGAAACACAGTTTCATCAAAATCAGTTAAATTGATCGATATAGTTATTTTTTTAATTTGCAGGTGTAGGTTTTAAAGGAAAGTAAAAAACGCCATGAGTTACACAATTTATTAAATGTTAAATACATGTGAATAAAATAAAATTTAATAAAAATAACACGTATCACTATATAAAATCATTTGGCTTAATATTATGAGATTAATCTTAATTAATTACAATAAAAGCATCGTACATTTATAAATTAGTCGAATAAGCCGAATTACTTCGATCTATAATGAATTCATTATTCCCTTGTCGTAATGCGAAACGCGTCACTGTCAAAGGCAACGACTGTTGAACTAGCAAATTGTCAAATTTAATGAAAAATTTTAACTAAATAATCCAAGCAAGGGAATATAAAATTCATGTTGTATTACACAATCTTATCAATAGAGGACGTAAAATAACTGTTAGACGATTAATTTAAAACAAATTTGTAAGTCAATAATATCTTAATAACTATTAAATAGACATTTAGCATTAGCTGTCAACATTATATTAATCTTATACAGAGTGGATCTTAATTACAATTACCACTGTTTATATTATATCTAATTGGTGTTAATACCTTGGAGTAGACGTGCTCACGTGGGCATCTTAATATTTAAAAGCCGCTCTAAACAACAGGCTGTTCACATAAAATAGCTGCTAAAAATATCAAGTTCTCGAGACTTCGTTCGTCGATCACCCAACCACGCTAAAAAGTAACAATGCTAATGTAACTTATCGAAAATTCTTGATTGTTAACCTGTGTTTGATGTTATATCTTCAGTTAGCTCACAATGTATCAAAATGCTTGTAAAAATTACTTTAAATCAATCCAAATAGCTGGTGGCAATAGTAATCTCAGATGGTTGTGATATCATAATAAACACAAAATTCGTTGTAATTTAAGAACCTAGATTTTAGTTTAGCCTGAAATAAAACAATGATGACGTTTCACAACAGTCTTATATGAGCGCCATCTATTGTCGATGACATGACACTGTTAACATGACACGGTCCATTTGAAATTTCACAATATATTATACATATTAAAACATTAATAATTTAGTATTTATTTTTTGTTAAAGAGTTTAGTTGCACCATAAAAATACCCTTTATTATTATACATTATGGCACTCCATATGCTTTAAAAACATAAATGTTACATATATTGTATATTAGCTGTATATAAATACTGTATAAAATAAAGGCACTATATGCAATGGCATTTAAAACAGGTGATTTCCAACTTGACGACATGTCCCCAGATGGGGCGTGGACATTAATACCTACATTTTATAAATGCGTCTGTAACAAAGATTTCTGCTCGGTCTGTAACACAGATATCGGTTTTATTAATATACTATTGAAATTGGTTCAGCTTTCAGTCTGAACATATGATTTTCAATATTCTGTGTGTATGTAGCTGCATTGGTAATATTCTGTAAACGTGAAATTGAAAAGTCAAATATTTAATAGTTAACTTCAATTCACTTTTGTTTTACAATTTGAAAGGTTTATATAAGTGACCATGCCCCAATTGGGGACTGTACATTTTGAATCAACCTGTATTAAGGCATTTTAAGGACACGTTTAGTGCTGGCACTTTGTGATCTACATAATCTAATCTAGCACCGCTCACATGCTTAAAATCTAATATGTCCGCTATAGTGCTGCAAATATATATACTTAAATATGTTTTAATTTATATCTAATAGCCGTATAGCGGACATGTCTGTCTAATCATTCCAAGCAACTACAAAATCAGCTGTTCATTTTTGGCATAATAACAAGACACACACAAGGCACATGTTATTAAATCTATGACGTCTGTACTACAAGTAAGAATAGGTCAGTGACAAATTAAAAAAAATTAGAATAATGAACGAAATTTTAGTGTTTAAATAAAAGCACCAAAAATTCGTACAGCAGTAACATTGCTATTCTTAGCCGAGCACCAGAAATACCTTTTAAAAGTTCCCAAACTTCTTCGTAACTGTCGAGCTGGACTCCGTCTTGTGCGAGCTAGTCATTACAGATTTCCGCTCAACCATCTCGGATGTGATGGTTTGTTTCGAGAATTTCTTGTCCATTCCATCAATCTCCTTCAGCATTTCCCTTTTAACATCTGCTCTGAACTCCGACGGCCGCAGGAATCGACTAGAATCGCTCTTCGATTCATTGTATCGTGAATCGAGTGTACTGTATCGAGAATCTTCAAATTTCGACAATTCGTCTATACCGTCCAGCTTGATCGGTTCGTACTTTGTGTTCGTGCTTGTGAGGTTAACCGGTGACGAGCTGTAGATCTTCGTTGTTGTAATCTTCTGTGTACCATTTGGGATTTCTTTAACCTCTGTGGTCGTTTCTTCTAGAAAGTTCTTCCCGACGTCGCCCTGTTTGGCGTCAAGGGGTTTGAAGTCGAATTTGGTCGGTGTCGATGTGGCAAATGATTTGATGTATTCTGTTTTGGGGTAGCTCTGATAGGACTCGCTTTTGATTGAGTATTCCGAGTGTTTAGTCCCACCGGGGATGGCCTCGGTGGACTTCTGGTGTTCGCTGAACGTTTCACCGATACCATCCAACGGAGATTTACGTAATGTTGAGTATATTGGTTCGTTATCGTCTCTGAGTTCGCGTGCGTTAAATTTGGGACTCATTGGGGCTTTGGGTGTGTCGTAACCGTACTTTTCTTCTTTAAAATATTGATTTTCAGTTTTATAATTTTCGACCCTCTCTTTTTTGTCATAGTATTCGTTGACAGGGCGTGGCGTGTCGTATAGGCGTGTCTCGTAACTGAAACCACCACTAGCGATTAGCTGTTATATATTGATATAAGTATCTTTATCTACCGTTATTCAAATAAAAGAGACAGCGATTAGCTTTAGTCTTCACTTTAGATTCGTCTCTTTGTAGTCTCATGAAAGGGATGGCTATGTCTTCATTTCCGTCAAATCCTCAAAGTGAGACAGACAATCTAAACTGAGAGCCTTTGTTAGTGATCAAAATTTCTACTTAAGCATAACTCATCATAGCTAGGTAAGAAAGTTAAAAGGACCCAACACCATGCCATGCGTTAACACACATGTTGGCAACTGCTTGCCCAAAACCTATTAATTATACTGAACACGGAATGTAGCAGACTGTATAAAATTATGAAAGCATCAAGAACTAATCAAAATTCATCATTATACTGCTGATTTCTTTATTTATCATCATTAATAAATAAATAGATTAGTGGTGCTACAACCTTTTTGGTCTGGGCAGATTACTGAATCTGTTTCATGATCGTTTGCTTTATAGGCAAGTAGCTGACCAGCCTCCTGAGCCTGACACGCGCCATTTTAGATCTAAGACACGATTCCTCACGATGTTTCCCTTCGTACAAGCGAATGTTAAATGTGCATTAAAAGTCCATTGGTGCACAGCCGGGGTTCTACGGCCACTGACACTTTAGGATCATAAATGTGCATAAAAGCATAGGGCTTTTACAAGCAACTTCTTCCACCAATGTTAATTGTAAAAGGAAACACACAAAACCTTTCTAAAACAGATTCATCAATTTTTCCAGACTAAAGTTAAGCAAAGTGATTTATTTTACAATTAAAATATAAATATACTTTCCGTGTCATGTATAATATGTTCAAATATCAAGCTAGCTTAGCACCAAAGAAACAAATAGTTATTAAGCAACCTCCATTTTGGTCCTATGAGACGGAATTTAACACCATATTGTTAGAAATGAATTCTATTTTCTTATTTGACATGAAAACTAAATATTTAATTATCGTCTAAAGTTATTCGCAGGAATATGAATTAACAAAACTATACAGGTTTCATCCAAGGGTAGGATTGCATTTATAAAAGGATGTTTAGATATTTTTTAATGTAACAGGGAACAAACGGTCAAAAAGCTCACCGGATGTTAAGTAACACCATAGATAGACACTCAGTTTGCCAGAGGGCTCACAAGTACGTTGCCGACCTTTAAATTTCCCTTAGTATGAAATTTTTATGAATAACACTTGCTTCATAATTAATCGCATTAAAATCAATAAAAAAAAATCTTGTGCGTTAGTTTGTAACTCCTACACGGCTGGACCGATTTTGATGAAAATAGGAGTATTTTCGAGAATGGTTTAGATTTAAAATGATGATGTTTATTATTATTTAATACGTGTGTATAGGACAACGAGTCTGCTGGTTTTACATAAGCCATAATTAGACGAATACATTAGGTGTTAAGCTAGCTTGATGACGACCCCCGTGTAAAAGGAAAAAACGAACCCATTACTTGTCCTCATACTTTAGAGAGACCCTTCGCGGTGGCGGCGTCGGCCTTTCCCGTCTGTACGTTATTCGCTCCCCATCAATCAAATTTCGGACCTCGGCCTTTTTTGCTGTCATGCTGATCCTATATACCCCCATGCGTTAGTGCAAGGCATTTGATGTACAATTTACTAGACCTAGACTAGAAGTTTTCTAGAAAATTAACTTTTTAGTCTGGTGCGTAAATTAAATTGTTTTTATACAGAAAAATTTCTAGGACTGGTCCAGGCTAGTGTGTGTACATCAAAAATTAATTATATTTTTAAAGCATTAATTAAACTTTTATCGAGATGTTATAATTGTCATTGTTAAAAATTACAGTCTTTATAATTTCAGGCCTAATTTAAAATATTAATAAAGATTTGAAAAATCGTGCGAAATATAAAATGTTAATATTGTTTCCATAGCTGAAGATTATGATGCAAGAGATGGTTAAAACCACAAGTGGAGCTGAAATACAATATTAATACAGTATGTACAGAACGATGTTTGAACTCACAAAATTCGACTTCAAAGAACCAATCTGGAATTACTTTGTCTCTTGGTTGACCGGGTCAAACGCTTGACATAGATAATTAACAAACGGAGTGCAAACATAACACTTTAATAGCCATTACACGTTTGCAGAAAACCTACCAAATTTGTTTGTCAAATAAATTGTGTCAAATAGAAATAGATATGTGCTCCACGAAGGTACAAGACATTTGGGGCCAATATTAAAGTGTATGTATATAAATGGATCTAAAGAGATTTTGAAAGAATCATCCAAATCGATTAATAACATTGGTTTAAAGTCGATCAAAAAACGCGAGCGCAAGCGATTTACATCTGCATTTGGACTTACTCGTTTCTCATCGTTCTGTCATTAAGGTTCGTAGTTTTTTCTCTGCAAATGAAATATTAATTGAAAATACCATCTACCGAAGCAAGCTTACAGTAGAACAATTTAAAAAAATACACATTTATAAGAGAAACTTCAAAAATGGCTACCAAATTTTTGAAATCTCTCTAAAAATTCACACCAAAGAGCCCAGCCAATAGAGAAGCGGTTAATCTATTGCCTGTAAAGCCCATGCGTCTATAGCGGTCACAGAGCTATAGTTCTTATTACTAGTTAATCTAAACATAAGTCTACTATAAACCTTAATTAGCTAAACATTAAATTAATCACAGTTTCAGTGGTTTACGAAACAATTCAAGGCTTTTGTGAATTAAAACATTTGTGTGTGATCATTACACGAATTAGGAAAATATATTTTTAAAATAGGCACATTTCATAAGTAAGGCGTCAAAGGCACTTAAATCCTTCTACCTATAAATCCCAGCAGCATGTAAAAAAAAAAGATTTCAATTTAGAATATATCATTTGAGCTTATTGAAAAGTATATCTTGAGTACACTGACATATACAATATACAATTTATGTTTTATGTATTCCGGTTGGTTCCAAAATGGTCTACAAAGCGCTGCTCAAGTTATCCATACATTTGTTAAGAGTCCGCGCCACCAAAGACCCACAACGAAAATATTAACTTGACAAGTCGGTAAGGGGTTTTCTCTACAAATTTAGAGGGAAAACAAGACGTCTAGGGGGTTTCCCCAATTTTAGTGAGAAATAAGATGTTCAGGTGTGTATGTTCTTTGGTAGTGCTGACTTTGTTCCACTTAATTTACTAATTATTCTTTCTGATGATACCTGACACTTGTCACAAAACATTTAATAAGGTTAAAAATTAAGTTAATTCATAATTAAACAAAATTAATTTTAATAAACTCACCGAGTTGTAAATCCCTCATAATTCTGCTTCGGAGTTTCGTCCGGACGAAAACTCGAAAAGGACGGACTCTTGTCGCCCTTGTCCTTGAACCCGTTATACCCGGGCGAGTATACGGGCGAAAGGTTGTGTGTCGTATTGTGTGTCACACTTGTGTTCTGTGTTAGATTCTGTGTGGTGTTCTGCGTTGTGTATGTGCTATTTGGACTGTAAGTGGTGTTCGCGAAACTACTGGTTGGCGATTTGAATCTGAAATATTTGATTCAGTTTAGGCGTCGTTGATGTCCCGTCTCAAATGGGGCTTGGGGAATTCAAGTCTAAGTTTAATTCACGAAAGTGTTACAGACAATTTATCCACAAAAATATGTTTTACGTATACGAACATACGTTCTAACGTATACATTCGTTACGTAGTAAATTTGTAGCAGAATATTCATTTATTTTTTTAAATATAATAAATAGATAGTTCGTCTAATACCTATGTTGCACGTCTTGTCCGTCCGTGTCCGTGTCGTCCCCGGACGTGTCTCCACGCAGTTTGTACTTCGCCTGTCTTATCGCCGTGAGACGTCCGCGGGCCTCCTCCAGCTCCTTCTCTATGCGAAGGACTTCGGATCTGGAATTCATTAAAAATTTATAGAAATGTTCAGGCAAAGTTCCTTTTCGTATTAACCGACTTATTAAAGGCTGATTCGATTTTTATGTTCCACAGTTCATGGACCGGTCTGGAGATTTATACCATTGCTGTGCACAAAGGCCTCTCCCCTAAACTTCCAGAACGACCTGTTCCCCGCGCTCTACATTCAACGCCTTCCCTCTCCAGGTCATCTGTCCACCTAGTGGATCCTTCCATCACCTCCATTTCAGGACCTTTTTGCCCCATCGGCCATCCGTTTTTCGAGCAATATGCCCCACCCATTGCCATTTTAGTTTCTAATTCGGTGGTGTTTAAAAAGAGCGTACCAATTTTTAAAATACCGGCAACACACTCGCGAAAACTCGAGGGTACCATAACAATTCTTAAAAAAAACTCACCTAGCATCGATCTCTTGCGCGATGCCCCCCACCATTCTTCTGTTGAGCACCAGACTCCGTTCGTCGTCGCAATGGATAGCGTCTCTGGCCGCTCGCACCAAGCCATCCGTAGACCGGATGACCTCTGCGCCCGCTGCTTGCAGGCGTCGAGTGGATTCCGATGTGGGATCGGCCTTTACCTGAAGTTATATAGGAGGATGTAATGCCTGATGGGATACGTGAGAACCAGTGGAGCTACAACCTTTTTAGGTCTGAGCCTCAGATTTCTGTATCTGTATCATGATTTGTCAATCTTATTGGCATAATCATATTATGGTGAATGTCATGAAAAAAAATGTCATTTTTATCTTACCTTACAAGCGACTAAAAGTTGGGCCGTCGAAGAGGCCACCTGTCGCGCGCTAGAAATCAACCTCTCCTCGGACGCAGCACCCTGAAATCAATCGTATTTATTAATAAACAAGAAATAAGACGAAAAGGAAAAAAAACCAGTATTAAACTAACGTATACCTGTACGAGCGCGTTCGCTGCTTCGACGAGCGCGTGCGCAGCGGCTGCTACCAATCGCGCAGCGGACACGAGTCCCTCGGACCACTGCCCGTCGTCTGACGACGACGTCGGGCGTCGAGCGACTTTTCCCTGAAAATTATAATCATGCAGAACTTTTAGAAGAAGACTTTCCAGTATTCAAACTATCATCGAAATAAATTTGAAAAGAATGCCTTATATATAAGAATTGGTCTGAAGAGGAAGTTCAAGTTCTAGTAACCTAACATGTAACCGTATCGCGAGGCTCCAGGTCAAGAAAAGCTGAAGATCCAGGAGATCCGGATAGCTATCGTACTCGTAGGCGTCTAGCTAGCCACGAGCTTTGTTGACTTCGCATTATATACGAGAAGAAGCCGCTCGCTACTGTGTGTGCGTGTACGCGTCTCGGTCGTACTTTTTCTCGGGAAAACTGACAGGAGGCTCATCTGATGTTAAGTGATTTATTGCCAGAAGGCTCGCAAGTGCGTAGCCGGCCATTTAAGAATTGGTACGCTCTCTTCTTGAAGGACCCTAAGTACAATTGACTCGGAAATACTTAAGTGGGCGGCTGGTTCCACATAATGATGGTGGTCAGGTGTGGACGTCGAGGTAATACGGGTTGAATTTCGTATTCTGCCTCGACATCTGCTGAACCTCAACTGCAGGTATCAATCCGAACAACTACCACTCCTCCGTGGTAAATGGGATAGAAGATGCAGAGAGACCCCATATCTCTCAACGCCCAGGGATCAAGTCGCTCGAAATGTGACTGGTAGTCGAAACTCACCTGATCGATGAGCTCTCTCTGAGCTGCTGATGCCGCTCTGACGAGAGCCGATGTTGCTGCTATAATAGATTTTGCAGCTTCCAGGATCATCTCGTCAAAGTTGAGGTTTTCATCAGTCTCCTGAAAATGGAAAGGTATTTGAGAATTTTTTCAACACTGCAATGGCAACACTGTCTTTTACAATTTTTTATCAAATCGAAGCATTAAAGTACATCTTCTCTTCTTTTACTTTAATCGTTCACAAAGTTATAAACAACGAAAGGGAATCTATATTTTTGAAAGAGCTGTGTTAGAGTCTCGGGCCTGCAACTCTCATCCGAGAAGTCGAAGGTTCAAACCACCGTAGGGCACCAATGGATCTCTCTTGATGAAGGTATCGTGGCAAAGCATTAAATCCACGAGCGAGGCAAAGAAGGCTGATCACCTACTTGCCTATTAAGATAAATTACCACGAAACAGAATTAGAAGTATGAGGCCAAAACCATGGGTTGTGAACCCTTGAACTGCAATTAACATTGGAAAATAAAACATCAAAAAAGATTAACAGCTTTGAGGATTTAATTATACGTCCAAGCACTTGTGCTAAATATTATTTAATAGGGTATTCATTTAATTACAGAGAATTTGTACAAGAACTTTTCTCCTTCTTCCCTAACTCTTCTTTCTCTTCCGAAGTAAATAGGTCACTATCTCCACTCTCCTTTTTCTTTTCGGTAAATTGGTCACTTTATTTAAACTCTTCTTCGGTAAATTTGTTATTTACTCCAAATTCTTTTTCAGTAAATTAATTGATGACTTTCTCCAAACTCTTCAGTAGAATTAGTCACGATCGATGTGTAATATGTTTGATTCCCGGGTGATACAAAGAAACAACCAAGAATATCAAACATATCTCACCGACACGTGACATCTTCTGTATCTTCTTCAACCTTCTAGATGGGTGTAGACATGGTGGGTGTGTGGACATCGTACAAAATGGGCAGGAATTCTCATTATAAATCCTAGTCTTAGGTAACCAGGCAAAAGATAGTTCTTCTATATTCAGTATAGTAACAATACCAGAAATCGCCTAGAAATTTAGAAAAAACTCCTGGATTTAAAAAAAAATAAATAATCAGTTGTGCTGACCTGAGCCTGTTGCATTCTAGGTCTAAGTTTCTCCAGCTTCCTCGCCGCGGCATCGATGGAGGCAGCGGCGCCCAGCAGCTCCTGTTCCGCTATGACTGTTGGGTCAGCTGGATCCACCCAGTCCGAACCTACGGTAATTAGAATAATATAGGAATAAAAATTTTGCTCCCGTGCAAAATATCAAGGTACAGTGTGTCTTTAAAAGACTGCTTTTCTATATACAAGTAAAAGTTATAAGAAATAATGACTCAAATCGTGCAGGTTCTTGGGGATGTCAATAACAAAGAGGTGAAGGGCCAAAAATAAGTTTACTAGTAAGTAGTCAAGTTCTAATAGCAGAACTCACCTTTAAGCAAATCAGCGGCCGCCAGCATATCGGCGACTGCATGGGCAACGTTCCGAGATAACTCCGGCAATGCATGACGCGACGCGGGCGCAGATAGCAAAGCGCTAAGCAGAGATCGATAGGACTCTGCTGCGACTCGAGTCGCTTCTAAGGTACGCTGTTTCAGCTCTTCACTTTCTGCTGAATGGGCTGCGCTCTGTAAATAACGTATGGTACGATATTTTGTTGGTTCATGGGGCAAAATCACGAAGGTCAAATACAAATAGTTACGAAAGCCCCAAACTACAAGCTCCTGAAATATTTACCTTTGCAGCAGCCATCATATCCAGAACAGTCTTCCGTCCCAGATTAGCGGCCGCAGTCAACTGCTCTTGCCCCGTTGCTCCAGCGATGCCACCAGCTGCCACAGCTCTGGCCGTCGCAGCTGTCATCAGCCGAGTGCAACGGACCAGCTCTTCAGGTGATCCCGTGCTTTTGGGGGGCGATGGGGACATTAGGACCTGAAATCAGAGATAGCGAAACTGTGCTTAATTCAGATTTTTAACACCTTACTTTTTTACCACACCAGCGACGCTAGAACCCTTGCCCTAAGATATCTGAATCTGATTTTTTCTTGAACAGTTCCTAACTATTACTAACCCAAGAATGACTTTAGTGATTTCCTTGTCAACCATAACAATCGAATTGAATCATTATTCCATGTGTCAAAGACAATGAACATTACAACCATGTTGGGTGTGGCAGATACAAAATTATTAAAGTAGAATAAATGTCGTGGAAATGAATTAAGAAGTATGTGTGGTGCAACATTGCGTGATAGGATTAGTAATAGTGAGCATGTGGGTTAAAAGAGAAGACAAGGATACGAAAGAGAATGCTTAGGTATGGCCATGAATGGATGAAGAACCGGTTAACGAGTAGGATATACAAGGAACCAGTAGGTGGTATTGGACCAAATTCAGGATGAACTAGAGAAGGGTCAAAAGTACCCATAACCAACGAGCATGGTGAATGTCATGAAGGCGAGGTATGTTTTTCAAATGTACTTTCTGAAATGAAATTGAGAACTTCAGCATGACACTCAGAAATCACTGTCGGATTTTAGTACAGTTTTTACCAATATGAATAAGAGAGTGTAATTTTTGAGGTGTAAAGGAGAGATAGAGAAAGGTAAAGGTGTTAAGTTCATTGTGGTTTTATGTAAATTTAAATATTTTTGCAGTAATAGACGCAGTTGCAGCTACGGTAGCTGAATAAATACCTCGATTTCCTGTGATATAGCCTCAATCGTGGATTCCAGGGCTCTTGTGCCTCTTGTATGTTCATCTTCAACAGCTTTAACAGTCTTCAGCAGTGACGTCACATTTGTCACCATAACCTACAAACAAGTATTCATTTGTCTATGATTTCACAAAAATAACCGACTTCAAAATGACCACCTGCGTTTATGGTTCCTATTTCCACAATATTCCAAGCAATTTAAATTCCAAATCCAACCAACGAAATGAAAACTTTGAAGTCGGTTTAAAATTTAAAGTTTTTGACAGAAAAACCAATAAAAAGCCGGCAAGCGTGAACGATCGCATGATACCTATGGAAAAAATAAACACCAATGCAAGTAGCACAAACTATTTATACAATCGAATAGTTATATGTCAATAATTTAAAAAAATCTAAAAGGCAAGTGGGTGATCAACCTCGTGCCAGCAAGCTATTTTTAACGCGCACACAACGAGCCGGGATTTTCCACCACCTGAGTTTGACACAGTTTGATTAACCATCGACAACCTTCGTACTCCAAGAGTACCACCAACATGTTCCAAATGTGTCAAACATTTGAAAATCATGTAAAATTTCTTATATTAAACGTATGATCAAAAAACGGTTGAATTGCTGCAATTTTTTATGAACCATCTCGATCCACAACGCTTTTTACACCTATTTTGGGATAATAACTTCCAAATATGCCATAAAGCTATTCGATTATACGTATAGTCGGTCCTGAGGGTACGTGAACACGGAACTGACAGGGGGTAAGGGTACGATTCAAAGTCGAGACCAAGTCGAATTCGAATTAAACCCTAGCGTATTACTTCAAATTAAATAAAAATTCCAAAAACTGGAACGAAATTACCACTCATCCATTCCGTGATTCAACCCATAAGCTTTCAACAAGCGAATCTTGAACGCAAACACAAATTTCGAGTGATTTGTAAAAATTCTATACACGGGAAGATCACTCAAACTCCTGGCTTTATAATTCAGAGTAATTGTCTTAATATCAATGTCAAATGCACAAAATATCACTTTTTTATCAAATATTTGCCATTAGGGACGAAGTCTGGGTTATTTGAGTGCCCGGCAAACCCACCAAATAAATCATGCTGAATTTGAACTGGTACATTACCTAACCGTCGCGTCTGTGCGAATTCATTTTCAAACGTCGGCGTCTCAAATTGTTACTATAACTGAATAATCATTTATTTGCAGGAATGTCTGTTCGCATTTATAAGAACCTGCCAATTTGTAGACGTTTTTAAAATCCTTCTCGAAAATAACAGCTTTAACAAAACTCTCCTATTAGCGTAACTAAACAATCTTTTTCAAGGAATTGGATCGGTCAAAACGTAGAAAATCAATCGAACAAAGCGTCGAGATATGAAAATATAAATTCCCGTTGTTCTTGAAGATCTTTTATCACGTAACGTTCAAGATCCGCTCTTAAAAATTCGTCAATATTGGACTTTCGAAGCGATGTTAACATCCGATGAAAGCTTCGGGCTTATAAGCTGATATCTGATTTATAAATTTAAAAAAAATCAGTCCCAACTCACGACCCATGACATGAAATGACATCACAACATTGGTTTAATAGTGACATGATGGAATAACCAAAATCCCTTGAAATTAATAACGGGTCAGAATTTCTGGATTTTAAATCAACAATTTCTAGATTTTAATTCGTGATAAGGTTTTAAAGAATTACGCTATTTTCTTGAAGGAAATGAGAAATATGGTCAGATGGTATAATATTATGAAGAGAATCGATTCTTAACCAGGATCGAGAGCTTTCTGGTAGTACCCATGGGCGATCAGATAAGATTTAGAGTCGTGACCCGTCGGTAACCGACTTCCGATATGTCAAAAAAAGTTCTAAAGTTTTAGTGCAAAATTATAACCCCCAATATATTTCACAGGGATTTTGTTACACCATTTATAACAGTAAGTGGTGCTGACAAGTTAAATCAATGACACGATAATTGCGAAAATATTCAAGTCCAATAATATTAAAATCACATACACACAACAATTTATTTTAGGCATTTTTGGACACACAAAAACCACTAACACGTGTTCGACCGATAAATAGATAACACAAAAAAAATATGTAAAAAATCTAATAACTGCAAATTAATGGTCTATATGTGTATAGATTTTCAAGAATTTTTAGAAGCCGGAGTTTTAACGCTCTTCGAGTAGATTTCTTAAACAAAGAAACGCTATTCGCACCTTAGACACTACTGCAGAGGTAGCTTTAGATCAGTGTTACCAAACATGGGACCCACGCTCCACGGTGGGCAACTTGTTTGTTAATTCGATTAATTAAAATGATTTAGAATTTTAATTACAGTTTTTCAAATGTTTTCAAAAATTCCTAAATAATAGACTTTTAGAAAGGCTAAGGTGGGGGGGGGGGGGGGCATGGGAACGAGAGGTGGTCTTTCTAAATTGGACTTGAATATTTCCATCCACACCATGCGAATTTGATTCTGACCGATTCATTGCCACTGTTCTCAACCGCTTCCGTCTCCCGAAACCTCGTATTATCCACTTCATCAAGAATTTTTAGCTGTTCCTCCATACGACTCTTCGGCCTTTGGCGTTCCTTGACTACCTCTTTCATATCTTTCCTATTCATCATGGACTCGTAGAAATCCCACCAGCCATCCAAACTGCCGAATTGTTTTTCCCGATTTTTTATCACATCTTCATATATCGTCCACCAATTGTTGGCATAGTACTGTTTCGGGTACGTTCGTGTTATGTCATATATTTCGATGTTTTTGTTATTTCGACCTTCATTTGTTACGTTGGGAATATATGTTCTGATAATCTTGTTATAGTATCTCTCTAGTAGACACAATTCTTCATACGTAGACTTTGATATATCTATCTTTGTGTAGATATCCAAGTCTTTTTGCTTTCTTTCTATTTCTATATTTGATAACGCCTTTAGTTTCAAAATCAGTGGATCAAATCCTTTGTAATTGAAGTCTCGTTTGGCAAAATCGATTAATTTTAAAACTATATCTTCATACTTTTTGTTATATTCTAAATCTTTATTAATCGTCTTTGATAGATCAACTTCTTCGATAAAACTACGCAGAGTATGTTTCTCTTTCTCGTATTTATCAATTTCTGTTTTTATTTCACCTAAAACGAGTTCGTGTCCACTAAATCTCTCCAATTCCAGTCTCGTTTCTTCCATTCTTTCTAAATTTCTTTGCGCTAACGCCTTCCACCATTCTGTATCATCTTTGAACATATTCCAAAATTGTTTCTTATTAATTGTATTAAGTCCACTTTCAGGTGTTTTAGGACTATTCTGCGACGGTTCTATAGATGTAACATCTTTATTTTCCATGTTAACGACTAAGTTGACTGGTTTTACTTTTTTGAGTTTAAAAACCGGACTCTTTAAATTTGGTTTATCAATTTTGGTTATTTTTATTGACAAATTTGTATTAACAGTGTCTTGCCAATCTAAATCTTCGACCACTTGGGACAGACGTTTCATCTCACTGTCCAAATCTGATGAAACAACTTTGAATTGCCTCGCATTACGTTTCCTTCTATTATCAGCTTTTTTAGCAACATCTACGCATACATCGATAAATTTTCGTAGTTCTGCTAAGAAAATACCCTCCCCGTATTTAAGCACCCTCCAGTCCATGTCGAATAGACTATTTTTGGCTGCTATATTGTATCTAGCATTGACATCGTCATTTATTTCTCTGGAAATGGGCTGGGTCATTAAATCCTCTATATAAGTGATTAGTTCTTCGCAACTATCGTGGAAAATGCTGGGTGAGATATCGTCATCTTGACTGGAATAGTCCAAGAGCTTGATCAGCTCATCCTCCTGATCAGATTGGAAGATATCAGTTTCAGAATCGCACGAATTGTAGTCTTTTATAAGGGAACGTCTCTTTGCTTTTGGGATTGTGTTGGTTTTGATCGGGAGGCTCCAACGCTTCGGGTCTGAGAGGCGCTAGAAACACCCGATAAACATTAAAATGGAGTTGAGACGTCAAACTGACAGATCGAATCCGTCAATCCTTTTTCTTAATGAGCAATTTGACAGTTATCTGACGATTGACAGATTCAATCTGCCCACGACATAGAAAGTCCAATATCGACATAGACAAACATAGACACACAGAAAAGCGAAAAAAATCACGATTTGGTAAAAAACATAAAATCTAAAAGCGAATGCTGAAAAAAATAACAAAATTTTCAATTAATTAAGAAATGATATTAAATCCTAAATGGGTCTTGGGACAGAAATAAAAAATAACATATTTCCTCACGAAAATTTCTTTTCTACATTAATGGGGTTTAAACACACATTTAAAAAAAACTTCAACTGGTTCCTCCCCAACCCACATCCTACCTTGGCGGCGTGCTTCAAGCGGTCCATGTCTGGATGCTGCACGTGTTTGCCGCTGGCTGCAGCGGTCGCGGCAGCCAGATCCCGGAGCGCGGCTGCAGCGTCTCTGGCAGCGTGGAGGACCAGTACTTGGGGCTCCGCACTTCCGCCCCCGAGAGACATGGCCCCTTGCTTCACCACTTCGCAAAGTTGCACTTTGCGGAGCAATTAATATTAATTAACTGTTTTTTTAATATGTCAATAAAAATAAGTATAATAATATAATATAAAATGAAACTAAGTTACGTTAAAATACGTTGCTAGCCTATTAAAGGTTCCTTAAAATTTAAGAGACACCACTATACGCAAAGAGCGCGGGTATAAGTAATATATTGAAGTGTCTATAATTAAGTGATTTACACGTAGTATAAGATCCCGCTATACAACGACCTTCACCGAGATGCTTATTTAATGAAACTTATTTTATATTTAATTTAATATGTCAATAAATATAATCCATATGGGTTGCCTAGCAAATTTCAGTCCAGAGTATGTTTAATTAATATAAAAAAAAAATTTTTTTTTATAATTTGCATGTAGTAAATTTTTTGACCTTTTTCAATCAATATTTTTAATCAGGGTAGTATTATATATGTATCACTATAACCTTCTTTTATACTAAAGATGTATATATACTTTAGTGTCACATAAAAAAATATACACATAAATAATTAATTGATTAAAAACAACCTAACGTTTGTATATTCTATGGGCTTCATACGTTCGATTGGTATAGAATTTATCTAATAATCATACCGGTGAAATGTTTAAAAATTTTTTTTTTTTTTAATTAATTAAACATACTCTGGACTGAAATTTGCTAGGCAACCCATATGGATTATATTTATTGACATATTAAATTATATATAAAATAAGTTTCATTAAATAAGCATCTCGGTGAAGGTCGTTGTATAGCGGGATCTTAGACCAACGGGCGTGTGTTATCGACCTATTAATATCGAATGCAGTATCATAAAATAAATATTTTGAAAGTGTCTTCGCAATGGCAAAAATTCGCGTACACGTTATAGCCCTATAGGTAACTTACTTATAGTCCCAACAGCGCTCTGGGCAGCTGCAGCCAACTGCTCCTGTGTTCCACCGGCCCCACCCACCAGGCTCTTGGTATCTTCCACCAGGGTCTTCGCGGTCTTCAGGATATTCTCCCGATGGTTTGAGAATGTATCGCCTTCCTTCTCTGACTGAAGTGTGCCTGAGAGTAAAAGAATCTTTTGAACCCACTTCAAAAAACACCAACCAAACTGTCTATGTTGACATATATTGAGATCATTCTAAGTTTCATCAAAATTGGGCCAGCATTTTAGACATATATACTGTAAATTATATCTTTAATGTTTATTTTTCGTTGAGACGGAATTTTAGAAATTACAATAAACTTTTCGAAACCAAAGATAATAGAACTATTAACACTTAAAGGGGCAGTAGAAAAATAATTAGTCAACACCAAAATCAAAATTTCATCAAAATCAGTTCAGATTACTGAACCCAGACCTAAAAAGGTCGTAGCATCATTGATTATTTTAAATAATTATTTTGTAAAGACTCACCAGCGCTCGCAAACAAAATGGTGGTGTCCAAATCGCCAATGATGGTGGCGATGGTGGCCGCGGCGTCGATGCAGGCCTGAGTGCCGCGGGAGCCCGCTTGAAGTGCGCTCAACAGCGAGACCACCTATTATCAAGCGGCTTTAAGATTTCTCTCAACGGAATAAGTGCTGAACAATTATCTAAATATAAAAATAGCAGCGCCTGTGGGATAAAGTGATTTGGTCCTTCGGTCCGATCCGATCCAGGATATTCATTGGTTTGACTTTAAATTTATATTATATCAAGTCTCACCTTCTCATTCAACTTTCTCGCGTTATCAGCGACGGACCGTTGGTTTTGGGAAATGGCGGCGAGACGGCAGTGGCCACCGGCCCTCACCAGCTCGGAGACACCTTCACCGACTTCCACGGCGCACACGCGAATACTGAAATATATGTATTATTACAGCTCCTTACGATTTCCTTGTTACCCAAAAACGAAGCGTTTCTTACCAGTTCCTCTCAATCGCTTTGATTTGAAAGTAGTATATTCAGATTCAATAATTATAAAAAATCCCAGTCAAGAGTTTCCATTGTAAGAAAACGAACGAATGGTCAAAGGTCTGACCAGGTTTTAAGGTCAAATTTGAAGGACAAATACATTTATTTAAATATTTTCGTGTTAACATTAGGAGAAAAAGAATTTTAGGGCCTTAACCTAGGTCTGAGGCGTAAGAATAAAGTGTCCAAGGGCGGCGGTTTCACATAAGGTGAGCCTCCTGCCCATGGATACTCACTTTTTAATTGTTTTGGGACATTTCAAGTAAATCTATTTGTATTCCTTATAATGGACTAAACCTATAATGAAAAGGGTTTGAACATTTTCATAATGAACGTGATCACTCACCGATTGGCCACGTCCGCGTTGGGCGTGGTCGCCGACGCTCCGACACTGTCCGACGCCAACTTCTCATACTTCTGACACATCTCATTCCCGAGTTCGACTAAACGAGCCGGTTCTGTGGCAGCCTTGGCCGTCTGAAAAATTAAAACGCGCTCGTAAATTTACTCATGCACCCGTCATTTGAGATCTGACAGAAACTGTAAACAGGTCATATGTCAACTGTCAATGTCAAACTTGATCTGACAGCTCTTGTTGACAGCTAAAGTGTGATTGATGTTCTAGGAAAGGAGCCTTTTATATTGACGAATGATCACACCCAATTAGGGTTGTACCGACAATGATTTATTTATTTACATGTATCATTTTGTTGGTCTTTCACTCTTTGGGTTACCGCTATCGTAATTAATTCATACACTAAGTGAGATAGTTTTTCAATCCAGTAGTTTTGGAGCCTATTCAATGCAATCCCTGTTTGTTTCCTCTTTACAATATTATAGTAGATATCACAGAAACTCTTGTTGAATTGTGTTAGACCCTGTCAAAGGCTGTGTTTAGATCAAATCCTTACCATATCGGAAGCCAGTCTGGCAATCTCCTTAGCGGCTGCAACCATTCTTGTTTGGTAATCCACGAATGATTCCGTCTCGTCATAGCTACCGATGAGGGACATTCTGAAATATTTTATTTAGTTAAATACAGAAACTTTTGTGAAAACTTTTCTGTCCTCTCGCCTTTCATTGTAATCATATTTAACTTGGGTACAAAATTGTACCTATTTATTTATTAAAGCTCACCACATCATATACAATATGTTATACTATATGTGCTACGTAAATGTAACACGCTATCTTTCCTAAAATACATGACAATTATGGTAACCATTTTACAAAAAATGTTTGCTTAACAACCCTTTTTTATAAATTGATCAGCACACTACCAAATATATTCAACTGAGAGGTGCCTGAACTCCTAGGTTTTGGAAAGCTGCTGATCTTGAACGTCGGGAATTAATATGTGTATCCGAGGTAGTTAAATTTTTAAAGATCCCCAATTTTCATATGGCAATGAAAGTTGGACTGTGCGAGCATTCAAAAGGAGGATAGATGCCTCTAAAATGTAGTCTTTGAGGCGTATACTCAGGATCCCTGGACAGCGAAAAGGACGAATTTGCCAATTACAAGCTTCACTAGAGAGTTACCAAAGATCCTGAGCTTCATTGGACATATATCATAGTAGTCCCGACGTAGAAGAAGAAGCTTGTGATAACCGGTAGAGTGAGAGGTACGCTGAACTTTTTCACCAAATGAAAACCTTTTCTCTATTCTTTCTTGTAACCTTGCATGCTTAATTATTATTACAACATTATTCCTATTTATGAATTTTCCTCGGGATTTGCAGCGACTGCTTTGATTGCAGGAAGATGTTGCTGCATGTACGGTAGGCGCTGTCCCTGATTCGATTCAAGTCATTGACGTGTATTTTCATCCATTTAAAGTGTTTCATCGTTAGAGAGTATAAATAAAATAACAATGAGAATATCTTTAAAGAAATCAGCCTTTTAAAACATTACCTTTCGTGTGATTTAACTAAGCACTGGGTAATATAGTATACACTGAACACTGTCAGACGTTCGCCAACTTCGGATCAATATACAGTGACTGCAATTTGGCGGAACGCCAATAAAATCATGTTAATACGAAATTTAGAAAAATTCCATCAGTTAGCACGAAGGTTGTACAGCAGAGAAGAAAGATTGAGCTTAGCGGATAGGGACAGGACGAGAAGTCCATAGCCTCACTGTGGAGATTTTAAGATTACGTCAAGAAAGCAAGAGTTATGTGGGATTTCAAGGATATACTTTTCAAAAAACCGTTCTTAAGCTATGAGTTTTAGGATTGATCAGGAATATAAGAGATGGAGAACGTGAACATCACGCTCACGAATGGGTAACCAGCCTAACCGCTTACAGATCAGTATTTTTTAATCTAGGTTATTTAATAGGTAAATAAACATTCGTGCCTATAGTTTTGCCATTTATAATTGTATATTTATCCAATTTTTGCTCATCACTGAATGCTGAGCTGATTCATAAAACGAATATCCTTAACCCAGCATCTGTTTATTTATTTATAGATAGTTATTTTTGGTCGAGACATCGAGACGTCGAAAGTAAGGAAGATGTACGATAAAATATACGATATTCGAAATCGAGACGTAGATTTTCTGTTTTCTGTATATCAAAAACATATTAGACTTGACATAAAATGCCTCCCGTAGAATAAAAAGAAGGTACTCACCTATGCTCAGTGAGTCTAGCCACGGCCCGTGCGACAGAGTCCAACAGAGGTCCAACGGCACCTCTTTGGGTGCTCAACTCCCTCACTTGGCCACTCAACTCGTTGAGAGCAGCTCGGGCAAGCGAGCATTGCGCTTCGACTTCGCTATGAGCCGATATCGCCTATAACAATATCATCCATGTAAACAATATTCATAGAAATTGTTTCTCTCTTTCGTCTCTTCTCTTCACAGCGTAAACAGAATACGAGTGAAAGAGACGAGAGTCCTAAGTGTATTTTTTTTAAAAGGTAACCATTTCAACTGTTTTTCCAATAATTAAATAAATCCTGTACTGTTTCACAATCCTCATTATTAGATCAGACCAGATACAATGACCTGTAAGCTTACCACATAAATTCAACGTTTGATTCAATTAACATTGAAACTGTTTATTTTTTTGTTGGTAGCTTTAGTTTTACGTCTAAATATCAATACTCAAATCGCTATATTTATGTGGTAACTTCGGTGTAAAAAATCAGTCTGTATGCTGCAATAAAAAATCGAAAAGATTACCACATCTACTGCTTTCAAAACAAGTCCATTTTCGCAAAAAATATAGAAACAATTTTTTTTTACGATAGTAAGCATCCTAATACAAAAAAAAACATTAACCCTACTAATGTAATCTTTCATATAGTTTTGGTGATAAAATACAATCCCCTATTTGATAAAAAAAAAAAAAGTTTTTTTTAAAATATTTGCTTACCCTAGGATTCCCTCCACTCTGCTTAGCGGCGTGAACGAGCAGAGACAGAGTCTCCAACACCGTCCTGGTGTGTTGTAACAGTCCGGATTGTGAGGCCGATTCAGTGAGATTCGACGCGGCCCCGCTAGCAGCGGAGACAAGGGGTTCGGCGTATGATACCTGCGAAAAAATTATTTATAAAAAGTGTCTCTTGAAATGATTAGAATTAAAAAAGTGAATTTTCTTATGACAAAAAAAGCCACGAAAATATCTGGCGAACGATTGAAATGATAAAAAAATTGAAACCACGAAAACGTGAATGTGAAAACGAAAAAATATGCAATAATTTTACACCGATTTTTTAATAGGAGGCAAACTGTACTCACCATTTGCAAGACGCTGTGCCCCAAATTCTCCGCTTCAGAAGTGGCTGCAATCTTCACCGGTTCCAACTTCTCCAGCATTTCCGCTGCACTGTTCTCCACTTGTTCACAGTAGCCTAAATTATTAATAATATATATTACAGTTCTTTATTAATAATTCTCATCCCATGGACTCTTTCAATGCCAGAGAGCTCGAGAGTGCGTCGCCGGCCATTGGTTCTGTAATACTTCAATGGGCTGGTTCTTAGTAGCCTGACTTTAAACGCTCAGTTGTGGAAAAGGGAAGTGCTCAAAGTCCAAGTCACAAACTCCTACTGTAAACTACCGTAATCCTACTGCAATAGCAGCAGGTCTCAATATCAGTAGTCCGTAAAATCTTACCTTGCAGAGTATTAGCCTGCCTGGACCTCAACTCTTGTCCAACAGCCTGTATCGCAACCTGGTCCAGTTCCCGCTGTTGCGAGTTCAGCGTATCCAATGCGCGTGCGCATTCACGTTGCCCAGGTGCCTTTTCACTAAAATAATATTTTGTAATTTAATTTTTTTGAACAATTTATTTTTCTGAAATCAATAGTTTTTCAAAATGACAATAAAAGATTACAAATAAATAAAAAATATTAGGGAAGAACTAAAATTCTACATACTTTCACATTTAAGAGTGGTGCCAATTACAATCAAAATTGACGGTAGAACTCAAACTGAACAGTATTGCCCTACCCAAAAATACTAATTTCTTTTCGCAATTAAAATTAAGATATAATGACGGTAGAACAAAAATTTCACAGTTAACTTACCGAATATTGGTGACTAAAAGTTTGATACTGTCTGAGACAGTTTTGCTGTGAGTGGCCAAGGCCTGCCATTGGGGTCGGTCCGATGGTGCCAGCACCAGCACTCTGGCTGCTTCCAGCATGGAGCAGGATCCAGATATTATGCTCCTGGAAGTTGAGCTACTTATGACAGCTGTTTAGGTTTAATATTAAGAATTGTGAAACTTGATCGGCAAAAATCACAAGGCCGACAACTCACTCGTCAGACCTCTGGAATTGAGTGTCCATGGGTCAATAACATCAGGTTGCCACATAAATAAAGAGCGGAATTGCTGTATGACCTGTACTGGTCAATGCTGCAGAAGGATTGTCCCCGACTTGTGGTTCTTTTGTAGAAAGAAGGTTAAGGAACTTGTACATTCGCGTCACCGGGGCTTGGGTTTGGGGTTTTTAAAAAATGCTAATTACGATTCGATAAAACTAAAAGATTTCTGTAATTGTGTTAACATAACTACAGAAATAATTTTACCTGCCACAATCCAAAATAGCCTCTTGGCTGAGTCTGGCCTGAGGCGAGATCCTGGCGGGAACGGCTGCGAACTCCGGACTGTCCGCGAACTGACAGAGGCTGCGCACGGCCTCTTGCAACGGACTCGTCGCTTGGGCGCACCTTTCCCGATTCGCCTTAAAGATTACGTTTATCTAACTTTGTATCCCGCAAACCTTGAACACCTAAACATTCCTTATGAACCTTTCTCGATATTGCTGTAAACCTCAATAAATTCCGTCCAGCACTTTTCGAGTTTCACGAAATGAAAGGCATTAACAAGCTCCACCTCCAGAACATACCTCTCATCGTTAAGACAGCTGCAAATCCGACTACCACGACAGTCTTTTCATTCGTGTTCAGCCTATGCCACAAATATTGGTTAAAGAATCATCAAAATAGGCCAACAACTCCTAAACAAAGTATACCTCGCTATAATCCAAATCCAAAGCCTTGATCTCCTTCACGAGAGCCGCAGTGCAATTGGCGACGTCCTTCGCCGCTTGCACAAAGTGCCTCTTGCTCTGCGGTTCTGCGGAACGGCCGGAGGCCACGCGACACGCGTTGCAGAGGGCGCTCGTGTGCTTCGCTATCACCGTGGCGGCCGACAGCACCTGCAATTCGGTTGCCATACAGATATCCGATCCGATGACAAGATCGTCCTCTTCCTAACCTAACCTACGATCAGGTATGAAGGACACGCTGGAGCCACTGGGCCCGACACTGCTCTTCCACCTAATTCTTATTAGTAAAGAACGTAGATAACAAAGTACAAACAATTAACTATTTTCCTGTAAAACCCTGAGTACACACCTGATGCTGATCAGTCCTCGGATCGCTGAGGGTGGCACACGCCCGTTCGATGGCAGCGGCCGCCCGAGCGAACTGCGCCTGATCCACCAGGCCGGCCCGACCGGCTACCGACGTCTCGTCGGACACCGCGGTCTGAGTAACACAAACTTATTAAAGGGGAATATGCGCCTAATATAAATATATACATATATATATATATATCATTGTTTCTGTATAAAGTGGATGTTTTTATATGAATATTTCAAGAAATAAATGAGGCTTAATTAAAAAACATTACCAAATACGCAGACTGCGCGGTACACTCGACCAACGTCTGAACGGCTAAACCGGCAGCGGATACGCTTCGAGAGAATTGTGTCGTATCGCTTTTTTTGATGGAGCTCGCCATCCCCGACATGCCTTCACCTGGAATCACAATCACACATGCATCTCATTCCAACGGAATACAATTCACAGTGTATTATTATTTTACTGTTTAATATTATTTAAATAATAACATGATTTTGCTTCCTGTAACGAAGCACACTTACTCAACGCCTTGCTCTGCTCGACCACCGCGTCCAAGCAGGCAAAGTAGCCCATGTCGTTGATAGGCTGCGAAGGCTGCGACAGCAGGGTCCTGGTGCTCTGGATGCTTCTGATCGCAGCCGAACACTCCTTCTGACCCGGGGCCGCCTCCGTGCACACGTCCACCTGGAGGGGATTAAGAAAAAACTCATTAATCGACAATTCTTTTTACGGTTCAAATCTGATTTCAATATAATTAAAAAAACTCACCAAATTATTGATGCTCTCTGTGACGGCACGAGCGGCCGCCGCCAACTGGTTCTTCGCGTTTGGACGAGTGAGGTCCTAAAATGTAAAATCAAAAATATTGTTATAGAAATGTGGGTAGGCGAAGATTTTTCTTTTCACAAATAATAGTTGTAAAAAGAAATATTTAGAAATATATAACACCCAGGTAATAAAACTATCGTACGACACATTTACAATTTTGTTAATATTAGCTAATATTATTTTTGGTATACCCATATTAAGAGTTTAAGAAAAATTATATTTTAATAATAATGAACACGCGTGACATTCCCGTGAAAAAAAAATCAACTACCCACAATTAGTCAATAATGATTGTATTACTTCTAAATCTATCTGGAATTGTTTAGAAAAAACGATTTTTGACAGCGAGATTTCTAATAATTTGCCCCAACTTACGGAATGACTCCCAACTAGTGATGCGAAGTCCTACAGAATGTTTGCCCTAGGACTAACTTTCAATACCCCTAAATATGGATTAAAACCCTCTAAATAAATGTACATTTTTTGCCTCCAAATTTTAGGGGAAGGTTGGCATAACTGATTAACGAGATATAGCAGAATAATCTAAGTAAATGACTTATTATCCAGATCGAAGACTACAGTATATTGAAAACGGGATGGGATCCGAAGACACTGACCTGACTGACAGACTTCGCAGTCCCAAGGAGTTTCGACGAGTTCACGGTCACCGTCTTCATTGAACGAATCATTTCAGTGCGAGATTCCCGAGCCTAAAAACATATGATTAATATAATAAAATATATAGTTCTATACAAAATAATATAACAATATTTCCAGCGCAGGCGCCGGACCCACTGACATTTGATAATCTATTGTCTATGGAATTGCATGGTGTTGCCATTCTGATAATATATTTCTACGTCATCCCGGAGTCAACAAAATCCTACCTCGGTCTGGCCGGCCAGCTCCAGAGACACTCCCATGAGGCGATTGAAGGCATCCCCGAAGTGTCTTCCGCTGACGCTCAGCGTGCCCTGTTCCACGGAGGAGACCACGTCCGATGATGCAGTACTGAGGCCCACAGCCGCCGCGTTCAACTCCGTTTGAAGTTCGCTGAAGACAAATCCTTTTAAATTATACAAGTATTGCCAGTATAATCTAAAGTACTTTAATTTACTTAATGAAATATAGTTTCCTTTCATATATTTCTCTATATCTATATCTGTCATTTGATACCCATATTAAGGAAGTTATGATAAAATAATCCCCCATTTTGTAGCGGCCATCTTGGATTTAAAATATTGTCATCAGAAGAAGCCTGCTAAATAAAACCTTTAAAATAAATAGCAAGACAAAAAATAATCTGGCCGACTGTCATCCAAATGTCGGTCACAGACGGCTGACCACCTATTTGTATAACAATATTCCAAATTAACAAAAATCTCTGTTTTGGCTTATGTGCTTGGGAAATACAAGTGAAGTCACAGAACATGGACTTCCCACGCCCCAAAATACCTGTAACTCTTGTCCGTCCGTGGCAGGTCGTCCATGTCAAGAATATGCAGCGTCTGATTGATGTCCTCCATCGCCGAGTCCAGTTCTGCGTGACTCGGGACAGACTCTAGAGTGAGTTCGACGCTCTGTAAAATAAACTTCAGTTAAAATTTAACCATAATTTGGAAAGTCACTATTACGACTTTGTCAAACGAATTATTTACGAAAATTAAAATGGGCAGCTACTTAAAAGGAACTCTTTGCCGATAATTGGTAAAATTCCGGTTCGAATGACCAGAGTTTACGATTTTTGGGTCAACTGGATACTTACGTTTTAAAAAAAATAATAAATAATTTTTATTTTATACGGGACAAACGAGCCTACAAGACGCCCCAATAGCGACCGTCATCGCAGCTCATCGCAGCCTTTGACGACGGAGAATGCCTTTTGTAACAGAGGTCGTATCTTCCAGGGAAGACCCAAAAATGAATGACCCGCTCATAGTGACAAGAAAAACTTATAGGAACTAAGCTAAAAAAAACATCCTTGATACCTGAGAGACATTCTTCGCCATATTGACGACATTGGCACAATCCACTTCTTCGGAGCTGTTTAAGAAGCGTTTCACATTTTCGACAAGAGTAAGAGACGAGGTCACAACTTGACGACCGGACGCTAGAACTCTGAAAAAAAAAACCATTTTTCACTGCTCTTTATAAATAAAGAGTTAGGTTAGAAGGAATCAATCTAAATTAAATACTCCCACAGGACGCCCACTAAGGACGACGTCCATATCGATGAAGTGACGATATCTCTCCGACATATATTTTTGTCAAAAATATACTTTTCCTAGTTTGGACATATTTATTTTACGCATTAATTTACTAAAAATAACAAAAAAACCTTTATAACCTCAAGAAGTATTCACATTACCTGGGTTGTTGTTCCTTATGCGCGTGCGCGATAGCGGCTCTGAGGGGCGGCGCGAAATGCCTCAGAGACGAGGCCAGGTCCAACGCAGCTCTGCCGCAGCCGGCGGAGTCCTGGCGCTTGGCCCCGGCGCTCAGAGCCGCGCTGGCCGATGCCGCCGAGCGACCGGATGATTGCAGGTTGGAGTACGCCCATTCCACCTAAAACCCAGATTGGTTTGGTCTTCGCAATATTTAAATTGAATATATCAATGGCGCTACAAACTTTTTAGGTTTGGGCCTCAGATTTCTATGTGTTTCATGATCAATTGTCGATCTAATAGGCAAGTAGGTGGTCAGCTAGATCAAGTAAGATTTAAAAAAAATTTAATACCGTTATTGGGCAGTCGCAGGGTGTTAATCGCCTGAAGGGCAGGAGCTAGAGTGAGCGAATACGAAGGAAATGTCCACGCCATCCCCGGTGAAGCGTTTTTTTTTAACCCTAGCCCGACAATTCTATTGCGCGGACGGCTTTTAATTGATCATTAGCTACGGAAATTGGATTATTCGGATCCGATATAATAATATTTTAAACAATTCCTGAATGTTACATACTTTGTATGCCATATTTTCGATTGGACTATTGGCAACAAAACTAAATAATAGTTCAAATCATTGCGAAAATTAAATGGGGTAAGATACTTACCGTCTGCTGGGGCAAGGGGGCGAGCTGGAACGCGGCACAGGCCCTCTCCATCTCGTCCAATTCCTCCTTGAGATCTCTCAAAATCTCCGCTGCGGCATCTAGCTCCAGCCCACGGCACGAGGCACGGGCCCGACTCACGGCTGACCTGAACAGTTAGAAATTTTAAAGTGTCTGTTTGTCCACAAATTTCTCCTAAACCAATCCACGCAGGCAATTTTATTGAAATACATACCTAAGATCCGCACAGCTGGCCGTGAATTGGTTCGTGGTATCAGCCAACTGCTTGTTGGCGGACGGCTCGCTCACTGTGGGCAGGACGGCACGAGATGCTTGGGCCACGTGACCACTTGGCTGAAGAAAATTGCGTAATTAGCGATTTACCCAACAAAAAGTAACGCCTTCTTTAATGTTACTTGCAAAGAACGTTTTGTTCACAGTTGCTCACTGAATTATTTCCGTACTAATTGGACTTAGGTTCCTTCAAGAAAAGAACCAATTATTAAAAGGCCGGCAACGCCCTTGCGAGCCTTGTGGCAATGTGAGTATCCATGGGCGGCAGTATTACTTAAAATCGGATAAGCCTCCTGCTCGTTTGTCACTAGTTACAAAAAAAACGGTCGGATAATAAAAGAAAGAACATCACAGGTTCCCATTACCCTATAAAACGTGGTGAATAAAATAACAACATCGTTGAATGTCTTCTCACCTGTAAGAAAGTCTCCGAGGCCGTGACCAAGTCCAAATGTGCTGCTGGGTTGTGGGGTCTGGCGCTGAAGACGCTCCCCGCTTCCGACAATCTAGGAATATGGGAACTGAGGATGGAGCATTCCGAGAGAAGGGCCTCCTATAAGGAAATTCATATATGTATTTAAAACTTATTTAAAATAATAAACGACCAGAAGGCTCGCAAGTGCGTAGCCGATCTTTGATACGACATACGGTTATTGCAACATTCATCTAGAAATGAAATTGTCTATGGATCCGAATCTCACCTGTGAATACTTGTTGGTGTTGTATTGCGTCGCGTTGTGAGCCGATGCGACGAGCTGATTGGCGCTGGAGGCGGCTTGTCTGGCGCTTTCCTGAAACAAATACTTCTATTGAGGAACGAACTTAGAGAACAGTCACAAGAGGCAGGTATTTTAGTGGGTAAGTCACCGAGCAATTGGGAGGAAAATGATACTTTGATCATTTCCCTTAACTCACATATAATCTCGCGACTTGTGAGCTCACTATGTCCTGCCCCTGCGCGTAATCAGCCGTTATGAACCTCAACTCTTCAGCCGCACGGAGTAGAGCCTCTTGCTTGTCGCGATCCTGAAATAAAAATTCCTTTTAAATTTACACCCTGTATAACGCTGACTTTAAAACTAGAGCGAACTTGAGAGAACATAAGGCAGGTAGCGCCAGCGTTGATAAGTTGAGAAATAGCTAAAAATAATGTATATCCTGAAGTCCAACCTGCGGTTCTGAAGCGCATTGCCTGGCTGCTTCCACCATCCTCGCTGTGGCATCTGCCAAGAGCTTAGCAGCAGCCAGCAGCTTGCCTTGACTCTCCGAAGGCTGTTTCTCCGCTTCGGTCTGAAAATTTCACGATGTAAGCTGTTTGTTTGTCCACAAGTTTCTCGAATGCTTAAAGTGACTTTCACTCTTGCTCTTCTTAATTCATATTCAATAAAACATGCATTAATCGTCAAAAAATCTCACTTTCCACTTCTTTTCACACTCTTCTCCATCTCTTACCTAGAAATAAACTAAGATTATTTCATTCGCCTCCCTTTCATATCGCCTACGATAATTCACTTCCACACTTTCTAATTATCTTCTTCAAGTTTCCAAAAAATATTCTTCTTTGCCCTTTCTAAAATATTTTCATTATCAAATATCAATCAATGCTCTCGGGGCGTAACTCCACCTAATCACATACATATACATACTAACTTTCACTCTCTCTCTTTTCTATCCTTTACGATCTCTCTAAGATCTCCATCTCTTACCTTAATATCAGCGATAAGCCGAGCTGTAGCCTGTCCCAATACTCTAGCTCTTCGCAGCATCTCTGCCGGTTCTCCAGCTGATCCAAGCCTTTCGCTCGCTGTTAAAACACTTTCCACGGATTGCTCTATCACTGTTGCTTGACCACGACGATCTGTTTAAACATTTAAATCCATGTTCTATATAGATGACTCTAAATATCACTTTATATAACTGTCAAAGCGCCTATTGCATACAAACAAATTAAAGAATGTTTTTTAGAGGAACCAGCCAATCAAAATTGTAATCATACAAGGTTTATAAAGCTCTTACCAAGATCACAATGCGCCAACAGTCGTTCCAGCTCATCCGTAACCCTCTGGGCTGCGAGAGTCAAGTGTTCCACTCCCGGCCCAGCACTTTCCGGCGCGTGTTGGCACGCTCCAACCAATCGCTCGACTGCTTGTGCAACCAGTCGGGCTGCGCTCGTCAGCTGTTCCCTGCACGCTGGATTGTGGAGGGTCGGGGCGACAACCTAGTTTTAAAAATGTATAGTTAATTTAGACAGCTCTGCATAGAAGTAAATGAAAACGAGTTGGTCTTTCACTCATACTTCGCGCCCCAACTACGAGCCTCCTGCTCGTTTTCCCTCTGTTCTATATAAAAAAACAAAATAAATTTGGTATTTTCTCTTTAAGTCCTCATCTTCTCATAAAACAATTTGAAAGAGATGAAACAAATGACTGCCAGAAACGCCCTAACGAAGTTATTCCGACCTTCCCCCAATGGAAAGCACTGGAAGCCTCTTTAGGTTCTAGGAACAGCACCTTCTTCCGTAAGCACTTTTTTTAGTTACTGTGTTTTTTTTAAATTTAAATACTTGCCTGTATGATCTTGTTCATTTAATTCCCCAGTTTAGCTTTAAGGTGTAAGTTGATTTTAACATACTTTCGACATTCAACTGGAAATCATGAGGTACAATTTATTTAGATTTTAATTGCTGTCTTCCTTTTGATGTTGAATATAGACGCAGCCCAATCATGGTTTAAGGAAGCTACCCAATTTAGTTTTGCTTTGGAGATGTAGGAAAAAGGAGTACCTAAGGAGAAGAAAGGGGCTGAAGAAGGTGGTCTTAATAACTTACCTTAGCACAGGCGACGAGTTGACTGGTCGCCAAGGCGCAGTGAGTAGCGGCCGCGATGATCGTATTTTGCAGAGGCTGTTCATCCCTGCATTGTGCAGCCACGTTCTTCGCCTTTAGTACTAAGGCGGCTGTAGTATTCGCTACGGCCTTCGCAAGGGACAGAAGTATGTCCTAAAAAGTTCAAATAGTATAACAATGGTGGCTAGGTCAAAATATTCATAATCTTTAAAAAATCTATTATCTATAATCTAAATTAGATATTGTTAGATGTCATACAACAGATGATGGGAACCGAAATGTAAATTAAAACGTGTTGTTGGCACGCTGATCAGTGTTGGCAGAATGTTATTTTTGAGCCTTACACTCCAAATGCTACTTTAAGTCCTTAACATAAAATTAAAATATCGGCAAACAAAATACACGAAATAAAAGTAATAACTAACGTAGACTAAAGCGGGCCATAGACGGACCGCATGTTGCAGTCGGTCTTGACTATTTGATTTGTAATTTTTATGGAATGGAATCAAAGTAGCTTTATTATTATTATTATACACGAGTGGTAAAAAATGGCACCCATTCTATTGACAACTAGCTCCAGGAATTTCGTGACGCCTTAAGATATTTCTCTTTGCCTATCTTTTTAGTACATACCAACATATGGAACATTTCTATGCTACCCCATAGAGTTCGCTTTTCGAGTTCGAGTTTTGCACATAGCAACGTATTTTCATTTATATAGATAGAGCCCCCTGCCCCTGAATCCAGCTGAAAAGGCTCCTTGTCTACGTCCTATTCATTTCTATAGACAAAGAAATTCCTGTCTAAGACACGCCGAATTAATATACACATTTTCCCATTCCTATTACTTGGGCGTTTCATTGACGGCAGTTAGTAGTTTAAGCTACTGAACTTATCGAATCAACAAAAATCTTGAAGCGACATATAACTTCTATGTTTCGGAAACACCTCTACCTCTATTCCACCGCGTCAGTAATTTTAGAGACTATTTTTGTTCGAAAGTGTTTTAATAGTAATCTGTACAATCATTTACCAACAAAAGAAACATAATTGGACAGAGTTTCATACTGTCTTGAAAAAGAATCTCAAACTCTTGTCTCAAACCTGTCTTTTCTGATATCTCTTATTAACTTCGCTTTAGTGTGCTGAATACTTTGAATATAAGTATTTGTGACTTAAAACTTTTCTATCCTACTGTTTAGCCTAAAAACTTTTTGTCATATAATGCTAGACTATAAAAGTTATGTTATCTTCTGTTTTATTTCTCTAGACAATATGGCGTCGTCAGGTATTTACGTGTTAAATTCTTGAATTAAACTCCAAAACAGTATTAAACTGACAATTATGAATTTTTTGATAAAATAATATTATTTTTCTAGTCAGCCCATTCGTAAGTTCCATAAATACACTACAGGGATGGTTAGTTACTATTCTTGTCACTACATTCACTTTGTTGTCATTCACAGTTAGTCGTAAATAAAAAAATCAATGTATGTAATAAAGCAAATGTATTAACAAAAATATGTACAATAACACTATTTGTAAACATTTTTACGATATGGTAAACGAATGTTTTTCTTCTAGACACATAGAGGTACCTCGATATACGAGTGTTTTGAGCGATATTATGCTAGGAGATGAGAGCAAGATGTGGCACTGCCCTAACAGTTCCTCCCACCTCAGGCCTGTCTGGTTAGGTTAAGATTAAAGCGTGAAATCATTTTCTTATTCAAAAAAACACTTAACAAAACCAACTGAGGTCTTGTTTTGGGTACGATCAACTTGACATACAAAGAATGAGTTCACTCGTATGTTGAGGTACCTCTGTACTGACTTTCACCGAAGCGATATTCTATCGTAAAAATGGCAACATGATACACAAATACACAAAAGTCTTAATTAAAAGGTTACGGCTGCGCAGGCATTGAGAGAACTACACCGTTCCATACAAGCAAAAACGTTCATTTTATGCAAAATTAACAAAACACTTAGATTTATATCTGGAAGGGGGTTTCCACTAGGATATATTCAACTTTTGTAAAGATTGGAAATAAACGAGAAGCAGTTTTGGCCTAGTGGCTTCAGCGTGTCTCTAATCCCTGATCTCGTAGAACCCAAATCATGCAACAGATACAGAAATCTGAGGCCCAAACCTAAAAAGGTTGTAACAGATTTATTTTTTTTCGTTTGTCAAGAGACGAAAAATTCGTTATTTTTTTAAGACTTTTGTATATTTGTAAGATTAAGTTTTACAACTAAACAAAATAGAGAGCTGCCTATGAAAACTTATTCAAAAGGAACTTTTAATTGCCAAATGTAATACTCGCTGTATACATTTCTCAATACAAGATAATATCTATTTTACATGACAAATATTCACAATTGTTCTTCTGTTGTAATTCGCCAATGTTTCGGGTTTTAGCCGACTATAACACAATCTATGTAGGTTAAGAAAATTGTGAATACTGTATATTTGATTGTTATGATTAGTAATAAATAAAAAAATCATTTATGACATTTTCCACCTTACCCAAGAGGGAGTGAGGAAATATTTTAGGAAGCGTGACATGACTTTATTAGGCAGTAACAATTTTGTTATCGTTAGTTTAATTTCAGTTTACATTTTAACTATTAATTTGCTTAATTGACTTATGTTTTCTGTTTCATATGTAAGCGTTGATATTGTCTAAGTGTATTCTTTTATAATATATATACATATAATATGTAGCTGTAATATTACGAAAATAATACGAAAGAGACGAACGCCGCCATCAAAGAGCCGTCCTAATTTTAGTCTTCTAGGCTCATTCAAATTGATTAAACGCCTTATATTCCGAATTTTAGACGGTAATTTATTAAACACAGTAATCTCTCCTATAACACGAAATCCGTATTTCCCTATAACGCGGAGATTTCTCGATATTTCTGTAGTAAATTTGTCGAGTTCGTAATTAGTTTTGTGTGCGCATCTGTTTTAATTGTGTGAATAAAATTAAACTAATCTTCTTAAATTCGTGTTCTTAGTTTTTGAATTTTTCAAACGGTTATATGAGAATATACTCCTACAACACGATTTTTTATAACGGAGCCGGGTATATCGCGTTATATGGGGGATTACCCTCCACACTCTCATTCTTAATAGACTTATTCAATTAATTTCGTTCGAATTTTGCGTGTAGTGTTTGATTGTTTATTAAACGAATTTTATTTACTAGAAATTATAAAACACCGGTGAACGACCCAAGCTCAAACGGGGTGAGCGACCCTAGCTTGTGTCATTGACCTTTCATTCTTCACGGGTAAAAAATCAAGAAATTGGCGAATACAATTTCAAAGATTACAAATTTAAATAGCGAGTATTTAACGTTCTAAAACAATTTAACAACTACTAAATAATATGTCATTTTTTACTTTTGTCTTTAGAGTTTTCAAGCGACAGCTATAATCGTGACCCGCTACCACTTATGACTAAATACTACTATAATATATTTAATAAGCATGTATATTTCGCAATCATGGCTCGATTATAGTATTTTTCGAATTTTCTATCAAACACTAGCTGTGCTCTGCGGCTCTTCCCTCATTAATTCGGTGGCACTATGCTCTATAGCCTAAAGCCTTTTTTGTAGATATTGATGTCTTCTATAACACTACATTGTTCTATTGTCAATAGTTTCTGCAGCATATAGGAATCATTATTGGTCACACCTTGGGTTACTGTCGGAATCTCAAAAATATAGCGCTAATTTCATCATAGTAGGGTTCTAATGGTCAACATTATGGCGTTGATGGCAAAGCTTCCAGCCTGATAAATTCATATTTAAAGGGAAGGATCCAAAGAGTTTATGTCAATGGAGTCACCTCTCCGGGTTTGCAGGTATTAATGGGCGTCCCCCAAGGATCGATTCTCGGGCCTCTCTTATTTCTGATTTACATAAATGACCTCCCATTTTTTGTCAACGAAGTTCATGAGATGGTGTTGTTTGCTGATGACACTTCACTTCTATTTAAAGTTAATAGGAATAACGTATTATTGGACGATGTAAACAATTCTATCTCTCGTATAGTTAACTGGTTTAATGTAAATAACTAACTGCTTAATGAGAATAAAACAAAATGTATTAGATTTACAACTACTAGCGTAAAGTGAGATATTGGTAACCTGGAAATTAAGGACAGTGAACTAAACTTTGTTGACAAAACTGTTTTTCTAGGCATAACAATAGATAGTAAACTCCAGTGGGTTCCACACATAGAGACTCTTTCGAATAGGCTGAGCTCTGCAGCATATGCAGTAAAGAAAATCCGACAGTTTACTGATAAGGACACGGATAAAATTGTGTATCATAGCTACTTTCACAGCGTTATGTCGTACGGTATTCTACTGTGGGGTGCTGCTGCAGAGGTTCAATCCATATTTGTGCTGCAGAAGCGGGCTGTTCGGGGTATTTGTTGTGTTTCTCCGAGGGAGTCAGTACGGAATAAGTTTAAGGAATTAAATATTATGACACTATCTGGTCAATATATTCTTGAAGCCTTGTTGTATGTCCAAAAAAATATAAACGATTTTAAAACAAATGGTGACTTTCACCAGTATAATACTCGAAATAGAACTAATTTGAGTGTACGACCAACCAGGCTCCAAAAGATAAACCATTCCTTATATGGAAATTGTATTCGTTTTTACAACAAACAGCGAAATTAGAGAATTGTCACTAAATAAATTCAAAGCCCTCGTTAAACGAAAATTAATCAATAAAGCTTTTTATAAATTTGAGGAATACTTAAATGATCCTAATCCTTGGGATTGATTTGCTCCAGTTCAAACAATTTGTATGACAATACTTGGCGATTAAAAAGAGTGGCGGAAAGTTTCTTGCCAGTTCTTCTTACCCGCTCTACGCCCTTGACTTGCGAACTGGTAGTAAATGTAAATTTACAATTAATTTAACTTGACAATTCATAAGTGTAATTGTTTACCTACCGTGTTGGTCTAATGGCTTCAGCTAAGTGACTCTTCTTAAAGAGCTTAGAACCAACGGACTTTTCTATGTCCAACACTCTCTCAAAGGAAAACATCGTAATACTGACAGACCCACGTGGCTCAGAAGGCTGATCACCTAAGTAGGTGATAGGCAAGTGCCTATTAACATAAATCCGACCAGGCCTAGAAGATTCTAGCGCCAGTTATGTAACCTAACATAATTAAGTTTATATATATATATATGTTAGTAAGTAATTAGAAGCGTAAACCAAATGTTAGCAATCGTCGCTTCTTGAAGCCAAAATGAAACCTTTAGTTTTTCCCACACTTATAAATTGTAATACAACATTCTTGTTTCCGTTAATGTTCAAAAAGATCGACTACACTTGTATTGAAGTGTCAATTAGATTTATGAACCCTTATTAGATAAGCCAAATTAGATTTTTGTTAGCGCCGTAACCACTACCCCTAATTTTATGTTAGTTATAAGCTCATGTTTTAAACGATTAAAGCCAGTGGACACCTAGCTTCAAACAACGTGTTTTATTTAACATATATCTGAACATATCTACAACAACTGCCACCGAACTTAACTCGCCACTGATTTTTTTGACGTGAATATGTGAACACCGAATTTGCCGCCGTGATTTGTTTAAAATAGATATTTTAAACCAGTAAAAATATATTATTAAATCCCATTTATAATAAAATGGAATGATTATTTATAAACATCTTAATCCTGCACTAGTTTACTCTTTAGAGCAGCTTTCATGTATCAAGAATATATTAACCTGTCTTGAGGTGACCTCGTCTTAGGACCATGGACTTTCTAGGTGGTTTATGATAACGTCATTAGACCTAAATGTTTTAGGCACAGACGGCTGATCACCTACCTGCCTATTAATAGATAGAAACAAAAGCTGGAGGCACTGTTTATACAATTTATTAAATTTGGAAATTTTTGCCACTAGACTTTAAATTGAATTATTTTTAAACGCATAGAAACTTTATGGACCCAGTGCCCTTTTCAATATTTTGGATATTTGTGAAAATTCAATTCGAAAAGTGCCAGGTATGGAAAACATTAGAATTTTCTAAATTATGACATGATAGTCAAGCCGAACACCCGAGCTTTTCACGCAACTAATACACCTCACCAATCAGACCTTGGAACGTGTCTCGAAAATACGATATCTAAGCACAGTGATTAATAAAAACGAACTGAAATCCTCTGAGCAGTGAAGTCGCTTAGCAGGAAGTCTGCGAAGTGCTCAGGACTTCTGGAAGGAGCTAGGCTGGCTTAGTTCGCCAGGACATGACGCACAACGGACCCAATGAGAGTCTAAGTGCGGAAACTGGGTTCACCAACATTTAACCTTAATGAAAAGGATGATCATATCATCGAAATCCGCTGGAGAATTGAACAAGCGCGTAACTTCGTGACAAGCGCCAAAGTTTAGCGCATTGCGTGATGTTTCGTCATCTCTGTGCTGCTTTACGGTGTATTTTTCACACCGACAGAGACTATGTCCAAAAAACTAAAAGCGTTCTAGATCAGGGTTTATCTTATGCTTAAAACATCTTGGACAGACAGCATACGAAATGCAGAAGAATAAAGAAGTGCCAATATAAAATGCCAGCCCCATACCCCACGTAAGCAAAGTCATCCCCAAAGATTATAGAGCACTGTAGAGACAGGTTTCGTTACTCCCTACAAATTCATCATCAGCACATCCCATCTTTGTTATCATCCACTGAATAAAAACCGCTAGTAAAACCAAAACTAACGCTAAAATCAGGAAAATATTCAACCAATTATCTTTGAAAGCCTTGTGCAACTCCCTCTCGAGACAGACACACTCCGGACAGCATTTCGTGTCCGTCCTCGGACATTTCCTGTTACAAAACGGACAATTACGCTTCGCAAACGTGGGGTTGTAGAAAATCCTAATTTCCGTTTTGCCTATATTTTTCTCGCTGTAGTATTTCTCGCTCTCTTTGATAAAAGTCTCGAAATTCTTTCCATCTGTAACACCGCGTTTCTCGAAACTGGCCTCCGCCTTCTCGAGAAACGTGTTCGTGGTAGTTAGAACGCGATTATATTTATCCAAATCAACCTTCATATTCAACGCACCGGCCACCTTGACTTTATCTCCCGCTTTAGTGACGTCATTTTTGATGCTTTCGCACTCGATCTTTTTAGACATAAAGAATTGTTCGCGAAGTATTTCGTTTTTAGTTTTACGTATATTAGCATAGTCGTGGCTAGAAAAGTCGTTATGGATATTGTTTATTTTATCGGCAATATTTTTCTGAGGGATTTTTGGTTTTTCATTATCCAAATAATCTTTACAATTATTAAGAATGTCTTCAACGTTATTATTAACTGGTGTTTTTGGTTTATTAATTGAAATTGGTGTATTAATATTCGAATATTCTAGACTCCTATAATAATCGCTTTCCGACTCCTCTTGTATGACATCTAACTTTCCCCAATCATTAACATTTATATCTTCATAAATTCCATCATCTTCATATTTATCATTATTTTTATCTAGAACTACACTTCTTTTATCATTATAATTATCTACAACTACACTAGTTTTATCGTTAATTTCATCACTACTTCTATCGACATAAAAATCTGCACCATATTCATTCTTATCCCTACCAAAGAACACTTTATAGAAATTTTCATAACAATAATTCAATTTTCTATACAAAAACGCTTTTTTCGCTTTCCTCTCATTAATTACCTGGGTTTCCTTGTCTTGAGGCGTTTCTTCGCCGATTGTGTGAAGAACGCTCGTCGAAGCTTCACCGACACGAGACGCTGCGTTTAGTAGGTTCTGACGCGGCTGGTAACATACATATGGAATTAGGAGGGGTCTTTAAGAGACTTCTTAGACATAAAACTATTTTGGCTCAATACTTTAAAACAGCTGGACCTGTCAACTATTAATAAAATAATAAACACCTCTTTAGTTTCCGGCTCCGCAGCTCTCAGCAGATCAGTGAAGGCGCTGCACAATTTCCTCGTCGCGTCCAGAAGACTGTCGCCATTGTCGTCTTCCATCAGCGCAGCAATCATTTGGACACCTACAATTATTATTAATATTAATATCTCATCAGAGGCGTAACGTTGTCTGCACATAGAAAGTCCCATCGGTTCTACGTCCTTTGAGAAGAGTCACAGGCTGAAGCCTAGCAACATTGATATAGAGCATTCTCTAAAAAAATCATTAGAAGAATGTTAATAAAGAGAGGAAATATTTGATTGCATTCCAGGTTCCAAAACTGGATTGATTTGAAAAATCTTTTCACCACTAGAACTCAAAATTTCTGAAGAATATAGGCGTATATAATATTTTCAAGGTGTGAAAAGAACCAATAAAGATTCCGATCTGCGGAACGCTAAGCCACAAAGACAAAATAATAAAACAACCGAAGCTCACAAAGCTTTGAATAATAAACATCATTACTTACCCTTCGTCATCTCTGGTAAGTTGGTTGTGATAGTTGTGATAGCTGCTCCGACGGCCGTATGGTCCACTTCCTCTGTGGGTCCTGAAATATTGAGAAGATCAGTCTCCTGTGCCTCACATGACTTTTTTAATGAAGTTAGTAAAACGTACTTTTTGTTCATTTAGTACAAAAACAAAGTGAAAAAGTTAGAAATAAGTAATGTCATGTGAATGTTAACACTTACCAGCCGTCAAGGTAACGACTTGCGCAGTCGCAGCATTCATGGCCGCGATGTGTGACGTCACCACTTGCTTGCTACTGTCCAGTGTGGATGTTTTCCAACGAATCGAACCCGCGTCCGATCCGAGGGCTGGCAGTGCCGCCTAAAATAATATTTCATGTTAAGACAGGATCACAACATTAACTAAATCTAAATATTATTATTATTTTTTATTCCAAAGTTCCAAATTGGATTTTTTTTTAATCTGACAAACATTTTTTTAACAATAACTACATTAAAACATTTCCATACACGAAATAGGTTGTATATTACACAATACACAAAAGCCAAAAAAGATATACACATAAATACAGTTAACAATAAAAAACGAGGATTACTATTAAACAACAGTGCTCACTTGGTACTCAATGAAGTCAATAATTGGGAAAACTCAATATTATAATTAGGTTTTACCAATAATTGGTAATATAACCCGACATGTGTCGACTAAATCTATCCACAGATGGCCCCATTTTCGGTTTAAGATTTCTGATTCAGAACATTCACTTACTTGAGACAACAAACTTATTACTTAATAAGAAAAAGTACTAATTTTAAATAAAAAATTTTTTTTTTTTAAATTATTAATATAATTAAGAGATTCAAACAACAACACATTACATTCATGCACTCACTCGTGTTGTTAAAAAAAAAAACAAAATTGTAATTAAAATAAAAACATATCGCGAGTGTGTTGCCGGCTTTTTAAGAATTGGTATGTTCATTTCTAGAAGGAGTTAGAATAAGGGCACTGTTGTTAAATAGTAAACCTGTTTATTTTTATTAAACTGTATTTGTGTGTTTACATGTGTGTACCGTTTTTTTGTAGTATTAAGAGTTACGTGTTTTCACTCACCCTGGTCAACCTTTCTTCTGTCTGTTTAATGACTTCTCTTCCCGATGTGATTGTGGACAGCAACGCACGCTGCGGCTCGCTCAAAATCGATGTAATTCTGGTCTGTTGTACTTGAGACGCCTGATAATATAATTGTTCAATTAATTTTTTCTTACGTTAAAAACGCAGTGAATTAAAAAAAACTAGTAACAAATCATTAGGGATACAAAGCGAGTGCCTTATCGCTAACAAGCTACTCTTTCAGGCAACTTTAGTAATGAAAAAGAAGCAATAAAAAGTTATATAATTACTAAACTAAAATCTACCAGAATGATTGAATAACTTATTAAATAATTTTTATAATTATTGTTTAATTATACAACTATTTTTTTGTACATTAAGTTCTTTTCTTGCACTTAACATTAGTAGGTATTTTTTATAATAATTTATAATTGATAATAAAAATTAAATCGCAAATTTGTATCAATACCTACACAGCCCATTTCGACAACTGCTAATCCATAGAACGCGTGAAATAAAAACATCTCCATGAGAACAAATTACACTTAAAAATAAAAAATAAAGAAGCAAAACAATACTGACAGCGGGTGGGGTGTGTCCCGTTATGGCCTGCCCCGAGATGGTCGTCTGTTGGGCCCCCGTCATGTGGCCCACTGCGAACGGCTTGGCACCTTTGTGATTTGTAAGCAACATAAATAAAAAGAAGCACTACAACTATGTATTGAACTGTTTTAAAACAACTTATTTATTGAGTAAATTGGCTACTTTGTCGAACCAGTAATTTGTTAATAAATTAATTAGAATTAAAACAGTTTTTTTAAACTAATTTATTAAGTATATCTAAATAACTTCATTGATAATTTCTTAATAAATGAATAATTATGTCAATGTGAACAAAAGTGAAATCGGTGCAACCTCTTTATAATTAACGCTGGTGTTAGGTTAGAAGGAATCAATCTAAATTAAATACTCCCACAGGACGCCCACTAAGGACGACAACCATATCGATGAAGTGACGATATCTCTTCGACATATATATTATATTTTAAATATATTTAAATGAATGTTGTAGTATGCAATTGATTAGAGATAGGTTATGTATAAAATAGGCATTTAAATATTTTTAAATACATTTTAAGTAATTTTAAAGGAAATGATACAGTGGGGTATTAGTCCATTACTTTATATTCCATTATTAATATTTAATGTACGTACACACGTAGGTAACTAAGAAAGTGACCACAAATGTATTTAACTACAAATAATCTGATTACGAAGTATTTAACTAAAAATGTAATTGACTACGAAATTGGATATGTAACCAGTCAAAATGTATTATATTTCAATAAATAACGAATAATAAATTTCACCTTCAGCTCCAGGTCTCAGCACAGCTGGTTTCGCGACAGACTCCGTATTGACTTTGCCCGACTTGAATGTGTCGTGCTGTATTATGTTTGCCCTGGAGAATAAATATTAATAAAACATCTTTTATTATTCTCCATTAATTATATTTATGATTGGGCTGAATGTTGGCAACACCATTGCTTTTTTCTCGAATAGGGTTGCCAATTACAATCCAATCTTATAATTATTAAATGGATGCATTCCACTCACTTGGAAGGCGAAACCGAGTCCTCCAACATTGCCGAACCCTCATCCCCCTCGATCCCGAGATGGTCCTTCGCCCTCCGCTTGCGGACTATTATGTCAATGTATCCCGCGATCACCTGCAAGATCTGCTCGGCCTCCGTCGTTTGGACCGAGTAGTATTGATCACTGGAATTCAAAAAGTGTCTTGTAACTAGTGTTTCTCATTCCTGAGGTCGTACAAAAAGGGAAGAGTCTCCTTTAAAAGCCAGCAACTTAAATGTGAGCGTCGCATAGGATTGGTTTCCATCTTGTCCTATAAAAAAGGAAATGAGAAGAAGAAGATGACAAGAATAATGGACGTAGTGACTGCTGAAGCTAAAGCCCCTAGGTACCCCAATAGAATTGAAAATACCTGTAATCTCCAAAGTCCAGCGTGAACGTGTTGGGACTTGCGCACCACCGCCGTACAGTGGTCAGAGGCCAGGTCTGAAGGATCTCTTTGGTCTTCTCATCCAGACGTAGAACGGAGTCCTTAGTCACACCCAGAAGTCGAGGCACCAACTTGTTCTTTCCTTTCATTTTCTCCTAAAAATATAATTTTTATTAAAAAAAAACATTTGTTCAGGATCCTTTGGACCGCTGAAGACGAAAACTTTTGGTTGTCAAAATTGTCAAATCCTTTAACTCCACATTTCAAGAGCATTTATCCTTCTCCTTTCGTTAGCACAGCCAAAAAGAAATTGTTACCTCTGCTACATAACATCCTGTCCCGATTCCCAAAATATTTCCACTCTTTGGTGGAAAATGTCATCTTCGTATAATAGGAATCCATAAACTCACCTTGACCAAGAAGAAAGCCACGCCGTAAGTGGGCAGATCCCTGGCGCTCTTCGTGTAGAGTACTTTCGCATCCAACTCGCTCAGATTTATATGCTTTTTATGCTCTTTGAAGACCTTCTTTTCGATCCCTTTGACCTTCACGTACGAAGCCGGCAGGAATTCCTTTAAACTGGAAAATAAATAGGAAGATAGAAACTAGGGAAGCTACAAGATTCTATACATATACAGGTTGTACCACAATTATCGCTAAGCTGGAGTTGGGTGATAGGGCCGGTAGTTTTTAAACCCAGAAAATTTATTTAAAAAATCTTCAAAATCATTGTCAATAAGTAGAAAATAAATTGTATCCACCGTGTGATGTTCTTTTTATCTGACAGTGTTGAAAATATACAATGCAATGGCAACATTAAAAAATTGACTCACTCCAAAAACCCAGTCATGTGTTTGTCTTCCTTGTGATCACCGAACTGTATCTGACATTGTAAGCCTGCAAACTCGCACGCTGCAACAAATTATTATTAATTTAAAATGATGTCACTGTCCGATAAGAGATCTCTCTGTCTCTTACGGTTGAGGTTCAAAATCGGCAGAATATTCCAAATAATATTCTGTCTGTCACCAACCTACGAAGAACTAGAATAAACACTTCTTATCCAGAGCTGAATATATTCGGTAGTGAGATGATCAATTTAACATTTATGTTCACCATAATTGTCAAGTGAAAGCGAATGTGTTGGCGACTCTCAACCCTGAGAGGTAGAACCGCGACTGCACCAATGGACTTTTAATTTCGCATTTAACATTCGTTCGAACGAAGGAAAACATCGTGAGGAAACGTGCCTTAGACCCAGCCATGGATAGATATTAGAGGCTGGCCTTTACCCGTGAAGGGGTTCTGATCAATGGTACTTAAGGAAGATATGATAAAAGAAAAATGTATATCAAATCTAAACTAAATTCAACATTTGTAAATAAATTTTAGCACTATATATTAAATAAATTAACACCTATTTACCTTTATCTTGTGTTATAGGGTGTGTCCCATCCAAGATAGCATCCCTCGCCTGAACATATAAAAGATTCAGTTGAACCGGATCCCGAGAGTCCACATTCCGATCAGAAAAGAAAAGTTTCCGACGTAAAAGAAGAGTCTCCGTCACATCGATGCCCTGTTCGCGTAATGTCTTCGACGGTTCCACCCAGTTAACTGTAAAGGAAAACTTTCTTCAAGACAGAAATATAGACATCTATCGCTGGTCCCCAACTGGGTTGTGCGTTTAAACTACAATTATTCCGTAGTACATGGTGCATGTTTATGATAATTTTTGTATAGAAAAGGAGTCTTACAACTGATTCTTGAAAAAAATCTGATTGCAAGCATCTTCAGAGCGATCTATCAAAGGTATTTTAAATAAACTGAGTTTTAACAGCTCTAACGTACCTATACTATACAATTACACAATAGGATCGGACTTGATGTTCCGTGATGAAGACTAGAGAGAAGAAAAGAGAGTAATAAAGTATAGGACTACTAAAAATCAGTGCCGGTGACAGAAACTTAAAGCTGAGGGCAAGAGGCTCACAACTGATTTTGAGTGTTACCGCCGCCCATGGACACACAGTGCCTGAAGGCTCGTTATTGCGTTGCCCGCCTTTAAGAATTGGTACGCTATCTCAATCTCAGACTCACCCTCATCATCAGTCCTCAACTTCTTCCTGAGCTGTTCCATCTTCGCATCCCTCTCTTTCTCGTGATGTCTCCTGCGAAGTGTGAGAGTCCCATAGTTGGGCTTCTCACATGGGTCTGCCTCTTCCTTCTGCTCTTCTCGAACCTAGAGAAAATATACACTATGTCAAAAGAGGAATTTCTTTCAAAATTGACTTTTTTCTTTTTCTTATTGCAGTAAGGCCCAGGGGTTTACAGGTTCGAATCACTGTGCACCAATGGGGTGCCACGGGTGTCTTTAAAACTAGTTTATATAAATACTCACCAATCCATATTCATCATAGTTGGTGATACCAATCTTGGTACAGATGACCACCATCAAATTGGCAACCACTTGACTATCATCCACCAGCAGAGTCTTGACTGTACCTATAAAACAAAACGGTGGATTAAAAAAAACACATGACCCTTGGATCCCCACAATCGCTACCTCCTCCTCCTTCAGTGAATAGATATCATTGAGTCGAATGGAGTAAATATTTATAAAAAGTATTTATACATCAAACACGTGACAAAAAGGGACTACTGAAGAACAGGAATGGATTTATTGTATGGAATTAAGATTTATTAATAATAAACAAACTCACCATCCAACATTCGAACCCGAAGATTCCTCGTCTTCTTATTATACTCTAACATATCCCCATTCCTCAACATATAATAGTCCAGACTCCGAGATGACTCCAACCATATTCCCTTCTTATTATCTTCTTCAGATGCGAGGAACAGTCCATATTCTTTTGCTGTAGAGACAAGGAACGTAATTTAAAAAAAGTGTCCAGATTAATATATATATATATATATATATTTGTATATTATTGTGATGAAACTTGAATTATTATGACTTAAGTTTCCGAGTTTGTTGTCAAAGTACGAAATTTAATACAGTAAATTTCTTGGGTAGTAGTCGCAAAGGAACCGCTACTACATTCACACAAAGGTCTATTGAACAGGGTTTATCATATAGGGCGACACTCATTGGGTTATTATTACAGTTGAGCTACAATCTACTTCGTCTTGCTGGTGAGCAACCCAGCTTGCAAGCAGCAACTTGGTTTCTTAGTACCCAGGGGATATGTGCGAAGGCCGAAGTTGTGAGACCAAAGGCCAGAATCTGATGAACAGATTTAATTAAGACGTTGCTACTGAATGCTGGCTCCACTCTCGTCATCATTATATGCTCGCAGAGTAGGGATATTGTGTAATTATGTATTTAATATTATATATTGTTCGACATTATCGTATTGACTTAATACTGTAAATGTATATATTTCAATCGACTGCAGGAGTAGTAGGAGTACTTACCATCATTGATGTTGGCCTCCAGAATCTTCTCCCTGATGATCCTACAGGCATCATATACAGAGCTGCTCGGATCGAATTGGATGGTCTTCACCACTTTACCATCCTCTATCGAGATTTTCAGCGACAGAGTCGCCATTTTTGTACCTGTTAACAATGAAAATAGTTTTTAATGGATTCGATTTTTAAAGTTAAAAACTTGTAATTTGCATTATTATAATGATTAAACACAAAAATTTCACAACACACATTTACACAAAAGGCCGAGCAAGCTATATTAAGCTTCATTATTTTATTACATTTCATTATACTAATATTACTTTTTAGTAACCAGAATCTTCGTAAAAGCATTATTATTAATTCAACGACATCGTGGCAAGGGAGGCTGTTTTTAAAACCCCCGTTTTAAATTGACACTGTGCTAGGTCTTGGCCTAACGCTGCATCAACAAGGCCAGAAACTAAGAAGAAGTAGACTAGAAGTATCGCATACGAGCGATCTCCAACTCTCATTCTCTTATCGACTACCACACAAAACTTTCTTTTTTTACAGTACTGCAAACGGGCAGGAGCTTCACCTGACACTTTCAATCAATTCCAGAGGACGCGCGGGTGCGTTGCCGGTCTTAAACTATTATATATCCTACTGCTTAACAGCTCCTCATTCATAGGCATATCTAAGCATTCCAATTCGTTATCACGTTATTCACAATCCTCTTATCTATTGGTGGAAACCATATCAAAATCCGTGCTGTATACTTACATATGTCAGCTAACTTCAACTGTTTGACTGTAGTTCTTTGTATGCGACGTCACTTTCCTGAAATGAGATTGTTATTTAAAAAAATAGATTTATTTCATAATCCTACAGCTAACATACATTATATATAACAAAAGCAATTATAAGAAAAATAGGCTTTAGCGTGGGTCTCTCATTTCTGAAAGAAAGAACCACGGCTTTGCAATGGATTTCTATGTGCGCATACAACTGTCAACTTCTGTTAAGGAAAACATGAGGAAACCGGCTTTACACCCTTGGATGGTGTATCTGACACTGAAGATTGATCACCTACATGCCTATTAGATTAGATGATTACATACAGAAACCTAAGGCCCAGACCACAAAGGTTGTTAATAAAAAAACAGTCTTCTACAAGTTAAATGCAACTCCATCCGTGATCAAATTCGTTTTTGGTTAAACCCTAAACCCATTAGACCTACACGTACAAGAAATAAAAATTTATGGACTGCATTCCCCCTTAAAATTAAATTCATATGCAAAGGAAGATCATAACTCCGGTTATGTCATTTTAATATAGGCCATAAAAGTATATATTATACTGGGGTGTTGGGTCATAAAGAAATTAATTATGTATTATACATAAAACATCGCCTCGCCCATTTACGCTCAGCTATGCCTGTTTTAACTCAAGCTCAAAAGTTTATTCATACGAAATGATGATGAAGTCAATTTAAATCTAAAACTATTTTCATTGAATTTCTCGAGAATTGGAAAGACTATAGCATTAATATAAATAAATGGAGGTAGAATCTCTGCAGCGCCTTGCCCCATGAAACAGTATCAAAACATCGTAAGACGAAACTTCAATTTGTCTCTTTGTCAAGATGTCCAATGTCAATACATCAAATCTATTATCGTCTCATGTTTCGTCTGTAAAAACATGTATAATATTTCTCTGTGCACATCTAATCTCTTCACAAGTCAAACGTGTTGGTCTCTTCATGACAGCGTAAACAGGGTTCGTACATCGTCTTAGGGATGGTGGGGTACAATAAATTAGAAACAAGACGGGACAGTTCGCCTACTATATATCTAAAGTCTTGCTGTTGAGCAACCCAAGTGTTCATCACTCGTTTTCCTTTATAGGGGATATGCGAAGGCCAAGGTTGTCAGACCAAGGGCCAGAATCTGTTGCACTGATATAACTAAGACGTTGATTCTGAATTATATGTTCGCAGAGTAACGATATTGTATGTCTTTTGTATTTGTCATATTTTATTTTAATATTATCGTATTGGATTAGTCCTATTAACTATACTATACTGACTATAGGATCTATTACGCCATCCACACCTATTATCAAAGCCACTGGTTCTTTGTGTAACTTCTTTCTCGTATGGTATTATTGGTTGAAGTGCCTTATATGCTTAATCCATGGCCAAGACATAGGACCATCTGAAGACCCTTGACTCTAAATTTAACCATTTTTCTTTTCAAAGCTATTCATTGGAATCTGTTGAGGCCAATGCACTGATGCGATAAGCGTATCCGCGTGCGTATGGAAAATTTATTAATTTACACAAATAAAATTAGACATGAGGGTTTAGCAGGGTTAATGTTATAAATAATATCAGCTGTGCTCTGCGGTTCCGCATTAATTCGGCAGCACGATGTTCTGCCTGAGGAAAGCTTTACCTAAAGCTTTCCTGAGACCTTTATACTTAAAACTTTTGGGTAGAAATAGACGTCTTCTATAAAACTGTATTACATTGCTCTATTGTCAACAGTTTCCGCAGAATATAATTATAATAGCTGATTGTTAGTAGTAACATTTTGCTTGCCTGTGGATGGATCCTTCTTAAAGGCCTCCTCCAACCCTTTCTTTATCACTATCTTCGCCAATAGCCAGTCTTTTCCTGCTATCTCTATCAAGTCATCAGTCCACCGTCATTTAGCTTTCCCACTCTTTTCCCTTTTCCATTGTGTCTCTTTAATGTCCACCTGTTGTCCAGGAGACAGATAACCAGCCCATTGCCAATTAATTTTCAAAGCTTAATATGTCATCGGTTGCTTTAGTTTTTTGTATAATGTATTCTTTTGTCTTTGTGTTCCGCAGCATATAGGAATATTTATTGGTATTTTTCTTTATTTTATCTATATTGTATATACTTTAATGGCATAATTGACACACACACACATTGGCACATACTAAGCCCAAGAATGTCTTGGAGCGCCTCTATCATGGAAATAAGTGATGAATTTGCTATAAATCATATTCAGTTCATCTCTTAACCTGACCCCAACCAGAATTGATAAACGCTCAGCAACTACTGTTGGTCGATATGTAATTCGCAAATTTGCGCATGCGTACTGTCAACGACGCCGACGCCGTCCTTTCTGGTGTCCAGACGTCTTGTTATGTCTATTTTTAATAGAAAAGGAGGCTCATCTGATGTTAAGTGATACCGACCACAGACATGGACAATGCTAGAGGGCTTGCAAGTGTCGGCTTTTTAAGAATTCGTACGCTTTTTTCATCAAGAATAAGACAATTCTTCATTGTGTACATATATAATAATGCATAATAATAATAATAATGAAGCCACTTTAATTCCATACTGTTAAAAAACATATACATATCAAATGGTTCAAACAATTTGTATGACTCAAGTTTGTGATTAATAAGAGTTTCTTGCCTGCTCTACGCCCTTGGCTTGCGAACCGGTAGTAAATGTTCATTTAGAATCAATTTAATATCTTTTCTGTTGACGTGAAGTGTACTTGGTTACATTTATTATGCAGTATGGACTCCATTTGGGGTCCTGAACTTTTCATTTGGATCTGTTCTTAGCTTCCTCCATCCAATTCTGCCCACCAACTAAGTGGTCAGCCCATCTACATATACACATCTTAGATATATTTAACAACAATTTATTTAATGTCATCAAGAGTAGGTAATATGTTTGTATACTTCCCGCTGCTTCATAAAAATAGATGAAATATTGGACCGAAAACCGGAAGTCGTCAGCGGATATCGGATACGCTTTTCTATTAGCGAATTAGGGTGGAGTGGACGTCGATTTTAACATAATGGCCTCATGTAGGGTGGATAATGTAATATCATACTGTGACAAGATATTTTGTCTCAGTAATAAGCTGTACAAAGTAAACTTCAATGCAGGATGTACCCTTAGTTAACGCCAAGCCTTAATCAGATGATAGGGCAAAAAGAAGTTATTTATTTATTTGTATTTCGTTACATTTATACAAAAACAAATAACATAATACATTAAAATTATAAGGGATGCAACGGGCGACCTTATCGCTAACAAACCATCTAAAAAAAATATTATGGATAAAGTGCAAAAAGTTCACAACCAAATCTCATGAAAAAAAATTATACGATCACCAACCTTAATCTAAAATAATACAAAAACATTTAATAAAATAAACTAAAAAGATAATCTCACGGACTCATGAATTACTATGCAATACAAAAGAATAACAAATACAATAATTACAAAAGCCACGATTGAGCAGGATAGGATATGGTTAAGAAATGTTAACACAGAAGAGTTTTAAAAGATGCCAGGGAGGAGCCAGTCGTATAGAGTCGGGCAGCCTATAGCGTAACATAATATAGAGAATAGCCGTCAACGCGCTCGCGAGCCCTTTGGCATTGTCTATGAGGGTATTACTTAACATCAGATGAGCCACCTGCCCCTTTTGCCCCCTGTTTTATATTTAAAAACTCACACTACCAAAAATTGTTACCATTCATTCTCATCTAAACTTGTGAAGCAAAAAAACGTGTAAAAGCACGAGACACGCGGCCGCAACCTATGTTATTAAAAGAGCATCAAAACTTGCAATTAAATCCAAATTGTCCCATGGTGTATGGGGTTCAAGCCAATGGATATTAGGAGATCAATTCATGAATGAATATTGATTGCACAAAGGGAAATAAGCTTTGGTAAATTTGTCAAATCACGGCTCCACCTTAAAACAGCTCCAAATTTTCTTCTACATAATTTCATTACTCGGCAATGGTATACCATGCGATAATGTGGTGGCGCATGCTCTTTAACCCCATACAAATTAATAGTTTCGATTATTTACAATTAGATGATTTTTGTTTGTGTTTTTTTAAGTTTGAAATTTTGTATTTAAGATGTGTGTACAGGACAGCGTCTGTCGGGTCCGCTAGTTATAAATACAACACAAAGACTTTTGAAAGTGTACGGTTCCTCGATTAACATTAACTCGATGCTTTTTTATAATAAAAAATCTGTCTACCATAAACAGTGAGATCCAAGTAATACCGATTCAGCCCCAACTTGAGGGACCTTCTCAAGTTATTACGTAACTTATAGTGACCATATCTTTTTTGTTATAAAT